TAAAAAAGACATCGTTATCACGCAAGGCGATAGAAAAGAACAGGCGTCGTGAGCGTAGACTGCGCTAAAGATAAGGATAAGTACGTTTCGACTGTACCTTTGTTGGCTATTAATTCCCTATGGAGTCTTGGTATAGTAACCATCATGTGAGTAAATCCAACATAGACGTTGACAATAGTTGGTTTATATATTTGTATATACATTTATCATTTAAAACTATGCCAAAAAAAAAAAAAAGAAAAAAAAAAAAAGGAGAAATTAAACTGCAATGCATGCGTTGTTAGACTACAATGAGTTGGTACCTGTTAACCACACCGTGGAGATATATATTTGTATAAGCAGTTCACAAATAACACCATGTGAGAGCGTCCAAAAACCAACAGAGGATCGCCCTTCCAGAGCAACTTTTTTTTTTTTTTTTTTTTTTTTTTGCGACATATCGCGCTAGAGCCTGACAGGCATGTACTGATTTTGAGTTCTCACCCCTCATTCTTTTCTATCCATCCATCCCTTAAATTTTTTTTTTTTCCAGCTGTCCAACAGCGTCTGTGCTATGTGTGGTTCGATCAGGGTTCCGGACGCGCTTTTTGAGTAGTAGGAACATCTGCATATTGAGCACAATCCCAGAAAGAAATGGTTGTTCGGATGCAGCTCAGGGGCCACAAGTAAGTTTTAGTGGAGGAAGTGAAGAGTGATGACAAGAGACGAGGGGGTGATGTCTAACAAGTGCATTAATGATTCGTACTCTCTCTCCGCCTCGCCCCTTACAGCCAAATCAAAGAGGCGAATGAACGAAGACAGCTTTTCCATCAAATCTGGAAGACTCTCAATGCGATGGCCCTCAAAGCTTTAGGACCAAGTACTGATAGTCCGTGAACCTTTTTTTAGTTTAGTGCTTACTATCCCGATTTTGGTTTTCCTGATACAATGAAGTCTATTTTTTTTTTTTACTTTCTCTCCTGAATGAATGTAGTCTTGTTTATCAATTAATGTGCGTAGAGAAACAAGCTTTATTTTGAAAAATTGCGAACGAATAAGGCGAAGTGATGGAAGCAAGAGAAAATAAAGGAACTTACAATAAGTGCCAAGTGCTCAAGCTATAGATACTTGATAGGATTGTAAGTATGATCAAAATTAAGACTGGTGAAGCTTTCATTTCCGACATGTTCATTTAGTATTTTGACTTGAATAGATCTTGCATCAAATCGAGAGAGAATAAAATAAAGCTCTTAAATCAATACATGTAGTTTGCCAAAGTATTTAACGATAGTATATAACAAAAAAAAAAGTTCTTATTCTAAAGGGTTAGGAATGTATTCTTCATTTATTTTATTTGCTTATTTATTTCACTCATTACCCTTAAACTCATTTATTTTTTTTATTTTTATTTTTTATTTTTTTCGTGTTTGTTTTCTACTTTATGCACCCGTATGTGTGCATATGCGTTCAAAGAAAGAGGAAAGGTGATGGAGTTGAGCATTCTAGGCTTTGAAGTATCACTCAATACTCTTCACAGCACCTGGCCATTTACTATTAACTGCCGTTCTCATTTCTTCCTCTCAATTCCCATCCTATGCTGGACACGAATGTTCTAGTGTAAAAAACGAACGTTACTTGAACAAACCGCATGCGTGGGAAGGGAAACAGTGGTCTATTTCGGTTGTCTGCTAATTTTTTTTTTTTGTAAAATTGTACACAAAACCGCGGCATGAAGAGATAACAGAGTTTTATATGCTGAGGCCTTTGCGTCAAGACAAGGCATTCAGATTGATCCATCAAAAGAAAACAAACAAACAAACAAAAAAAAAAAAGAAAGCTTCATCTGTGTGTATCACAGCACTGTCCCAAAAAGAAAAGACGCGAGTGCGAAAAACACCCTCACCCACAGCTATACTCCACTCTAATGTCCATTCATTTGCGACTATTCATTCTCCATTGTGACTCCCCTTCCTTCCCCTGGTTGTATAATTTTCCATTTAACCATATTCAGTTCTTTACCATTCAATACTCTACAATCCACTATGTATAATCGTTGTTTGTCCTTGGTTGCATTTCGTGGGCCACACAACCTCTCTTTCATGTCGTGCTCTCATCTATTTTTTTTTTTTTTTTTTTTTGCCCTCTTTCTTGAGTCTATCCACACTGTCAAGTCTTTGCTCCCATAGTCATTGAGGTGGGAGCAATAAAAAAAATATGAGAGGGACGGCGAGCCTTATAAATCTGTACGTTATATGCTTCCTCCAGCTGGCCTTTGCTTTTCTCTCTTTTCTTTTTACTTTGGAAGTTTCGCTTCATACATTTTATTCATTCATATCCTCCGTTTACAACTCTTTTAGTCTACATTGCATTGTATCCTCTTTCACTTCATCTTTTTCTCTTGGCGAAATCCTTTTGATTAATTGTTTTGTCTTCCCACGTCTCAGCAACGCCCAAACACCTTGTTTTGACTCCACAGTCGCCGTGTAAAAGTGGAGCACGGCTCTTGTTCACATCGAAATTAAAAATCAATTCGTCTGTTTAGCATCGTTATTCTTGTTATTGTTTCGCCTTCTATTCTTCTCTCACTCTTTTTCAAACGTTTCGTTCTAAAGAAAGCAAGAAGCAATAAGTGATTCGACCTCTTATTGGCTTCACTTTGACCACAATATTAAAGTTTTTTTTTTCGGAACTTTTGCTGAAAGATACCTCTCATTTGTGTCCTGTCTTCCGATAAAACGGCCAAGAATTCAAGGTTCTATTCTGGAAACAGTAAGGTTCTTAAAATGTATACATCGAACGTTTATACACCCACATTTTCGTTTGCATTCTGTATCTTTCTAGTTGGTTTTTTCATAATATCCTTCACGGGTCCCAGAGAGGTCATATTGAAATGGGTGTTTAATTGCGTCTTTTTTCCTTTCTCTGTTTTGCCACTTGTGTTTTGTATTGCATCTTCTCCTGTGCTCCTGTAATCTGTGATACGTTGTCCATGCTCTTTATTTATTATTCTTATTTTAAGCTTGTACATAAAAAAAAACCATACATGAGTACTTGAGACCCTGCTTTGTCTTCTCTTCATCCTCATCCTCTGGGCATCCACGCGTGTTCTGTGTCAAGTTCACCTCCATCTTCTCTTCTGCTACTAATCTATACTATTTTGGTGGGCTTGTTGTCAGTGGTTGTGAAGCCCACTGTTGACGGCCCGCATGAGGTGTGAATGGGCCATTTTACTGACACAGTGATACAAACATTTCAGATGCACGTTACCCACATGCAACTACAAAGACTGCTCATTTTAAACATGGCCCAGGTGCTTTATTTTCATTTTGGTTTTTTTTTTTTTCCAAATTTTTTTTTTTTTTTCATCCAAATTTTTTTTTCTGCTTCAGTCATTTAAGTTATTGGTATCGGCATCGGTACTTGTACCAGATGTAGTCCGATGAACTGTTTTTCTCTATTCTATCCCATCTCTTTGTCATCTCTGTCCCACCATTGCATGCTCGCATCCTTGCACCCTGTCTCAAAGGAAAAGAGCTGTCAGTCCATACGTACAACAATCCAAACATCGTTGCCTGCAGCGACAGGCGTTCTTTTTCCCATGACTCTTCCCCATGCATGTGTCTTTTTCTTTTTTTAACAACCCATCCTTCTCTTTTCTTTCTTTCCTCTCTCTTTCTTAATCACTTCCATCCACTTTTGCTAACCACGCTGCATCGTGCTAACCGTTACTCTTCTATTTTTTCTTTACTCTTGCTTCTCCTCCTCTCTTACCATCACCGTGCTTTACTTTCAAACACACTAGTTACTGCCACGACCAACGACTGCAGCTGGAAGGTTTCATTTACCACTTCCCATCCTCAATCACTTCGCTCAGGCCTCCTTTCCCCCTTCATATCAGACATTCCCATTTTCGATCGCTGTGTCTTTTGACCATAAGCATATTGTCATCAATCGAAAAGTACAGATACAATACCTATCCAATGGCACTCTATAATCCAAACAAGCAAATGATCCCTGCAACGGCTACATCACATCCTCCAGCTACACTTGCTGCCACACCACTATCATACCGATCGCTATCAGCGCCATCGCTCATGCATCTCTCTAACCCACATCAAGACATGTATATGTCTGCTCAAGCATCGCAAGACTTTCTTTACAGAAACCAGCAGCAGCAGCATTTCCAAATTCAACCTATGCAACAACAACAGGTAAACCCTCGCCTTCATGGATTTCCAACCCAATCTTTTAATCAGCAGACATTTAGTCAACAGAACTTCGCAGCTGCATCTCATCCTCTCCAAATGAACGGCACTGTCCAGACAACACAACCAACTATGATGAGGAGTAATACCAATTACACTTATCATATGCCCATCCATCCATTTCAGGTGGATAATAATAGCAGCAATAACAACAGCAATAATAAGGACAATGTTGAGTATGCAATCTCAGCTTCCACAGCTCATGTTTCCTCGACTATGGCACCATCAGCACTTGGGTTTGAAATCCAAAACGACCCTTTCCCTCGTCAGAATAACCCAATGTTTACAACAACGACAGCCGCAGCACAGGACATGGATGATATTCAAATATCCTCGGTTTCTTTTCCACCATCATCTGCATCCATCAAGAATAGTTCGGATGAAGTAACAGGGGCCACCCATAACACTGGTGCTTCAATAGTAACATCATCGTCACCCACATCAACAATAACAACAACAATCCAAGAAACTCCCGTACCACTTCGATCGACTGGTAGAATGCATTCGATGCCGTTCATGCATGATCCTGACTTCCCACCGTTCGAGTTACCGGAGGAGTTTGCGGGTTACACGTTTACTCGTCATGGATCGCTAGACTCAATATACCCACTTACGCAGATGCACAACGAGTTTTACAATCACCATAACTCACACCAGCAGCAGCATGCTCAGTCACGATTTGAAGTGACCGCCGCCATGGTTCCATCTCTGTCTTCCACTTCAATCACATCCAATTGCTCTCTTCCACCCAATCCAATGGTGGCCCAAGGTTTTAATAATATCGAGAACATCAGCAACAGCAATAGTTTGGGTAGCAACAACGATAGCCTTGGTCATGCTACAGGGGATGTCAAAGAGGGCAAGTCTGCGAAGCCACGCCGTGCTTCCTTGAGCCCAGAATCAAGCGGTCGAGTATTTACATGCTTCTTTGGTGATTGTCGCAAGATCTTCAAGCGTTCTGAACATCTTAAACGCCATGTACGATCAGTGCACACTCAGGATAAGCGTAAGTTTTTTTTTTTTTTTTTTTTTTTTTTTTTTGAGAGTGATAATCATGAAGATGTTGTTAAGGTATTGACTTTTTTTTTTTGTTACAAATGCTTTCATTATAGCCTTCTTATGCTCATTCCCTGGTTGTCCAAAGCGATTTTCTCGAAGTGATAATTTAAATCAGCATGTTCGGATTCATCGTCATGACAAGGAGAAGGCTGCTCCCAAACCCTTCACGAACTTCACTCCAATTTACCGGCCCCCCAGTGATTCTGACTAAAAAAAAAAAAAAAAAAAAAAAACTTTGAGGATGGGGAGCAAAGGATGTACATTTTCACGCAAGAAAAAAAAGTTACACCCGGCACAACAATACAATGTCGTTTCTTTTTCTTTTCCCGCCTCACTTCGCCTCTCCCGTCGATCATGACATGAATATCTATGCAGTTTGTATCAAAAAATTAAGTTTTTATTTTGTGTCCTCTGTAATCTATAACTACTTTTTTTATTTTACCGTTTGTAAGTCAAATAAACAATACTATCCCAATTATTTATTAAGAGTATAAAAAAAAACTGCCACCAATGGCCATCCAAATGTGTATATATAAATATATATATATATTTGTATTTCTATACTTTATCTGTGCTGCTTTCTTCATGCATGCATAAAAAAAGAAAAGAAAAGAAAAAAAAAAGTCTAAAGGACATCGGGGGCCACGTGGAGAAGGAGAAGGCCCGATTGTTTCATCACAATCTTAGTGCTAAACGTTAACAGAAAAAGGAAAACCACCAAATGAAGAAATGGAAAACGGAAAATGCGAAAAAGCGAACAAAAAAAATATTTTTTTTTCTCTTTGCTTTGTATGCCAATTTTCCACAAAAAAGAAAAAGAGATAGGATTATCGGTGCCGCGATGATTTTATAACAAGGATCCTATTATAAAAATAAAGCCACATTTTTGATAAGCTGTTGTATTTTGTATTGATGACTTCATAAATTAAAATAGAAAGACAGAAAGGTCAAATTGAGCAGATTCAAGGTTTTTCTGTACAGAGATAAGAAAAAGAAGCAGGAAAATCCAGGATAGGATGGGATAAGATGGGATAAGATGGGATAGGCGAAGTTTAATGGCAAAGAACTTCGGTTCAACCACACTAAACTGTATGCCTGGGGAGGCTATATAAGTATATATATTATATATATGTTATATGCTATGCTATGCTATGTTTTGTTATACTATATGCTATACAATTATACGCTATGCTATGCTATGCCATGTCATGCCATGCGGTGTACGTTGTATAAATGCCAAAATGAATGTCTTTTTTGTTCCTCTTGTGCACGGGCAAGGAAGTCTGCATCCCATAGAAGAACGGTACATGTATAAATCAATAGCTTTTATTTTATATTTTTTATGTATTGTATGCTTTTATTACATGCTGATTTTTTTTTTTAAAAATTTTCTACAGAGTGATATCGGACGCCTCATAAATTGTATCCAACATTCCCAGCAACTCGTTCTTGGATATACCTGAGACAGACGCTTTCATGACAGCAGACAGCAGATTATGGCGGATGCTCTCCTTGTCGTTCTCGCTGCTGTCGCCTCCTCGTGTATCAGTGGTGGGGACAAAAGCAGAGGCAGAAGTAGAAACAGATGAAGGTTTACCATCGCAGTGATCATCATCGTATACAGAGTCAACGCAGGCTGAGGCTGAACTTAAAGGTGATGCTAGAGAGGAAGGATAGGAAATGGAGGGGTCCTGTAATCCTTGTACAACTATTGTTGCTTCCTGTATCTCCTGCATATCCTCCTGGAATGTGTCGTCAATCATGTTTGTGGATGATATACAGGACGGCAGTGATTGTACTCTTAATCTTGAGCATGGGCTCCCTTTGTCGCAGTCGCCCTGATCTACATGTACTTGATATAATCTTGTTGATGCAAACACAGATGCATCAACTATTGGGAGCAAATGTTTCGACTGAACCTTAATATTGTTGATACCGTGCGGAAAGACATTTGAATGTTGGCCCTCACTAGGTTGTTGGTAATCTGTACTACCATCGATATTCACTTCTTCATTCATGAGAGATGTTTGAGCAGGATTGCAAGGAAAATCCCGCTCATTTTCAGTCCTTTCTCCTTCCTTCCTCTCTTCTTTTCCCTCCTTCTCCTCCTCTTTTTTATCTTCATCTTCATTATCTTGATCAACATTTGTGATCAACCTTTCCAACAACATCGTCAATGTAACAGGATCAACTGGTCCAGGCACATATGCCTGCAGAGAAGCCGGAGCACCTAAGAAGGTAGAAGAGCTTGACATTCCCCGTAACCGTAGCGATCCATTATCGCTAGTACTAGCTTCTATTTCGTTATCAAGGCCACTAGATCTGGATATTGCTGTATCTTCGAACGATGCTAGAATTCGTTTTGACTCAGATCCACTTCCATGAACATGGCCATGTTCAACAAGACCAAAGGAATCAACAAGGTCTATGGACTCGTGCTCATATGAGTTTTCCCGATGGTCTGACTCTTCTCCTTCTGATTGTTGGGATCCCTCCTCTTCATCATGCTGATCTATGGCATACTTATGCCAATAGTCATCATCCTCTTCTTCATTCTCATCTTCGTCCTTAATTTTAACAGCTTCCGGTTCCGTAGCAGTGACAGAAGCAGTATTTATAAAGTCTTGAGTAGATGTGGTGATAATGGGCTCAGTAGACTGGAGTGTGGGAGATTTTTCTTTGACAGGTGACTCAGTCTCTGCATCACTGTATTGGCCCCAATAATCATCATCTGAATCATCTGAATCATCATCTTGTTCTTGGTGAACTTGATCGTAGACACGGAATTGGGAATGTGGCTGTGGGCAAGAAAATGTGGTTGGTGTGGGCTGAAGTGCTGCTTGCTGTTGTTGTAATTGTTGCTGATTCGGAGACTCAATTATTAAACCTTGATCAAAATTAGGACCGTCTCGGATCCAGCAGTTGGACTGAACCAACTCTTCTAGAGGAATCACTGTCAGATGATGGTACCTCCAAACTATTTTTTCCTCAATCGCTCCTGTTTCTCTATCCCCTTCCTTTATTCCAGTAGTATTTTTAGCAGGCACGTTCCTTTCAGCAACAAGCACAACTCCCCAAAGATTGCCTGAACCAGGGTGGGACTCTCCTACAGGAACCAGTGCTAATGCCGTATTTAAACTTAGAGCTGGACTCGGGTTTAGATTCAAGTGCAAAGAGCAAGGGGAATAGGAAGAAGAGGTAACAGCCTCAGTGTCAAGCGCTTGTTGATATTGTTGTTTCTTTTGGAAAAATACTGACGCACTTTCCCATGAATGACAATTAAAGACAGTAGGAGAGGCCACAGAAGAAAGGAATGAGGAGGGGGAGGAAACAGCAAATGGGGGCTGGCTTAAAGACGAGTGTCTTCGCATACAGTGCTCAATAGTTGTTGCGGTCGTTGGATATAATACATATGATTTTGCTGCAAATGTCTTCACCTCATCCTGTGGCCATGGCTTAAAGTAGCTGTTCATGCTTTCGCCATGTGAAAGAATGTGCTGCTTCAATGGAACAGAAGCCCAGGAGAGGAGATCATGGTGACGAGAGTGAAGATGGGCCATGAGGATAGCCTGCGCCTATAAATGAGACGGAAAGGGTGAGTTATTAAAGAGAAGTGGCATGTGAAATTTGCACACAAAAGATACAAAATGAAAAATAAATAACTATGATAGTGGTAATTAAAGTATTCTTGCAGCCCTTGCAGCTTTGCATGAGAAATTGGAAGACAATTCATAAAATGATGACAATAGCTACTGTCTTCTTTTCTTTACCATTGACCGAGCATCATTGGCGGAGGGTGCGGACATGGTTGCCTTCTTGGTAAATGATAGAGCGGAGAATGAAGAATACAATTGGATCTTAGTGAGTAGAGAGTGAAGAATAAAAGAAAAGAAAATTGTCTAGGGAAGAATGGGCGGAATACTAAGTGTTAGGCGCAGAGTGAGCAGAGAGTACGAAGTGTAGAGAGTGCAGAGAGAGTTTGGGGTGAGAAAGGTCGTTACTTGATCAGGAGATTAAATGAGAATAATGAAATGAGAACTGAATGAAATGGCAATGGAAAAGGGAAGAGAGGAGATAGAGGAATAGATAAATGCGATTGAGCTAAAGATAAAAGATAAAGAGTGAAAAAAAATAAAAATAAAAATAAAAAAAGATGTGCGGAGGGATAGCGCGTGCTGATTGGCTAGGATAAATGTGGAGAAACACAACAACCTCGAGAGTACATGTGTATTATAGGGATATCTTTTACAAACACCTTCCTTCTTTCTCTTTCATTTCAAAGTGAAGGAAGGTGCCTGGATTATTATTTATTCAAAGGGGAGGACTACAATTATATGTTTACATTTGAAGTTATTTGTCGTTTGTCCCAAGATGGTGTCAGTATTCCATCTATATATGTATGGAGCTATACAATGTACGAAGCTGGAAGACTACTTATCTATCAGTTCAGCTCTATCGCTCAATTGAACCCTACACCTTAAACTCTTATTAGAAAGAAAGAGTAAGAAATAACTAATTATGGCGAACATACGTCGCGGGTGCCAAAAAGGGCGTATACATCCTCAAGTTGGTAAGGATCATTACACACAAGGCTATTGAGTACCTTCTGCTAAAGGAGCTGGAAAGCGAAGTCAACCTTGCAACTGCCCCGAGCTCATTAGCTGGCGTCCTGGATGCAAGCGCGCATGTTGCCACTACTCCACCCAATATGACCCTTGACCAAAAGCCGTGGCGATCGGCCTGTAGCAAAATAATTTGTTAATGAAAGCTACGAGCATGTAAGGGTGTTTTACAACAGTCTATATCGTGCCATTGCCAACGTCACAGTCACCTAAGAGAACGAGGGTGCTTCACTATCCATGCTAGAAGCGGACCTTATTAGGGAAATCCTGATAGTTTTTCGTACTCATTTCAACAACTTATCCCGTATCTTGTATTTGCACCAGATTTGGCGCAAATTTTCAGAGAAATTTCACTTAAATACGAATTAAGGCATCTATTCATCATGCTACATCCCCCCCTCTTTCTTAAGCTAATTTTGAGCAAGTTGGTCTCAGGACCTTGAAAACGTAGAGAGGATCGGAATTCACTATGATGATCCCAATGACATGGACAATCTAATGTCGTCCATCATGTCACAGAATAAGGTTCAACGTATCACAAAGAATACTATTTCGTGAAATCCAAATCGGCTCCATTTCTCCATACTAGTAGAGTCTCTGAATAAGAAGAGACCCTATTGTGGATGTTGCAGATTTATCTCTCGAGAATATGAAGGCCGTGCCAACAACCGAACAGATTGGGCTTGTAATGCTTGCAATACTTCCTCTTTGCGTAAACAAAAAGAGAAATTGTTTTGAGAGGATCCATAGTAAAGAAGGGCGTCAAAATTCAACTTACTCGCAGTAACCATTTGTAAAAAATGGTGCAATTTTTTTTATTTTTTTTATTTTTTTTTCCTGCAGGATAAGGGATCAATTTTACAACAGCTTTGCAAACATATAGTCTGATTTGAGTAGATGTATTTAAAATATGTTTTACCTTGGGACCATAACGTAATGAAAGGTGGAGCTATTTTGGAAAGCAAATCTGATGATGGCTGCGTTTGAGGAGGGACAAATCAAAGAATAGTGAGACCGCTACCTAAAACTGCCACCCGACACGTTCTCGACTTCTAACTGACACAATCGTACAACCCTTGGAACATGCTATGGCCCCTACGTCCTGAAACATACATTAATTATGAAGGGCCGTACATGGAGTCGAGCTAGCTAAGGGAGAAGAGTACGTGAAGCACGGTCGTGATATCATGATGGTCATGTATTGTGGAGTTACGTAGTCAATATTTTTGAGTATCGAGGTTTGAAAGAGGAACTGGGGGGCGATATCAAGTGTGATCAGGAGACAAAGTGGTTTTTGTGGAGGCAGAGCATTTAAAAGGCACTTTAGGTAAGTAAGAAGTTCGTAATAAACGAAGAACTTGAGACGGTAAAGATGGCCATCCTTTGGACTTGTGTATGAAAATAAATATCCATCTCACCTCCTTGCAGTGATCTAAGCTGGAAGCGAAGCAGCAGCGATTTTTGAGAACAAGCACGTGCTGGTTAATTTTTTCAGCATGCTGGTTCAATTTTTCAGCATGCTGGTTCGTTTTTCCAGCATGCTGGTTTATTTTTCCAGCATGCTGGTTTATTTTTCCAGCATGCTGGTTTATTTTTCCAGCATGCTGGTTTATTTTTCCAGCATGCTGGTTCGATATTTCAGCATACTTGTTAAAATTTATTAAAATTTTTAACTTGCATAACCAAGTGCTCCTCCATGCACTGCTACCTCAGAATCTCGAGCATCAATAAAAGCTTGATTACTCACAGCTACAGAATGGATAATCCTCATTCAAACATTTGTCAGTTTTGTATATGCACATGCCTAAAAAAAGATGTCAGCCGTAGTCACCCTTCATTGCCTCTTCACAAAAAAACAAAAATGGCGTGCTAACTGCAGCTGGTGGAACAGAAAGGTTTTCATGCTACACAAAACCAAACACCAATTGAATGCTACAACGTTGCCTTTATCTTCTTTATCTTCTTTATCTTCTTTCCATTGTTACCCGTTTTACTTTCACACAAAATCTTTAAGAAATAATGGCAAATCATACACATGATCCTCTTCACCAGGATGAGAATGGAGAACAGGGGTATGAGGATGAGGATGAAGATGAGGATGAGTATGAGGATGGACACGAGGAGGGGAATGAGTATCAGGAGGAGCACACCAGTGACGAGGACGAGGACGAGGACGAGGAAGAGACCCTTATACCTCGCCGAAATCAAATCGAACGAAGAATGCAACTCCAGAAAAGTCTTCCAGCAAATAGAATCGATTCTCCCCAAACTAGTGATGCAGCCTACAATGGCGAATCGTTCGAGACGCAAGATATGCCGTGTGATGAGCTTGAGGTACTAGACTCCTATCTTGGTGCGAACCCAATCTCGTCTTCATCCCAGACGATGAGACCCATGGTAAGCATTGGTCGCGAAAAGAGGAGGTTCATCAAAACTTCTTCTCCTCCCGGTGGATTTGCGCAATCGGTTCATCATGCCAGACCAAGGACGTTTGGACGTTCTCAATCATCAACAGCTTTGCCTACATCACGTTATAATCATACGCTACTTGCTGCACAGCAAGCCCCACTGTCATCTCTCCGCTCATCCAACAGCTTCTCCCAATATCGGGAGTCAAAACCAGGCCCATCTTCAGTCTCCTCGATTTCTACATTGAGCTCCACGCAACAGCGCAATATTTACGCGTTCAAGATCTATTAATCTTCCCTCTTTTGACTTTACACGTGCCATTGATGCTGAAGCATTGGCCAACCGGCGGAGAGAGCTGAGGGATAGTCATTTTGCATCAAACGGATGGTATGATTTGTACGAGTTACTGGATTTTGGTACCATTCCTACGCCAGAACAATGCTCTGACGCCCCTCCCTCTCAAAAAGCATTAGCCCTGATTCCAAATCAAAAATCCTTTCGCAAAAACAGCGTGATTGGTCATTTTTTCAAATCAAGCAAGGAAGAATTCCAGTGTCTGGTCCTGAAAGATGGGGTAATCTGTGGTACTACATACAAGAAAACTGGGAGTGGATATTCAAGATCTGTTCACTTAACTCAGTGCCATGGCGATTTATATAGTGCCCTCCAAGAATTTCGCAATTGTCAGAGCAGGGTTAAAGGTATCATGCTGCCACCTGATCCGGAAGAAGTTGACGTGGCTCCACCAAGAAAGGCAAAATTCGACATCGCACGAGATGAGATTGTTAATGAGAGCCTCAAGAAGCCGCTCCCTCATGAACAAGAAGCATTCGAGGATACGCTTTTACTGCAGTTAATTCGACGATCTTCAGATCAATCATTGAAATGACCAATCCTTATTTCAATATCCCTACCACAATGGCTATGCAAGACAGGATGGATCGACGAGTTCGAGAGATGAGACGCGAAATCAAAGAGTACATTACCTATTATAAGCTTTACGCTGCCGTCACGACAGATTGCTGGACAAGCGTCGATCACAGGAAGTTCTTGGGGACTACAATGCATTTTTTCACGCCAAATTTCGAGCCAGTATCTATTGCAATAGGGATGGAACAAGTCTATGGGGTGCAAACATCTCAAAATATTCACCGGAAGTTTGGTAAGTGAAATGCTGATACATCTGCCCCTTATCTTTATATTTTCATAAGTATTGCAACGTTCTTAACGTTCTTAACGTTTTTTTTTTTTTTTTTTTTTTTTTTGTGGTCTTTTGATTCATTTACCAGCTGAGGCTATTGATAGCATGGATATGAGCGAAAGACTCATTTGCGCAACAACAGACCAAGGTGCTAATATAAAAAAAGCGATAGCTCTCTACCAAGAAGATCACAAGGGGGTGCACTGGTTGGCATGCGCCTCACATAAGATCCAGCTTTGCATCAATAAGTCTTTGGAGCTATGCGAACCCGCTAAGAAATTATTGGACAAGTGCCAAGATATTTCAGTTTTTTTCAGAGGCAATGCCGCGGCGATGTCTATCTTAGTGGAAGAACAGGAAGGCAAGGGTGCCAAGTTGCTGTCGAGGAACATTACAAGATGGAACTCCCAGTACAAGATGGCAAATAGAGTGCTACTTTACTCTCAAGCAATTTCTCGCACCTACCATCGCATGGAATCCTCCGAAAAAAGGGAGATAAGGTTGAAAGCAAAGGAATTAGAGCCAAACCTACTCGATCGTGATGAGGTCAAAGCTCTCCGTGAAATCATTCATATGATGACAGATGCAGTCAAATTCACTGAATGGGTGGGCAGTACCGACCATCCAAAACTGTCACAAATGTATGTGAAGTTGAAAGAGTTGCTACCGGACTCTCGCACATACGACACCGAGACGGCACAGGAGCTCTGGAGAAACCTTAACAGGCTTATCAATACGATGTGGGCCGTGGATGACATTCCCGATGTTATGCTCATATCGCTATTCCTGAACCCGGTGACCTTGAGTATCATTAAAGACATAATGACAACCAATGGTGACTCTCTCAGGAAGAAAGCTCTAGAGGTGACCAGAGATGCAGCAAAAAAGTTTGCCGCCACCCAAGATGGAGCATGTTGGGATCAACTTCCTCTTTTGGAACAAGAATATTACCATTCGATAGTTAGTGTCGATATGGTATATTATGATGCGTCTATTTCAAGAACGCCGATGATGGACATCGCGCGTTTTGCTCTTACTCCTGAGCTTTACTGGAAGGAGCAAAAGGATAAGGGATTAAGAGGAATGGATTATATTGCTCCATTTGCACGAGCATACCTTTCTGTCCAGGCTACTTCCAATGATTCTGAAAGGTTATTCAGCAGAGCCGGATGGATCCTGTCTGCACGCAGAAACCGAATGACCAATCAAAACTTCCGTAACATCATATTTTATCACAGCTTTGTCTCTGCCCTGAAAAAATTACAGAGTTGTAGCAGTAGCAGCTAACTTTTTTATTAAAATAAAGGACTTCTATGGCAACGCTTAATTTCTAAAACAGATGCCAAACTATGGCTGACATCTTTTTTTAGGCATGTGCATATACAAAACTGACAAATGTTTGAATGAGGATTATCCATTCTGTAGCTGTGAGTAATCAAGCTTTTATTGATGCTCGAGATTCTGAGGTAGCAGTGCATGGAGGAGCACTTGGTTATGCAAGTTAAAAATTTTAATAAATTTTAACAAGTATGCTGAAATATCGAACCAGCATGCTGGAAAAACGAACCAGCATGCTGAAAAATTGAACCAGCATGCTGAAAAAATTAACCAGCACGTGCTTGTTCTCAAAAATCGCTGCTGCTTCGCTTCCAGCTTAGATCACTGCCTTGGAGCCTCATTTAAGGGGTCACCTGTCCGCAAGTGCTAAGCCACAGGACAATGATTGCGCCTGCAACTCGAAGGGACAAAGACTGATCTGCCACGTGTAGTATTTGTACACAGCACGCGTCTCGATTAAGTGAACCATGGGATCATTGTCAACTTAATAATTAAAAGTGTTTTGTTTTATTTTATTTATTTTTCTTAACCCTAAACATGTAGACAAGAAGAGGATAGTGGAGAGTATAAAAATATACATTTAAATAACGTATATATATAAATATGCTTTTATAAAAGAAAAAAAGCTCATGCTTTTTAACCATCATGAGCCCGACCAGTGCTTCATTTTTCATCAGACCTTGTTGAAAGCCATGCTCTGTGAATATTACTGCAATCATCGTTGGAAAGCCCTGTTATTATTATTATTTTATTTTTATTAGTTTGGGGATTGGGGAGGGGGGGGGTGATAGAGGAACGGAGCTTTTTACCATAGTTGCTCCACCTTTGTACAAATTACAAGTTCTGTCAAGGCACGATCATCCACAGCAACAGTTGTGGCAGCAAGAGTTAGAATTTTTAGTTTGGTGTTTGTGTACATGCCATAATTGTTGAGTGAGCACAAACGTTTGATTATATTTTATGAAGTGCAATTAAACAAAGCGACCCTTTCCACGCTTTTATATTTATTTCTCATCTCATCCATTCTCTTTCTTTTACTTCATCACATCCTTAACCCTCAACATAAAAACCGGACAGACCCGCCACTCATAAATAACACTAGCCAACTTTTCTCAGCCAACGTATCACACAAAAACCATGTCTATTGAACTTGAACCATCCGCTCAACTTGGCTTTCACAGTAAGAAATGAAATCAAATGAAATGAAATGATGGAATGAAATGAAATAATGAAATGAAATAATGAAATGAAATAATGAAATGAATAAATAATTAAGAAAAGCTTTATGTAGTTTACATTGATACTAACCACCTCATATGTTTCTGTGTGCAATTAAAAGGGCCATTGACAGAAGCCATCAAGGAGTCGCTCTTCATTCGTAATCCAACTCAGCTGCCTATTGCATTCAAGGTCAAGACTACAGCTCCAAAACAGTATTGTGTGCGTCCCAACTCTGGTCGCATCGAGCCTGGCCAGGAACTGGAGGTGCAAGGTAAAAAGAAGAAAGAAAATAGACTTGGAAGGAGAATGGAATAAAACTGCTACGCCTGTTAGTTAGTCAATCAGCCAGTCAGCCTCAATCAGTCAGTTCTTTAGCTATACAGTCAGATAACAAAAAAGGGCTTGCGTCAGCTTATGTTTCAGTATCAGTCTCCTGGTGTGTCGTGAGTTATTCAGCCTGCGATTAAAAACAATGCTGCACAGGTCATCTCCACAAATGGCATAGTTGACAAATCGAAACTACAATGTGATCTACTTGCAGATAGCGGGAAACATGACAAAGTCGGGCCATATCAATTACCATATAATTGCACTTTGTCTGATGCTTGTCCCTATTCCATTTTTTTTTTTTTTTTTTTTTTTTTTTTTGCTTCGTTCACTAGTTCAAATGCAGGCTATGAAGGAGGATCCACCAGCGGACTTTAAATGCAAAGACAAGTTCTTGGTCCAAAGTGTAGCGATTACAGCCGAGCGTGAACAATTATCGCTTGCAGACTTGGTATGAAGCAAATATCACTATATAAAAAAAATCAGTAATGATCTTAAATTCAGGAGATACCTTTTCTTTTCGCAACTAAGAGCTCTCATTGATATCTTTAGTACCATTCTAACATAATTGAAATACGTCTATTTTCTTTGGCTTTTTTCATGTAGTGGCCGGCGATTGAAAGAGATGCCAAGGATCAGATTCGGGAAAAAAAGATTCGCTGTGTCTTCTTACCACCAGTTGGTCAGGAGGCCATCCCACAGACTGCAGAGGAAAACGAGCATGGGTCTACATCGCGGGCCTCATCTGCACCTCACAGTGCTCATAGCACCATCAATGGCCGCTCTGCTTCAGCTGCAACTCCTACTTCACCCACGCATCCAGTTACTGCTGATGTCTCTGCCCAGTCGACTCTGCCATCAGCAGCAACAGCGTCATCAACAACAGGACCATCATCATCAGCAGCAGAGGTCACAGCGCTCAAGCGCGAGCTACAGATTGCTCATGAGACGATTCAGAAGCTTCAAGGCGAAACAACTACGGTAAAGAAAGACCCATTGGCAGTAGTTTTGGGCTATAGGCATAAAAATGCATAAAAGAGCTATTTGTTTCACCATTGACACTTGAAATGTCCATAACCTAATACTCAATTGTACTTTTTTTTTTTTTTTTTTTTTTTTTTTTTTTTTAGCTCCGTCAGCGTGTTAAGGTCGAAGCCGGATCTTCATCCTCATCCTCATCAGGACCAGTGATGACTGCCATCAACTTGAAGCCCCAGCAAGAAGGGTATCCCGTCACCTACGTGATCGGAGCTGCTGCTGTCGCCTTCTTGTTCGCCTATCTTTTCTTCTAAGCCGAAAATATTTCCAGGCAATTCAGCCTGCAGTCATAGAACAAGAAAAAAAAAAAAAAAAAAAAAAAAAGTCCACTATACTCGTACTCACCGTCATGATAACTCCATTAGAAGTATCGCTTATGTGGTGAGCAAGCGAGCAAGACAAAAAAAAAAAGTGCTGAGCCTAACGTATTTTTATTCCAACCAATCTACACAACTCCTCATGATCTAGCAAATATATATTTTTTTATTTTGTAACGCCATTTTAATGATCTTTAACGAACAATAATAGAAACATTTATTGCAGTTTATAACTAAATCTTGACTTAAAGATGTAATTTTCGAACAATGTGACATTTTAACATGGCCGTGAAATATATCCACTGAGGACACCGTCCGTAGCTCCGTCTTTAACTTGTAAGCCAACAGTGCGAGCAATAATCTCGTATAACTCGACATTTTCAAATGGTGGCAATGTAACTTGTGCAGCAGCAGTTTTGTCAATGGCTTCAGTAGCAGACTTTGAAATTCCTTCAATTCGAGGGAACGATGGCCCCGAGGCTAGGAAGATGGCCCTCATATCTTTAGCCTCATTATCCCATCCATGAGCCCCGGCGACTGCTAAGCCCATGTCTCGCCTAGTCATGACGTACCCCGGATCTGCTAGAGCGACCACAGGAGGGATCCGATCATTATTGGCATAATTAAAACGAGCAGGGATCTCTTCCCGTCGATAAACCTGAAATGGCAGCTGGTCGCGTTTTTGCACCCGCTTCAATGTATGATAGATCTCATCTGTCCGTTTAGGGTCTTTGGTCCAAATCGCTAAATGAGGCTGTAGTGATTCTTCGAACAAGAGGTCCGAGGTATCAATATAATCATCATAATAGATGGATTTATCATTGGTGACATAGGACATTCCGTGATCACTAACAAGGACCAGGTTGACAATGTTGGTTAAATTACGAGATCGTATTCCGTCCAAAAGTTCGCCCAGAGCTGAATCGACTTGTACTAATGCCTTCTGTACTCGTCGAGAATCTGGACCGAAATCATGTCCTGCTGAATCAACTTCAGAGACATAGACTGCCATGAGAGCTGGTCGTTCCTCTTGAGGTTTGTCGAGCCATTCAAGAATAGTATTCATCTTTTCAAAGACAGTGACATCGGAACGGTACCGGATGTGATATGTGGGACGCACAGAACGTAAAGATTCACCACCTGGCCACATAATCACGCCTGATCGTTTATTTTGAAGCACTGCTGTTTCCCAAATCTACAGTTTTTTTTTTTTTTTTTTTTTTTTTTTTTTTTTTTTTTAAAATAAAAAAAATAAAAAAAAGCAAAATCAGAGACAATAACTATGGTATTAGCATGAACATGGAACAGTAAAAAAAATAGTGTGCTGTGCTAGCAAGACCACTTACTGGTTCACCGCCCCACCACTTGGGATCCCAACTCTTGTCTGGGAATCTGTAGTTAAAGTCCTCGTTCAGGCTTGGATCAAAAAACATATTGCCGACAATGCCGTGGCTTGAAGGGTATAAGCCAGTGACCAGTGAATAATGGTTTGGGAAAGTTAGTGTTGGAAACGATGGCTGCATATATTCTGCTGCGATGCCACTTGCGCCTATTCAAGGTGAGGAAAAAAAAAAAACAATTAAGACAAGGCATCTACTTTTTATTCTTTATTTCTTTCAAAAAAAAAAAAAAAAAAAAAAAAAAAGTACTTACCCACACTAACAATGTTGGGGGTTATACCTCGAGTGAGATAGTCTGGGCGCATACCATCGAATGAGATCACAATTACAGTCGGATCAAAACCATGGGTTCCATTAGACAGTATCCTTCCATCTTTATCCTGAGCAGTTGGTGGTGGCAAAGGAATGGGCCGGCTAATCAGAGGATTGCATTGAATCTTTTGTAACCTCTCTCGACGTGAAGCTGACTTGAGATCCTGAAAAGAGAGACGTCTAGAAATACCGTTATCATGCCGGACTAGTATTGATAAAATAAAGAAACAGAAGAGTCCGCTGGAGATTGTAATAGCCATTTTAGTCCTCCATGGTTGTCTCTTGTAAAGTCTACATATCCTTGACCATGACCATGGCTAAAGTTAATTTAAATAGAAAAAGAGATGATTTAGATATTGACATTAGGCGACCACGTTAATAGGTTATTAAAAAAAAAGAAAAAAAAAAAGAAAAAGGCACCTTGCGCCCTTCGGGACTCAGGACAGCGGATGTATCGATGAAGAAAACATGACTGCTGCTGCCCTTCAGTTGATCAATGCCCGAGCGGATGCGTCCTTTCTTCGTATTCACCTGTCCTGTACTTACTCCTGGCGTTTGCGGGGTAGCCATGTATGAGGAAGAAAAAGACGGAGTTCTGGAAGAGGTGAACGTCGGCTCCGATTGCTGTGGCCAGATGTGTGGTGATGATCGTTTAGTGGAGTTCTGAGATGAAGGTCTTGATGTTGGGGTTGAATGCATCTGTGAGATGGATTTAATGAGATGCAACGGCAACAAGGATGAAAGATAACAAGAGACTACTGAAGGTGGTACAAATAAAAAAAGATGTAACGACAGTGAATATGAAAGGAAACAAAAGAGGACAGGAAGAGGAAAAGAGAATCGTGTGGCATTGACAAAGTGAGGAGATGATATGGTGTAGGAAGGCAGACCCTGTGACCTTGTATCATTACGACTTGCTGGCCATTAATTGCAGGCAAATACAACATGTACAGTTTTTGTGTAAAAGATACATTGACTTGATTTGGGTTTAAAAATAAAACCAGCTGTGAATTGTATATATATATATATATATAATATACATGTTTATATAATGTAGACATTGATAACTTTGTTCTATGGATTGTCCTGTTGGACAACCTTGCATTGCTTGTGACACATTCATTCCTTAATTTGCTGTTATCAAACACTGGTCTGACACAACTAGATGCATTTGAAACAGCCATTCAGCAATGAGCACGCAACATTTCATTCAATTGATCCTCTTTAATCATTCTACCTGTTCACAATATGTATCCATCAAATGGTAGCACAATACCGCATGTAGATGATAGCCATTCTGATATCAATATTGGTCATTCTAACGGGAATCACTCAGATCTAATCGCTCCACTGCATTTGCAAATGCAACAACCACAGCCACAAAATGGATCCTCCCTCCCCACGCCCATCAACACCAATCTCTCCACCAACAGCGATACAGACAAAAGCACAGACTCATCCACACCGCCGACACCATCATTCTCACTCGCTAGTCCTTCGATTGCTACGATTCCTGTCTCTCGACCTAATAATAACTTAATGGACGACTCTTCTCATCCCCATCCTTCTTCCCCTCCTCACCTGATAGAACACCTATTTGAGGGCGCTTTCGATAGCGCATCGCCACTCTTGCCATTCATATCATCCTCTGTATCTACAGCAACTTCACCCGCTCTTTCCCTCAATCCTCCCCATCCGTTGTCGCCTGTGGGTTCCTTACCTGTCTCTTCTCCTTTATTGTCGCGGGGTAATGCTTCTCCTACAAATCAAGAGGAAAAATGCTCAACTATAGCTACACCGGCGCTTTCCTCAATTTCACATTCTCCATCAACAACAGCCCCAGCTCCCGTAATAACTTCTATCCCTCTTGATCGTCATCCTACTATTGCTGTCACTCCAAATCCCAATGAATTGACCATCAAAAATGCGATCGCAAGCGGGCTTTTGTGTTCTCCAACGCGTGCAACACCTGGAAGATTTATTTCCAAATCCCTTGCATGCTCAGAATTAGCGCCCAATGCCGAGGTTAAGGATGCCAATGGTAGTACAAATAGCGGCAGCAATTCCTCTGGTGCATACGCGTCTTCATATAGATCCAGACGTGTAAGTGTGGAGCCTCTCTCAGTTATCACTAAAGCTGAGGCAATATCTGGGGCTCCAACATCCGGACCGCCTACAAGCACAGACACAGGGGCCATTACGCCCTCAAGGGTCAGTACCACCCCAGGAACATCCGTAACAGACGAACCAACTAAGGAGCTTCCCTCTAAAACACGCTTTAAAGAGATAATCAAGCGAAACGTAGGCTTCTCTTATTCATCACCGACATCCAGCTCATCATCGCCAGCTTCTGCTGAAGCAAGCACATCTACATCAGCCACTACTTCTAGCTTGCTAACTAACTCGGTGTTCCCCAGTACCGCTCATGCTTCAAGTGCAGCTGATAGTGATATAGTATCTCCCGAAGATCCGCAAAAACAACAACAGCAACAATATAGTCAAGTATCTTCGTTTTTTAATGTACCTCGATTGACAAGTGGCCGAAAAAAGGTTGTCAAGCCCGATACACCATCACCCGCGATAGATGATTCAAAATTGATGGAGCAAAAGCAGCAGCAGTATCAGGAATCCAACAACGAAGATAATGAATCCTTGCTGACAATCATGAGATCCAACCCTCACAAACATCCTTTCCGTAACTTTATTCCTCATTTGCATCGGCATCGGCATTGGCATCGTCACTACTCTCCCTTACATCGTGGATCCGACTACGAGCAAGTGGAAGAGAGGCTGATAAGGGAGGATGAGTCCAAGAAGAAGAAGAAAGAGAAGGAGAGGCAAAAATATCACCAGCAAGAGCAACCTGTTGTTTCGAAAAGTTTAACTCCTTCAAAGGCTTTGATCGAGGCTCGAGAGCTGTTGAGTCATGATCCAAATGTCCTTGTGACAGAGTTGGAACCTTTGCCGGTTGATTTTGTTAAAGCATTTACGGCCTTCAAGTTATGGAAAGCTTCGTCATCATTGGTCCCGATAGTGCCGACAACGGCTATATCTTCAAGCTCGGTTCTATCAGGTTCCACTTCAGCAGTGACGAAGCAGTCAACTCGGCCTATTCTTCAATATCAACTTCCAATGATAGCTAACAAAGTTCCATCTCTAGCCTTGGCCTCCACAATCCCTTCCTCGGGCTCAGAGTCAATGCTTTCAACACAAGGAACCTCTCCTACGCTCTCTGCAACGACGCCAGTAATCGCACCTTCATTGGCACATTCTAGACTCCCCCGATCCATTTCTGAAATTGGTAGTGCCAGTGACTTACTTGGTTCTGTCACCGCAGCTGCTGGGGGACCCTTGGCGCCTCGGAATTTCTTATTTAAATCTTACCAAGACTCTAGATTCCAAGGCCACTATGTCTTTCGAGTATTGGACGACACCGTGGAATACGCGAAATTGCCTGTTTCGTTGGAGCAGGCCTGTTCACAATACTTCCGTGAAGCTGATGTGAACTATCGAGCGTTGGAAAGCAAGGCCAAAGTTTGGAGAGAGGCAAAAAAAACCGCTATGGTGAAACGGGAGGAAGAGTTCGTGGAAGCCAGGAAAATTGTTGCGTCTTTGACTACTACCGCGGCTATATCTGCAGCTGCTCAACGCATTATTAACTTTCGTAACGATAGTATCAGCAGCTGCGAGGAAAGTTCAGATGAGGAAATGGTTGAACCTACCAGCACACACGATGTTTTTGATAACACGGAGGAGGGCAAGGACAAGGGTAATGAAGGACTTTTCTCAAAGACGACAAGAAAACCGAAAGCTTTGTTAGCTCATAACTCAAGCCCCATGGACGGCGCAAGCTGTAATGGCAATAGTAGCAGCAATATCGCCACATCTCTTAAAAATGGTATAGATGGCACTGATGGAAATGGGGAATCTATGGTTCAATACGGTATTAATATTATGGATGGTGGGCAAAAAGCATACAAGCGCGGTAGCACAGGACTCTCAGGCGCCACTCATGTATTACCCAATCGCAACTCCAGGCCAAATACCGATCATCCAAGCAGTAGATTGGCCTGTGTGGCCGGAAGATCACCGTCGAGCACGGCCTCTCATCCTAATTCTAGCGCTGCTACTCAGTCAGCAAGTGAGCAAGATGTACAACAGGCGTCACATTTACAGAGTGTTATTATTAATGAAGAGCAGCAACTGGAAGAGCAGCAACGCGAGATCGATGATACATACTGGCAAGGCGTAGAACGCAACCATTGTGAAGAAGCAAAGCAGCAACTCTATGGGCTGGAAGCCTACCTGTTAGAGTTAGTCAAGTGGGTGGAATACGAGCCATTCGATCAAGCAATCAATGTCGAGATTCTGAACAAAAGCCGTAAGATAAAAAAAGTCATAGACGCTTTTTTTAATTTTTGCAGTCTTATAACATAAGCTACTAAATCATCGAAATATTTATAATACCTCTTGACGGAAAAAAAAAAAAAAAAAAAAAAAATAGCGGACACGACTCTTTTTTCAATTGTGAATGGGGATAAGACCAACATCATGCGGCTGGAATCACCGTCTATCAAGCAAAAGGAAGAGTTCCTGAACTGGATCAGTATCTGCATTATGGATCATGATGGTGACGGCGATTATGATAGAGGTATATTCACCATCTATCTATATGATCTTGCTCGAGAACCGTATTCTTTGATTGGACAATATTCTATTTGTTATTACCACATGTTATGAAGCCAGCTTTTTATTTTTGTCCTCCATAACCGCTAGATATTCAAGTAGCCGAGCCAAAATGCAGTTCTAAGGGTCATTTGTCTCCTAACAGCGCTACGGTATCGCCGCACGACTCTGCTGTGGACAAGCCGTAATGTTTTGAGGATTGTTGAAAGTATTTAATTTGTTTTGATTTTTAAGAGTTAAGACTAATATTATCTTTCTCTCTCTCTTTCTTTCTTAAAAAAGAGATATGGGTCTCGTCCTTGATATTACGAATGTTCGAATATCACTATTGGAAGCGGCCTTGCGAGCCAGGCGAGAAGAAACCAAAAAAATTGTGGACGAGATCACTTATGTGTTAAAGAAGCTTGAGGATCTAGATCAGGACTCTAAGGTATCTATTTAGGGACTCCAAAAAAAAAAAAAAAAAAAAAAAAAAAGAAGGCTATATCATAATGTATCACTAATCAAAAAAAAAAAAAAAAAAAAAAAAAAAAAAGGAACTCGCTGCAAATGTAGTGCGAGCGCTTGACAGAGGAGAAATTCGAGCAGCGTTACAGCCATCCTTCATTAATGGTCAAATCCTCGCAGATACAGTCAAGTTCAAGGTTCAGGACGTTAGCGAACGCATTATTGTTTGTGCTCGCATCAAAGAAGCTGCGCGACTCAACGTAAGTTTTTTTTTATTTTTTTTTTTAAAAAATAATATAATAATAAAATCTCTTAGCAATTTGCTGACTTTTTTGTTGTTGCTCAAGTTGAATCGATTAAAATACGAAGTTGAACTTGAGCAACGATCGATTCGTCTGTTCCGTAAATACAAGATTGCCCTCACGATGGCCATCCTTACCATCCTTGGTCTTCTTTGGTTACTCTACTATCGCCACGCTAACCCTACCTCTCCGCTTCTACAGCCCCAAAGCATTACGCCGACATTCAATCAACCAAATGCTCCTCTTCAGTCATTCCCGACTTGCCCAGCCAATCCTCTGAGACAGGAAAAATGTCCTCTATTCCAACAATAAGATTACAAAAGAGAGAGCATCCTCTATCTCAACAGAAAAAAAAAAAGGATCTTTGATTTCATCTTCAAATAATATAGTTATTTTATTTTATTTATTTGTGTATCAAAATACTTGTTTACAGAAATTATGTACTACAGCGCAAATTGAACCATTGCATGCTTTCTTAAGAAAAAGAAAAAAAAAAAAATGTCGAGCTCACTTTACAAATGGAAAAAAGAAAAATGAATGTACATAGAGGGAAAAAAAAAAAAATGGAAATTAGAACAATAATATTTTTTAAGACAGAATCGGTAAGAAATTGCCCACAATTGCTAGTGGAATGTCAAAGATATCGCGTTTGATTGTAAAGCAGAACGTGCAGGGAACAACTCGGTTGGTCGGGCTCAACAAAATACATGTTGTCATGACTGTCTGCTCCGTGTTCTCGAATGCACGGGTCGAAAACTTTTCCCAGTACTCGACCGCTGATTGATTGTCCATAAGCTCATAGATAAACTTATTCTTATTATTTTTGTTATTATTGTTGGTCCTATTCGGTACCAATTGGTCGCGAGACCATTGTGTCAGCAGCGAGAACTCCTTCCCTACCAACGCAATTTCGCCTGTGCGCCGCCACACCACCGTAGGCGTTCCTGAATAGCTGATGAGCTTTTCAAACTCCTACACGCGAACAAGAACAGGTATAAAAAAAAATAAAAAAAAAATTTAAAAAACAATAATAAACCCAACTTTCCCACGGTTTCTCAAGCCAGCCAGCCTTTGTACGTTTGGGCAATCTAGAGTTGTTGCACAACTCAATAAAAGAAAAAATCCATTGCAGTGTGTATACTTACAAGGATCGTGCGTTGAAAACAAGTCTCCATGAAGATGAGGTCCTCAGGAGTCAAGTTCATGATCAACGCAATGAACGAAGGGCGAAACATAGCCATAGCCCTGCACACACGCATCATCTCCTCCTTGTCCATCCTAATTTTTTTTTAAAAAAAAATAAAAAAAATAAAAAATTAGCCTCTCCTTTGGAACATTCAAGAAAAAAATGTAGTACATCGGTGTATGTGTATGCAAGTGTGGAGATATAAACAAAAAAAAAAAAAAAAAGATTGAGTAGGAAGGGGTTGGCAAAATCAAGATGTTGGTGCTGATGAAGTGATGTTTTTTTTTTTTTTTTTTTTTTGCAATATTTTTACCTTTCACGGACATATTGTAAGAGATAATGAAAGCCATCAGTGTAATTGAAGGGTTGCTTAGTGTTAGCATAGACATTTTCAGGCGTGTTGCTGGGGAACTTGCGCTTAGTACCCTTCATGGAACCATTAGCCGCCTGCAAGGTATCGCTTTGACCAAAAATGCTCTTGCCAGTATTGTTTTTTAACAATAGTGGCTGCTGTAGTTGCTGCTGCTGCTGCTGCTGTTGTGCCAAGACCGACCTTTGTAGGTGCCCTTGGTGCTGCTGTTGTTGTTGCAGCGTATTGGCCATGGCTTCGAGCGCATCCTGACGCTGCCAGGTGTCGACCATCGAAAACCCTGAGGCTATGGACTGCAATTCTGCTGTTGGTGAAGAGAGCATAGTTGAGAGGATAGAGTATTCAAGATTGATAGCGTCTGATCCAAATCCGTGGTCAAGAATTGTAGAAGTCGTTGATGATGTCAAGAGGTTTGAATTTGCGGTGCTGGTAAGAGGAATGGTTGATTGTGCTGCTGCTGTTGATGTTAAGGAGGATAACCTCGAGGAGGAAGAGGATAATGGCGATGGGACATCAGGAAAGCTGAATAGAGCATGTGCATCATTCAGCGGCGATCCTAAGCAAGAGCGTGAGAAGCGAAGAGCAAAGAGCAAAGAGTATTTAGTAATGATATAAAAAACCAAAGACAAAGGCCAGACCCAAGTAAAAAAAAAAAAAAAAAAAAAAAAATAGGGGGAAGAGGGAAGGGGAAGCAGTTTCTCCTTCTCTCCTATCAAAGTCTTTCATTTTCTTTAAGGAAAAAGGATTGCTCACACCATTGGCTTTGTCAACCTTTTCCTTCTGGGCAGAATAAGGAACAGAGGAAGCAAATGCAAAGGAATTGATAGAATGAAGGGGGAACAAACCATAAAGGGAAAAGAAAAAATGGAAACACACAGCATTGCATGTCGCACTAGACCTTTTGTAGTCATAGTAATCATACCTTCAACGCTGCCAGTCTGTGATTCTGTCTCAGCAGCCTGCTGCTGAGAATCGACTGCATCTTGAAGATACTTGGCTTTTTTTCTCACACCATCTGTACAAGATCCCGCAAGGTCACGCTTGATACATCGTTGGCAAGGACGTGCTATTTTGATTTGATTAAAAAGAAAAAGGTTAGCGCTGTCAATAAAATGTAAGGGACGTTGCCCACACACTAGCGTCATTACTAACTTCTCTTGGAATAGCCAACAAACCAACCAGCAGCTCCCAACACTTGCTCTTTTTTTTCCTCATAATCTTTGTACTGAAGCTTTTTTTGTTTCTTCTACCGTAGAAAAATATTTGTCTAAAAAATAGGATATAATATGTAGCAAAGTATTGCCAATCTCTATCACCTGGCTTTCAAGTAACATCAATCAAATCCACCTCACATTATCACTCAAGTGCTGTCTGTCTTTTTCCCAATTCCAGTTCTCGCCTGTTTGCACTTACAGTCATCACAGGTCAGATGTGCCTTTTGGCAATGAAAGCAACTAAATTGGGGAAATATGATATTATGAATAAATACACATGTTTATGCTTATATCCTTAATCACGTTATTTAGTCTTTGCTGGGTTTACTTACGCCCTACTGGCCTTTTTTCTGCGGTAACCTTGACTGGTTGTTGAAACATCTGAATTCGCTTGACCATGCAATCCCACGTGGCTTTGCCCATGAGCTCCATTCTGATGATGAATCATCAGATTGATCGTGTCGATCGTCTCAAGTTTTGGTCGATCTGCAATCAATGGTACTTGACTATTGATATTATTGTTTATTTGGTTGATCCCGCCAATTTCGTTCCACAATAGGGATGTTCAGAGGCCGGAGACCCAACGCGGAGCAAATTATAGACGAAATGGAGAAAAGAGGGTGAGGAAGAAAAGCAATAGAAGAATGAGGAAATAATAGTAAAGGATGAAAAAAGAAAACAAAAGGAGAGGAGAGAGAGTTTCATGAATGAGATTGGTTCGGACGCGGAGAACGCGAAGTTTTTTGGGCAATGAAGCAGAATATAAAAAAAAAGAACGTTGAATTATCCAACCCAGCTCTCTATGCTATGTTCTACTTTCTTTTACTCTCCACTGTGAAGTGGGGGTAGGAGACAGCAAAAAATAAAAAAAAAGACATTCATCCGCCTATTTTCTCACATCTGAATCCATCCAATGCGCCATCAATATCTTTTCCCCATCACTTTTCTACTAGGCCCTTCATAACGACACTTCAAAGAGCAAAGAAGAAAAGATAGAATGAATGATATAAATGGGGATGTGAAGGTCGTCAAGTAGATGGGAAGAAAGCGGAACGGACAGCTTCGGACTTGAGGTCAAATAATCAACAATTATGACTGAAAAAGCTTTCTTGCCCACGGAGCAAAATTAAAAGCTCCCCGCGATTGAGTTTGGGCGCATTTTATCGTGCCCTGTTGGTTGGTGAGCGGAAAGGAGATCCTCGAAGTATGAGACATCAAGCAAATGAATAAGCTCAAGCAAGCTTGCCCTATCGTCTATGGGAGTATAGGTGGATAGAAAAGGTGCAAGCTGCACTGCGCCCATCTCTTGTAGAACTGTCATGATGCACAGACATCTCACTCTCTTTTGTCTCTTCTTCTCGGTTGCAATATTCTCTCACATATTCACATACAATATGAATATTCCCCCATAGTCATCTCTTGAAACAGGTCAAACACATGCACAGTGACATGCATTTGCAAAGACATGTGTGATCAAAAAAGGGGCAGAAGGACTAATCTTTGAATGGCAAAGCAACGTGCTACTGGGATTGTGGGACAGAGTGATTGATGAATATGCCATATGGCCATGGGGAATTGTGGAGATGACAAAGGCTCAAACCAAGGGGGAGTGAAAAGTAATATCCAGAGAGAAAAACAATATATCGCACATCGAATAGTAAAACGACGACTCACATGGTGGTGCCCGATGTCTGGCTCAGATCTGTCATCGTATGAGTACGAGCGCGAATCATGGCCGAAGTTGTTAGTGAAGCAAAATCTTCAGGATCAAGGTCCATCTCTGGATCAGACAACTGACCCGAGTCATAGAGTTCGGGGTGATTATCAAAGAAATCGTGGTACAGATCGGGCAATGATGTCGTTGGCCCCAGTGTCAAGATATTAGCAGGCGGTTGAGGTGCGTTAATCATATCGTCAAAGAACGTGGTCGCCTCTCCAGTCGGTATTGGTGGTGTCACTGTTATGGCTACATCAACTGCTGACTCTACGGCTGTGGATAGCGACGATGATGGAGACGATGGCAATGGCAGTGACGATGATAATGATGGCGATGGTGACGGTGAAGCCACTATTGTTGTTGTCTCAGAAGGCAAGGATGGTATGACGTCTGATCCTGATCCTGATCCCAGTCTCTCGGACTTGATCGCTGTTGATAATGAGTGACCAGCACCATTGTCGAGCACAGCAGTAGTGATTGTTGCTTTTAGAGGAAGGGCATCCAGATCTAGGTCGGTTAACGAAGGTGTTCCAGGCATCAAAGCAGCTGAGACGGATGCTGGTGGTGGCGATGGGGGTGGCGTGGTTGCCATAACTTTCTGGTCCTTAACAGATGATGACGCTGGATCTATGGGAATGGCCGGTACTTCTTCATCTTCCACTTTATTAGAATCTGAAGCACTCATTATGGGGCTCGTAGGGGTTGCGGGAGGCGTTGTTGGAGGACTGACAGCACCCACAAGACTCATGGTCGATCTGCCCACTACAGAACCTGTTGTTGAGGACGAAATCGTTGTTGTGGTTGCCATGATTAGGATCTTGAGTCCGATGAAGAAGAGAAATTAATCAGCCAAAGAGGCGAAGAGGAACAAGGCAGGAAAAGCGGAAAAGGGAAAAAGGGAAAAGCTCCAAGGACGAGAGTACAAAGAGAAAAAAGGGGGGAGAAACGGTCTTTTGTAAAGATTACAATGGATGTTGTTGCAGAGTAGGCTCAGGGCTGGCGCTGAAATGTGTGCAAGGCTTGACAGCTATGATATGAAGAACCAGGTAAAAATGATACGACTGGGTCAATTGGCATTCAGTTGATTTGACCGTGCTAATAGGTCAAAAGCGTACTTTTGTCTTGACGAAAAGGACAGGCATTGATGATGTGTCCTTTGATCTTTGAGAACAACAGCAACAACAACAACAACAACTACAACAAAAAAAGCGTGGTAATAAATATTAAATTGAAGCTGTATGACTGCGTCAACTGGTGAGAAAATAATTTTTTTTTTTTTTTTTTTTTTTTCTTATCACTAATCACTGAATTCGGATTCAGTGCTGTTTGAAAGAAAGGAAGAAACAGGATATGGTTTAAAAACTCGACTTTATGAAAAGGCTGTCCAAAGGGGCGTCAAAGGAGATGAAGAAGAAAAAAAAGGGATGTGTGGTTGCCCTTTTTTTATTCTATCATTTGTGATGAGCGGAAACGAACGTAATCTCAGTATCCTGTGGGATTGAAGATCGGGAATCAGAAACAAATGGATCTTAAGATAATGGGAATAAACAAATAATAATAATAATAATAAAAAAAAATAAAAAAAAAAACGTTGAGAAGTGTGTGTGTAAGAAATAAAGAGGATGAGGATGATTATTGAGATGGTGATGCGTTGTCGTACAAGTTGCGTGCTAATAATCAGCTCAAAGGCAGAACGGAAATATTGGGCGAGAACAGTGGAGAGGATTAGTGATGAAAATGATTCGCGAGCAATGCTGTCCGAGTACAGTTGATGTTGTTAAAGATATCAAGTAGAGTAGGATGGCAATACGTGGCGTTGCAGGAGTATCAGTGAGGGTGTAAGGATGTGGGAGTGTTCTGTTAGAATGAAATGGGAGAAAGAGAGAGAGAAAAGAGAAAGAAAGAGAGGATCAACCGCTAGCCCAGCCCATCGATGATGATGACTCGGTCTGCCTGTGTCAACACTGGATGAATCTTCTGTGTCTGTGTCTGTCGGTGTTCGGTCTTGATGAGATTCAATCGAGGACCAAATTTGTAGTCACTCGTGAAAGAAAGAAAACCAGTTTAACATTCATTTCATTCGTTATTCAATAAATACAGATGTATTGTATATATTTCTTTAATTATCGTTCGTTTAAATGTTTGTGCTGTTATTATTGTTATTATTTATGTGTCTTCGTTTGCTTTTCAAAAGTCTTCTATCTCTGTGGATCTTCTAGTCTAGTCATGCTTGCATCCAATTCTTTTTCTGATCTTTATAATTCCTTTTCATCGCTGCGCCCGAATGAATAACAATTTTTTTAAAAAAAAAAAAAAAAAAAAAAACTTGGTTGTTGGGTATATTTTGCTTTTTTTTTTTTTTTTTTGTTTTTATAGAAACATAATCATCTTTTCTCCTTTCCCACACTTTTTTTTATTTTTTATTTTTTATTTTGCCTTTCGAGAGTTTGTATAACATTCTTTGGATAAAACTCTTTCTCTGATTTTTTTTTTTTTTATTCCAAATTGTGGAGCAAAGAAATTAATGGCAATGCTGAAACATGGTATCTCTTTTTTTTTTTTTCTTGTCATCTTCATCTGCCACGGGCCACTGAAACATCCAACTTTTCATTGAAAGATATTTAGTACAACGGGCTTGTCCGACTTTTAAAGATCTTCTGTTCATGAATAATGGAAATGCATTGACAGATTATTACGAGAGAAGAGTGGCAATCTCAAAACTTCATTGACATTGACACATCAAATAAACATGTGGACCGACATGCATATGTCCGTCAAGTAAAGTATATAAAATGACGAATGTTTGTAACCTAGATTTTTTTTTATTTTTTCATGCGGACGCCTTGTTCGGGCAGTTCCCTTTTATGGAGCTTGCTCTCCTTAGACTGCTCATACAACCCCTCGTCTATGGAACTGTTTCCTCCATGGCCATGGTGGCTTCAATTTAGATCATAAGGGAGAACCCTTGAATTGAATCTATCAACCATTATCTCTTTTTTACTTTTCTTCCCTATTCTTTGTATTCAAATGATTTATACTTGTGTCTGTTCTGCATTCCAAATTTTAGTAAGACATCATGGTACTGAAAAAAAAAAGCTTATCCCGATGGACAGAAATTTTGAGTGAATATATTTTTACCCCAGATAAAATAATGATAACGACGTCCCATAAGTCTTGTTATGGCTCAGAGAAAAAAAAAGGAACTACTAATCTCCCAGGACAAGATAGTTTTGAATGAAGAAAGAGAATGAGGTATTAAAATAAACCACGCGAGAAAATATTGTGCCTGAGAGAAACGTTAGTTCCCGATCAAAAACAAGGTTCAACAACAGTCGAGATGGATCCATGTTGACAGGATTGGCAGTCTCGAATAAAGAAGAAGTAAAAAAGACAAAGCCCTTGAACAACCAAACTTTCTTCATTAATCATAAGTTCCTGCATTATGGATCTTTATGACAAAGTACATAGTATTCAACCAATCTCGTGGCAAAGTCAACTTGTCGATCTGCAATAGTCATTTTAAACAGAGGTAATAGTATATATAGATAGTATATATATATATATATATATATAATAATAATAATAATAATAATAATAATAATAATAATAATAATAATAATAATAATAATAATAATAATAATAATAATAATAATAATAATAATAATAATAATAATAATAATAATAATAATAATAATAATAATAAAAAGTGTTGAGTAATTGAAAGGATATTTTTGTGTCCGATCAGATCTTCCTCTCCACGTCTTTACGTCTTGAACAAACTCGTCAGCTTTATTAATCGCGTACTTGTTAAATCATCCTACACGTCTACACACGTACTGCATTCACGAAAATCAATGCAAAACCTCCTTTCTCACCCCAACAACAACAACTCAGCATCATGGAATTATTCGTGCTCTTTTTTTCTCTCTCTCCTTCTCTCTCTTTATTTTATTTTTTCGTCCATCTCTTTTGCATGTTTCTCCCTCATTAACCTTCATCTAATCCTTACCCTGTCTATCCCGAAGATGTGCAGTCCTTTTAGTCCATTCTAGACTACTTGGGTATTTGGCATTAGTAGGGCCTCAGGCACAGATTCAAAATGAATTGTTTGACCAAAGAGGAAATGCCGAGCTGCCCATCGTATCGGGCCTTTAATTTTTTTTAAGTCACACACCATGTTCACGTCCGAAAACATGATTATAATTTTTTAATCTAAAAACGATGATTAAATTGACTTGGTGACAGACTTTTTTACAAACTAAATTGGTGCCAATCTGTATTCATTCAACAAATGTTGCGGGGTCGTGCCCAATTGAAACGGGCTATATTTATACACATATGGCTCCCTTGTTGCGCGTCAACAAGTGAAAGGTAGGGGGTGAGTAACCCTAAATATTATAAGAGCAGCACCTTTTATACTTCCTTACTTTCAGTTGGACTTGCTCCCATACATTCAGAGTGTCCACAAGCCAGGACAATAGATTCAGCAGACTTAGGCTTAAATGTCAAGCACATGATTGTCTGGTATCCAGGGTGTCCCAAAGGGCAGGAACATTATGATTCTATTGAATAAAATCAAAATAAATAAGTGACACATCCAGATGTATGTGGATAAATATATACAGTAGTCCCCATGTTGACATCTTGAGTATATAAAGTTTACAATCAGTTTTTTTTTTTTTTTTTTTTTTTTTTGCGGAGTCTCTCACAATTCGAGGTCTAGTCCCAAATGTAATCAGAACTGAACAACTGATATATATGTCTATACATAGGACCTGGACACTTGATGATGTTAAACTGGACCTGTTTATAAGGTATTGTACCGAAGTTAGACCGCTGTACATGCTCATACATAGGAGATTTCTACGCGTATGTGTAGTTCTTGGTATCTCCTTGTGATTGCGCCACCAATATGGGATTATTCAGTCAGTCACGTGGAAAGTCGGCACAGAAATATTTAAAGTTCACAAGATTCACAGTCTGATCATGTCATGGGGTTTAGACTCTGGAGGTATTCCATCAACTTGCATACGTATATAAAATATATAGCCCGTTTCATTTGGTCATGATACCTTATATTTTTTGAATACTTTCGAGTGTATTGGCAGCCAATTGGCTCGCTTGTTGCGAGTATTGTTGCAAGTCCGTCACGTAGTGAAATGCCACCAGAACAATTCAATCATCGTTTTTAGATTAAAAATATAAGGTATCATGACCAAATGAAATTGGCGATATATGTATATAGTGTAAAAATATACATTACACATATACCTCCGCGACTTTTCCCGTGTTCATCAATGTTTATCTGTGTTTGTAGGCTCATCTAACAAATCTAACATGTATAAACATGAATAATATATTTTTATGTGTACATACTGCATAACTGGTCAGAGATAGTATATATAAATATATATATAAACACATCTCTATATATATAAATATTTATACAAATAAACACCTATACTTTTGTTACATTCCAGAGATGGGCGAAGCATTTATTGGATTGACAGCTAGTAAGACCTTCATCGTATAAATAGGATCCTTTTGCTCACTATTTCCTTTAAAGAAAAAAAGAAAAAAAAAATAGTTAGCGATAGCTCGCTATTCTCTTGCTTTGAACCAACTATAAATTAAGAAAATTGATTGAAATAGAATGGGCCTAGTGCTTAGTACGTTCCCTTGAGATACAAAGTCTGGATGCTGGAATGAATAACATTTCTAGTACGAGGCTTTTCATTTTTGTATCTCTTTTTTTTTATTGAGTGTCATATAGTTTCATTGTAGTGAAATTCTATTAGGACTTGAATGATGCCGAGGGAGGTCGGACAAAAAAAAAAAAAGTTACATCTAAGTTTCCTTTTCTTTTACATCAGCTACTCCTAAACTTTCATTTTCGCACCATGCAGCGATAGCTTTTTTTTTTTATAAATTTCTGCTTGCCCTAAATAGAATAAGAGAGCAGAAAAAAAAAAAAAAAAAAAAAAAAGAGCAGGCATTATTGGTAGGACAGGAATTGGTATGCATCTCGATCTTGAAGCGCGATTCGTTGCATGTAGACTCATTTACTTGCCCTGCTTGCTCTCCTCCCCCTAATGACCCCTCTCTCATCTTTTTTGCAAGAAGTATGGGGATGCTAGTGAGCATCCAATAGGCCTCTGTATTCTGGCTCTTCTACATTTTTCATGTCTATACACCCTTTTTCTTTTTCTTACCATCGCTCTCCCTGTTTCTCTTTCTCTTCTTTTCTTTCTTTCTTCCACTCTTTTTTTTTTTTTTTTTTTTTTTCTTCGTTTCACTTTACATCACCACCACTCCAATATTTAAATACCCCCACTTCTTTAATATTTAAACCCATCTTCTTCATTTACTCTATTAACACCCCATCTCATCTTCATAATGCGTGAAATTGTCTCACTACATATCGGTCAGGTAAAATAACGCTTTATTTGATTGTTTAAAAGAAAAAAGGAAGGAAAGGAAGGAAATTAAGAAAGGCGTTCTCAGACTGACATTTTTATTATTATTATTATTATTATTTGTTTTTTTTTCCTTTATAGGCCGGAATTCAGATCGGAAATGCATGCTGGGAACTTTACTGTCTTGAACATGGCATTGCACCTGATGGCACCAGGTAATTTAAAAGAAAGGAAAAAAAAAAATCCTGTATTACCACACTGTTGATGGTTACACCAAGAGAAAGAAAGCGCGACTGAGATGAATCTCATCCTTCATTAGAAACGCGGACGCACCCGAGTCCACCCCTGGTACCTTCTTTGCCGAGGGAAGCAATGGAAAATTTGTCCCACGAACTGGTAAGGTCTTTGCTACTATCTCAAATCCTAAAAAAAAAGAAAAAGGAAAAACAATGTCTCAACAATTTTTTTTTTTCTTTTTTCTTTTTTCTTTTCATTTTTGGGATAGTCCTTGTGGATCTTGAAGAGACAGTAGTAGACGAGGTTCGCAATGGCAGGTACAAGAACCTGTTCCATCCAGAATCCCTCATCTCCCATCGTGAGGATGCTTCCAACAACTACGCTCGTGGCCATTACACTATCGGCAAAGAGTTGATTGATCCCGTCATGGACAGAATTCGTAAAGTTACCGACAACTGTAGTGGTCTTCAGGGTTTCATTCTTTTCCATTCCTTCGGTGGTGGTACGGGTTCAGGTCTTGGCGCACTCTTACTTGAGCGTCTTGCCCTAGACTATGGTAAAAAAGCTAAACTCGAATTCGCTGTTTACCCTGCTCCTCGTATTGCCACCTCTGTGGTGGAGCCCTATAACTCCGTCTTGACCACACATGCGACCTTGGATCAAGCAGATTGTACATTCATGGTCGATAACGAAGCCATCTATGAGATCTGTCGTCAGAAATTGAACGTGGAACGTCCTAATTATACAAACCTCAACCGAATGATTGCCCAGGTGGTCTCTTCAATCACACTCTCTTTGCGATTCCCTGGCTCCTTGAACGTGGACATGAACGAGTTCCAGACTAATTTGGTGCCCTTCCCCCGTATCCATTTCCCTTTGATCTCCTATGCCCCCATCCTGTCTAAAGGCAAGGCGCTCCATGAACAATCTTCGGTCAGCGAGATTACTGCAGCTTGTTTTGAACGATCCAGTCAGATGGTCAACTGTGATGCTCGTCTGGGCAAATATATGGCTTGCTGTCTCTTGTACCGTGGAGATGTCATTCCCAAGGATGTGACCAGTGCCATCAATACTATCAAGACCAAGAGTTCAATTCAGTTTGTAGATTGGTGCCCTACTGGCTTCAAGGTCGGCATTAATCAACAACAGGCAGCAGTTGTCCCTGAAAGTGAAGTCGCTGCTGCTACCCGATCCGTCTGTATGCTCAGTAACACCACCTCTATCGCCACTGCCTGGACACAATTGGACCGAAAGTTTGATCTCATGTATGCAAAACGTGCTTTCGTGCACTGGTATGTCGGAGAGGGTATGGAAGAAGGCGAGTTCTCAGAGGCGCGTGAGGATCTCGCTGCTCTGGAGAAGGATTACGCAGAGGTTTCAGGTGATGGTGCAGCAGAAGTTGAACATGACGAGTACTAAAATAACCTCGTCCACTGCGTAATTATGAAACATTCAAGCATGATACCGCCTCCCCTCTCCTCCAGCAACAAAGAGCATTTATTTTCTTTGTCAATTGCTTTCATGTAGTGTATTAATTAGATAGAGAACAAATAATAATAATAATATATATAAAGACAACTGAAAAGAAAACATTTGCAAAAATGCGTTTGATTGTCTAAGAAAAGTATTGAATTTCAAGGCCTACGGTTTTGACTATAGGATCTTGGGTATGAGGCGAAAACACATGTCCTACAAACCCGAGGCTGAACAATAGCTTATTGAATCGACCTTCCCACATGATGGCTAAACCAGATTGCACGCCTAATCGAGCCTTGATCACTCCAATGACAGGCTGTTTTTCCTTCGTCTCAGTTGTTGCTACTGTAGCGGGCAGATCGGGCATACCCACAGTCTTCGGGAATGGGATATCATCTTTCTCTTGCGCAGCAGCAACAACAACCGCTGTGGACGATTTCTTGCTTTCACGAATCCACCATTCAAATCCTGCGGTCAGCTCACTATCATAACTGTAGAGATTGAAATCAAACCGTGAACAAAGTCCCAAATCTGGATGGACTTGAGCTGCGTAGCTACTGGAGACATGGCCCATGATTGGATTTAATGTTTGAGTAATAGTAATAGGAACGTAGTTTTGGTGTTGTTCTGGAGCGGTGGATGTTGGGTAATGTAGCGTTGTAGGGTTTTCTGATGATATATCAGCGGGCGCCAGTGGGGGAAGCGTCCTGTAACGTAACCCTGTTGAAACTATGAGTATTAAAGAAAAAAGGAATGGCAATCAAATTAAATAACGGACAAGAGATGGCTTATTGGCGAATGGCCCAATGAAATAAAAACATAGTATTGTATAAATGACATACATCCTCCAAGTTTTTCGGTTGCACTGTAGTAAAGCTCAGCACCAACTGACCAGTACCCTCGGATCCTTTCTGATGGTACTATCCATTCCTCGGGCATCTCCTCATCCAAGTACCCCGCACGGCTTGAATCAACCTTACTACTAATATCACTGTTGGGGTCCCTTGAAAGGTCTGATGTCGGTATTACAGTTGATTTAGATAATGGTGATGATGATCTCGATGTGGAACTAGTAGCTAGCGTAGAATCCTCAGACTGCTGTTCAGGTTTAACAGAGCTACTGTCCTGATTTTCTAGTAATACCTTTTCTATGCATTCTTCCTGCTGTAGCTGCCGGTGTCGACGAAGGCGGCTCTCCTGAAGCATGCTTTCATAAGAGTCATCAAAATCCTTGCCAAAGTTATACAACCCGCGAATGCCGATCAATCCATCATCCGTTGTAAATGACATTTCTGCACAATATTTGCCCTTATCGTACTGATACTGTGCTGAAAGCTATATGTACATGTTTATATATAAGTGATAGGATCGAGTCAACAACTCCCATACGTCGCTTCGCCTACTCAGTCCTGCATTTTTTTTTTTTTTTTTTTTTTTTGCGATACAAATATGTTTTATGGGTGATAATGATACCTTACATGAGATGCGCTCCTGGATGCTGGATCACTGATTCCTGAAATGACATACTGTCTATGTTTTGAAATGCGCCGACTATACAATGCCTCCAATCTTGCGTTCGCCAAATTAATCCGTCCACAAAGCAAATAGTCTGTAATAAAGAATAAAAAGAACTATTAAAAAAAAAAAAAAAAAAAAATCCATGAAATCTTTCCTGAATTAATAAAGGATCATTTTTTACCTTTCCGTTTCTTCCCATCCTGGTCAAGCTCTGTCCATTGATCTGCTTCGCGGATGGAGTGATCCAAGCAGATAATCCGGAATCGGTCAACTAAATGTCGAAATCGAACTGAAGCAGAGTCGTCGATTGGCAATGCCCTGGAAGTAAACAGATAGCCCAGTGAACCCTCCAGGATCGGAAGCGCATTCATTGTAGTGGTGGTTTTGAACACAGTACTAGGAAGTTTTGACAGACGTAATGACAATCCCTGTGGTGCTTGGAAATCCAATAATGCTATAAAATGGAAAACATGATAATAAAAAAAAGTTAGGATAGCGCAGCGTACTTGTAATGTTACTTGGCAGTTTTCTTTTTCTTTTTCCTTCTTTACCTCGCGTGGTTGCACAAAGATGAGAGTATTGATTATCTTCGTTCCAGCCAGAGGCACGATAGTACCGCCGGAGACAGTACTCCATAAAGTCGTACATTGTGTGCGAAGCCAGTTCTGGGCTGTAAAATCCTTATCAACTGAAAGCGAGGGATTTATTTAATTGTTTCTATTGACACGTATCTACTGCTGAGAATAACGTTCTTTGTATTGAGAGACTATGTGTAGTGTGGTATATAATCAAAACTAGTAATGATGTTGGAGCTAGATTGAATTAAGAGTGGAGACGTGTGGATGCGAATATGATCAATCGATCAGTTTTGTGATCGGAAACTAAGACAGCATGAAGGCGAGAGCAGCACAATCTCGGCCCAATTACGTCACCGGCCCAAAAATTAATTTAAACTTTCTAATATGATATTAGACGCCGATATTCGACAAACATTTCCATGCTGGTCACCACATTGTTGAAGTGAGTTGTAAGCTCAGGATCATGAACTATGTTGTCCGGATCTTCCGTAGTGTCCAAAAGCCCTTCGAGGGTTTCTTGAAAATCATTGGGCTTGACATTCTCTTGATCTGGCCCCATAGTGTCCTCACCACTTTCATGATCCGGATCTGTTATCGGCGATGAAGAAACTTCTTGAAGAATCGTTCTCACAACTGTGCGGCTAGGAAGCTCGACAGGGATCTCCCGCAGGATTGGTTGTTCTATGTCCAAAGGCTTTGGATGAATATAATCTAAGTCCAATTCATCTTCCTCAAAACCACTTTCGTCTAAGAAATCAGATTCAGAGCGAGATATAAAGATATCCTTATAATCTTCATGCTTTAAGGCCTTTTCGATGGCTTCCATAACTGATAGGGATGGTTCTTCGCTTCCGTACGTTTCAATATAGTTAAGAACCGCAAAATCATCTTGCTTGGAAATGAACTCACTGTCGCCTCTGTACTTGGTTATGAGTTCTCTCTTTAAGCGGTCAATATGACCTTTTTTGTTTGTTTCGACGCCAAGACTCAACAGCCTCTGCTTGTGGTTGTCTGGAATGACGGGGACCTTGCCGAAGTCCTTGCGGATACATTCAGTAGTAATCGTGTCCTAGGCTTTGAAGAGAAATGGCCAGAGTAACCTATTGATGTTTTCGTCTCGCTCGATGTAGCGCGCAGCCATTTCAAGCATGAGCCGACTGTAGTGAGCCTTGAAACAACGAATGACTCCAGCACCCATTGGCTGTGTAAGTGATGCAGTGTTTGGTGGAAGACGCACAATGGTAATATTGGTGAGACCGACGCATTCGCAGCCTTTATTACCCGGTGCGCTGCCAATCAGCAGGGTAATCTCCCGTCCCTGCTGTCTATTTCATCGTCAAACTCTTGGAGCTACTCTCATAGCCCACTTTCAAAGGATGAGAGGGCTTCATTTGGCAGGAACCCGAAGAGTTGTTACAAAACAAAATGGATACTCGAACCACGCGCACAATCTTGCGGCCATGGACAGGCTCGGTAGCAAGGGTCTTATCTGCCATGGCATTGAAAAAGAGACTGATTTCGTCACAGTTATAAATGTTCTCGGAGTCAAATCGAGTGAGCTCATTCTGAATTTCCTGAATCCGGCCTTGCCGTTTCGAGAGGTCAACAGAACCACTTTCTCCATGTGTAACAAATCCTTCGATCCCCGTCCGTAACTTGAACTTGTCTAGCCAACCGCGGGAAAAGTCGAGGGGTTCAGGGCGTAGCCCTGAGTGGTAGTACTCCTTGATGATGATCCATATCCCGGCCGCAGTCCCTTGCAGACGGGCAGCAGTGACATTAATTTCCATTGAAAGGTGGTGAAATGCTTAGATGCCCCTTACCTTAATTGTTCTCAACAAAGCTTTCAGTATTCAGAATTCAGTGCGCACTCAGTTTGACTTGCTTATTAAACCAGTGAATTAATATGACGTCCAATCCACTGACTTTTCTCTTTCGAATACGTGTCAAACGCTAGGAAGCTAGAGAAGAGAGACTCTGATAATATTAAAGGTAGTAATCCGCCTTTTTGAGGATCCACTAGACTGTATAAGGGTTGATACCATACATCTTCGCAATCGACCTGTCCGATGCATATGGATTTCTAGCGAAACTTCATGATAAAGGCGTGCCTAGGTTAAATATATTTTCAAGCTTGCTTATGATCTTCGGCTCCGCAATATCAGAAAAAATCCAAATTAGAGCGGCTTAAATATATTTTTGACTAGTATAAATATTATTATTCTGTTCGTTTAATGATCAAAAGGACTCATTCAAGGAGTTCATCATATTGTCTTGATAGTATGCTATATGTCTTTTTTTTTTTTTTTTTTTTTTTAAAAAAAAATCATCACATTATTTCGTTTCAATACGCGTTATTACTGTCCTGCCCGTGCTGTGCTTCGGCCAGTGTTATCAGTTGTGCGCGTTGTTTGTGCTCCAACTCGGCCTTGGCTCTCTCGTCTCAACCGCACGGGTCGGGATGAAACAGGAGAGCGACTCAGAAGACTGGCCTCGGTGAAATCTTCCTCTCCAAATGAAATGTTTCCATCGTCGTCATCGTCATCGTCATCATCTGCCTCTTCAGCAACGTACTCATCATCCTCTTCCGTATATTCTGATTCTACTGCTGCACGACGACGCCCGCCATTGTCCCCTCGACTCTGCGACATTTGGAACTCTGAAGATCGTTCTGAAAGTAATGAAGGAGGAGGAGGAGGGGGTGGGTGCAGACTAGACGAAGTGGTCATGGACATGTCGATACCACCCCTTACAATACGTCTTGAGCTCTCTGTAGTTGTTGTGCTTCCAGATGTTGATGCACCGTCGTCCGTCTCTACGACTGTGCCACGATGCTGACGTTGTGTTGTGGCTGCGGTCGTGGTCGTAATTGGGATAGTAGTGGGAATGCTGCGTTGTTGCCTTTCTGTTGTTTCTCTTGTGGAACGTGATCCAAGGAGTGAAGCATCTCCGATGCCGGCACCAGCTTCATGGCGACGCTGCAAAGGTGTCTGAGGTCTCTCTGGAACAACTGCATCATCTTCAAGCGCTTGATCCTCGTCGTCCTCCATTTCATCATGATCAAAAATCAAGTCTCTTGCTACGCCTCGCGAAGTCCTGCCTAATTCTTCTTCTTCAAACTCATTATCAGATTCAGTATTGGCTTTTTGCCTTTGGATCTGAACTTGCGGTTGGCGAGGTGTTGTACCTGATGGGAAGATTGGAGTTGCACTTCCCATCTCCGGGTGTCCGCGCAACAACTGCTGCTGCTCTCCAAGCTGTCCCGGTTGAGTTCCTTGTACACCTGGTCCAGTGCGCATTTGATGCGCGATCGCCAAAGCCTCAGAATCGCTACCAAACCAGCCTGCAAGCACCTGCCAGGTAATCACCGAGAAGATGATCTCCCAGAAGATAAAGACCGCCATAAAAACCAGTGCAGTAGAGACCTTGTAGTAGTACATGAAATATCTGGTGAAGGGTGTAGTGACGGTGGATGATAGTTATTATTAATGATATAATACTGAACCCTACCTCATTTCGCTTGTAATTTTTTTTTTTTTCCCTACCTGAGGCCATGGAAGTGGGCATCAATGTGGATAGTAGTTTTGTAAACTTGGAGGTCAGGACTTGAAATTTCCACGCGCGCACGAGCCACAGGATTGACAGCATCTTCGACATAATTCTCAACCAATGGGACCCGGAGGACTTGGTCCTCTTTGGACCACTCCAAGACCAATGGAACTGCTCTCCACGCCGTACGCATGAGTTTTAATGGTAGGGACTGGTAGGTGAGGATGGCCTAGAATTTCATCGTAAATCATATTAAAGTATAGGGAGAATTAATACATTTGCATCATTTGCTCATCTGTTTTGAAACCGAAAAAAAAAAAAAAAAAAAAAAAAAAAAAAGCGTAGAATGAGTTACTCACAGGTCTACTAGAGGTCATGATTGCCGTGCCATCAACGCGCAACAGAGTCACGACAACCATGAAGTTCCCAATGGCCACGTTCTTTTCCGATGTAGGCACGTGCAAGTTGACGGAGATATCATATGCCTGATCCGCACGTAAAAACTAATAGCAACAACCAACATGTACATCTGTATGTTAATATGTCGATTTGTACCTAAAAAACGTCATTTCTCTTGTTTCATTCAGTTGGAATTCTAATGTTTACCTGGGTATAGCGTCCTCCTCTTGAGAAGTCAACTTCAGCTGATGGAGGGCTTGGGACAATGCCAGGAAGACTATCAAAAATGAAGAGTACAGTTTTGTATTGATGTAAATCAGATCCATAACGATTAAAAATAAATAAATAAATAAAAATAGTAAAAAGACTCAATCAGGACATTACGTTGGTCTATCATATTGCAGATGTACTTGACCGACATGTCCACGTTGAGGGATATAGACCCAGTAGAAGGAAAGGTAAGCAAAAAGGGATACCCCGACTAGTAAGAGTAGAACAATGAGACCCACGAAGAATTTGATAATCTTGCGATGCAGCGCTGATGAGGTTAACCATTGTGTCAGTTGTTTGACGTATGGATCAAGCACTGCCAATAATGGAGTGATAAAGAATGAGAGAATCTAAAATATATAAAAGAAAAAGAAAGAAAAAAGTTGAGCGTTGCGGAAAGATAGACGAAGGAGTGGGCAGAAAAAAGAAGGGTGAAGTATGGGTTAGAGGAATGAGATTCGAATGAGATGAACACTTAAACTTGCCTCAAAGAGAGTCATGTTGTGGGTTGAGTCGAGACTCTAAGTAGGTAAGAACGATAAGAATATGAATGTGAATGCGAGAATTGGGTGAATGAGTGTGAATGAGTAATGAAAGAAGGAAGAAAAAAAAAAAAAAAAAGAAAGAGGAAAAGGCGTTGGGGAGTAGAAGGTTTTTTTTAATGCAAAGTGCACACACCTCGCATATTATTTTATTTTATTACACGCAAGGGTAATGTATAAATGTTTGGGACATGCCAGACAAGAGTTGTGCCTCGTGCACGGGTCGTGCCTTGACATGTGAACTCAATCAAATTATTCAATCATCCCAAGCTCTTTTTTTATAATTATCCCTTCATATGCTGTCTTTTATTCTTCCTATCCCTCATGGGAACCAAGTCTTGTCTTGGCAAACAACTTATTCCTCTGCCATATTGAGCAACCGCGATTACAATGACAGCGACAACAGCAACCACAACCACGACAAATATTACATGAACACGACAATTGTATAATAGTATATAAATATATATGTATATATTGCATGTTTATGGTTTTCTGGCCTTATTCTCAACTAACCCTCTCTCTTACTTTCTTTTCTTTTTTTTTTTTGCTCTTTTTCTTTTTCCTTTTCTTTTTTTCTTTGACAATGATATACTTCACATTCTAGTTATCGTCATCACCCTCGTCCTCTTCAGGTGCTGGTGCATCGCCTTCCCTACTGCCATGGCGACGTCCTTTGCGATCGCGTTGGTAAAATTCAGCAAGCAATTTCTGAGGAATACGATTCAACAACTCCTTGGGGAAGATACGCAACAACGACCATGCCTGGTCAAGTGACTCGAATATAGTACGCGATTCATAGTTTCCTATTCATCAAGCAATATAGTTAGTATACATACAATCTATCTTTAGACCTCTCTTTTTTTTCTTTTTTCTTTTTTCTTTTTCAAAAGCAAAAACATACAAGTGTCCCATTAAAGGAAACTACCCGCTGGAAAAAAAAAAAAAAAAAAAAAAATTTACCTTGAGCAATATAGGTCTTTTCAAACTTCTCCAAAAACTCAAGACTGAGCTTATCTTCCTGGTTCAGGGCTTCCTCTCCAACTACAGCCTTCATCGCAGCTGCATCACGACCAATAGCATACTTGGCATATAGCTGATTAGAGACATCACCATGATCCTTACGAGTCAACTTCTCGCCGATAGCAGACTTCATAAGACGTGACAATGATGGCAGTACGTTAATAGGTGGATAGAGCTGGCGATTGTGCATCTGTCTATCGATAAAGATCTGACCCTCAGTAATGAACCCAGTCAAATCAGGAATAGGATGAGTGATATCTATTTATCATCACAAATATTATAAAGTCAGATACCAAAGATGAAGAAAAAAAAAAAAAGGAGTCGAATATTGCATACCATCGTTAGGCATGGTCAAAATAGGAATCTGTGTAATAGACCCGTTTCTGCCATCAACACGACCAGCACGTTCATAGATGGTCGATAAATCTGTGTACATATAACCAGGATAACCACGACGACCAGGCACTTCCTCACGTGCAGCAGATACCTCACGCAATGCATCAGCATAGGAACTCATGTCAGTCAAAATGACCAAAACATGCTTTTCCAATTGGTAAGCATAGTATTCTGCAGTGGTCAAAGCCAGACGAGGAGTGATAATACGCTCGATTGTAGGATCGTTGGCCAAGTTCAAGAACAGAGTGACACGCTCGATCGAACCATCCTCCTCGAAATCCTGTTTGAAGAAACGAGCAGTTTCCATATTGACTCCCATAGCCGCGAACACGATAGCAAAGTTGTCCTCATGATCATCGAACACACCCTTGGTTTTCTTTACTAAACCAGCCTGTCGACAAATTTGAGCAGCAATCTAAATGGGTGTAATAGATAATGAATAGGTTAGTCTGTTCCTCATATGCATCAGTTGAAAAGATCATCTCTACATATTGCGTCAAACTCGCAGTTACGATACCTCATTGTGAGGAAGACCAGCGGCAGAAAAAATGGGGATCTTTTGACCACGTGCAATTGAGTTCATGGTGTCAATGGCAGAAATACCAGTTTGAATCATCTCCTCGGGGTAAATACGGGAATAAGGGTTAATAGGCGAACCTATTTATCCAATTAGCAATGAAAAAAGAAAAATGGTTGATAACATAGCTTAAATTCAAAGGGCCTTCATTTGAAAAGCTCATCTTTAGTACCATTAATATCGAGGTAGTCCTCAGCAAAAACCTTAGGGCCTTTATCGATACTCTTTCCTGATCCGTTATAGACACGACCCAACATGTCCTCAGAGACGGGCATTTTCAAGACATCTCCCGAAAACTCGACATGGGTTTGCTTGGCATCAATTCCCGTTGTACCTTCATAGACCTATATCCATTTTGAAAACGACCATGGCAATATTTTTTTTTTTGTTGTTGTTGTTAATAATGTTGTATTGTGAAGATGTTGTTGATTATAAAAAAAAAAAAAAAAAAAAAAAAAAGGGTGGAAGAAAATGTCAGCCGCTCTTATCATTAGCGAAATAGCCTTATGCGACCTAATCCCCCCTAACTGGTGACTAGGGAGGAGTGATCACGTCGACAGACAGGCTACTGATAACAAAGATCGAATAGCAATAATAAAAATATGTCTGCTATTCTGTACCTGAACGACTGCACGCTTGCCCTGGACTTCCAAAACTTCGCCAGCGCGCTTGGTGCCGTCTGGAAGTGTAAGCTCAACAATCTCAGAATATTTTGGGAACTACAAGAGTCCAAAAGGGAGAACCACGTTAGTAGAGGAAATAGAAAAAAAGTTTTGGGAAATAGAGTGATTGCTCCTCTTACCTTGACATTGTCAAGCATAACCAAGGGACCATTGACACCAGCAATAGTACGGTAATCTGAGTAGAATGTGGAATTATGTTTGTTAGATAAAACAGAATGCTCGAGTATTGGAACACATTAAGTCGCTTTAGCATGGCATTGCTCTTGGGTCCATGTTTTTTTTAAAAAAAAAAAAAAAAAAAAAAAAAAAAGAGAGAGAGAGAGAGAGAAGCGTGGGTTTATTTACCAAGACGCGGCTCAATGGCATAGTTGCGGGTAACAGCAGCTGCATGGAGCACGCTAGCTTCCCTTGGAGTAAGGCGAGGATCCATTTAGTTTTTTATTTACTTTTACAGGAATTTGAGAGATGGGCGTTAAATGAAGAGGAACTGAATGAAAATAATGTGAAAGGGGTCAATTGCGCGTTCGAGCTTGGTGTCGTGGTGGAGGAAAGAGGAGACAGCCAACATCTCCATAGTTTAAAATCTGTCAAACTTAAGGGTCAGTTGATCAGTAGCCAATTCCTCACGTCATTGAAAAAGGTGATGCCGCTTTATTGATTGATATTCATTCAGCAATAACAACAAAAACAGCGCTGGACCATCAAGTTTTACAAATGAATATAACCTTGACCCAAAAACAAAGAAGCCTGCTGATTTATTATTACTTTTTACAGCTTGTTGAACACCCCTCACTGCCATTGTATGAATTACATTTTTCAGATCTGCCACTGGGACTTGTATACCCTTCATTGTACATACACAGCCTCCTTTACCCCTGATTTGGACGGACTTAGCTCTACGTACACATATCAAAAACCTTGCAGAGCACCAGCATTGAGTATTGGTAGACATTAACGGATGATCGATGACTCAGGGCCCCGGGGATCTTGATCACCAGCCTCCTTAAAACCGTGGGACACAGAAGACCTGGCAGAGACAAGGCGGAGATCAGCCCAACGGGGCGCCAGTCCATGAGTATCATGTCTCCAGGAGGCGCGAAGGTTCATCTTAGGAGGACTAACCATCGAGGCCTTGATGCCACGACATACTTGCAAGAATATGTTCTTCGCGATGGGTACAAACGGATGGACTCCGACTACAACACTCAGGTTACAAGATGAAAGAGCTTTTGGCAGTACGCTTTAGGAGACTTTGGAAAGAAGCGATACCATTACCTCTGACTCAACTGTAGATGGCACAAGCTATTTTCTCACAGAAATACAAAATGTAGTGAAAACGAAGGAAGATGCCTCACAGCTCTGGGGATGTGAGGCCAAATATATCAAGGTACTTAGCTTGGATCTAGGCAAACGTATATAGTTGGCGCATATGCCATTCTCCCGGAGACGAGCTCTGGCCCTGCTGATGCTGTCTGACAAGTCAGTTCACTCGCCACTGCATTCTACCTCCTTACTGCTGCTCTTCCTACTGCTGCAGCTCAGTCCTCAGCAACCACCACCGCTACATCGTTAGTATCGTCTTCATCGTCGATCCAAGTGCCTGCACCCAAGGCTTATTGTGATCTGGTAGTTAAGGCAAAGGCGGTTTATTAATCCACGCTAAAATCCTGCTGATGGCTGCAGCAACAAAACCGCGCAGTGCCAGAAGGAGCCAACCGACCTGTTGAGGATATCGAGATTAACATGTCTGCTCTTCGTGGCAATATACGGTCTTTGTGAGCTACACTGGGTATCTGAAGGACCGTGAGGAGCAACTCCAGCAGTTTTAAGGAAGAACCTTCAAGGAGTACTAATGGGACTGCCAAAGAGTTAGAATTGAAGGGTTCGCGGCGACCCCCGACCAGCTTCTTCAGATGATTGGAGGCAGTATTGGACAGAAGTGACAGCTAGACAACCATATAGTCATTACCATAAAGCTAGGCCACTTCGCCTCTCAAAACCAACTTTCCGGCCCCAGGGGACATTTTTGGTGTACTTTATTACAGAGTAGGTATTCTTGCTCAAGCGATCCCGAGGTTTGTTTTATATGCAACAGGTTGCTGATATTTATTAAAGCTTCCTGGACTCAGGTTTGTGCACTAGGATATCTGTCTTGGGAGTGAATGAGTATCACATTTCTAAAAAGTTTCGTGGGTGTAAGAACTTTGTAGGGAAGATTATGACTGTCCAACGTGTCACACGCGTCTTCATCGAGATGTTCTTGCGGCTGAGAACTGATCCCGTGAAAGAGATCTAGTGAAATTGACAATTGTGTCTATAAGAAAAAAGATAGCTGGGCTTCACACTCTGGTTGCGGACTGTAAGAAAGTACTTTTCAATATATAAGCATGCTATAAATGGTGAAAATGAAATGAAAGGACTCGACACCGAGCTTCGTCTTGCTGAGTTGCTTTATGGGAGAAGCAGTGACTTTCACCAGTGATATTATATCATGGTGTAAGATTTTTTTGGATGTGGTGCATCACTACTTAGAAAATCCTCACCGTCGGTGGTTTCCGGTATGGTATACCGTATATGAAGAATGTACCGGGATATCTTTGTATTAGGATACATCATACCGCTACTTGTAGACCAGTGGTGCATCGTACTAGTCAAGTGCATCATACTAGTCAAGTCCATGCACTGGTCAAAATCTGCTGCATTGTAAAATTTAGCACAAGGACTTTGTGGAACTCTGTACATGTGTTTTATTTAATCGAATCCAATCTCTTTTCATCAAGCATCGGCCAACATTCACTTAATCCATCATAACATTGACTACATGCTCAAATAGAAAGCATGACAACACTGAATCATTGTAGAAAAGTTTGGTAAGACAAAAAAAAAAAAAAAAAGAACGTCGCCAGCAAACAATACAAAACCGAGAGAAACCTGTGTGAGCTCAAAACACACTCTTTACGGAATGTTAGGACTAACTTTTTGAACGCAGGAGGGTTTGATATGCAGACCCTCTCGGGGGTAGAGTAGAACCATTTATTTCTTTTTTTATGCGACTATTCTTCAGTCGTTCGTTTTTACTGATCCAATAACATCTTTTTATTATTATTATTATTATTATTATTATTGTCATTGTTGTTAATGTTGTATTTTAGCTTAAGCTTGTCTCTGCATCCAAGGGTTCAATATCATGCGAGCTGCAAGTCGAGAAGGAGCATCTAGTACATACGGATAAAAGAATTCATGTTTTAACTGCTAATTGCGTTGACAATATATCCGATCAATTAGTCCTAACTCGTCTTTATAATTACAATGGTATGAATCCAGAATCGACTAGGAGGATGCCATGGCGGTTTGCTCAGCACTATTGTTGACGTTGGTGGGTCATTGGCAATTGCAGCAGAGAATATGCACGCAACTGGTGTTTCTACAGGTGAGAGCAAGAGGTTTGGAATGTATAGATGTATAAATGTATAGAATTGTAATTATTCCTACTGCTGATCTTGAAGAGGAAGCACTAACTTTTGTGTCTTTAACAGATTTGAATATTTCGTTTGTGTCCGGAGCCAAGCTTGGTGATAAGCTGTTAATTGTAAGCCAATTTATGCCGCCTTGTCTAAAGTAAAACAGATCATCGAAGTACATTGTTACTTACTCTGGCATGGTATATGTAATAGAACTCTCGCTGCGATAAGATCGGAGGCTCGCTTGCATATACTTCTGTTGACATTAAAGTGGGTGACAAGGTCGTTGCATTGGGTCGCCACACCAAGTTTGTCCGTCTTGCGCATCAACAAAATGCACAATTGAAGGAATCATCGACCTCGGAATAATTTGCACTCGAATACTGGCTGCTTTCTGACTACTGTGAAAATGAAATACCAAGGAGAAGAGCTACCATCATGTCTTTTGAAGTTTAAATAAAACAACTCTCCATTAGCTCAGACCTTCTACGAGATCGGGGCGCTAGCATTACCTTTCGTACACAACAATATCGAGGAGTGAAGCAGACCATAATAGCATTCTTGATGAGAACATATGCAGTGACAGCAACAAAATGAATATACATGTATGTACATTAAGACTGGATATAAACTGTTTTTGGCAGTTGCAAGCTTGCAAGATAAAAAGCTTGTCTATTCAATCATCGTCTTTTTGATTAAAAAATAAATTTTGGACGATAATATAGGCAAAAAAACGCCTCAGACAGGATGCACCAAACGGGATACAGTTAACTTGACTAGATGCGAGTGCGGGAACTAGTGGGAGGCAATTGTTTATCAACATGCATACAGCTCAATGTGCGTATGTACCCGAGACAGCATTCGGTTGTGTGTACTGGAATATTTCGACCCATTGGTATTTGAGGCAGCATTCTCCTTTTTTCTTTCTTTTTTCTTTTTCTTTTTCCTGTATCGGTTTCCCTCAGTCCCTAACACGACTTTACACAACCGGCTTCTTTTCATTCCTTTCAAAAACTCCCATTCGCTCATTTCACTAAACTTAACCCATTCTAACCATTCCTCATGCGCGAAGTCATCTCTCTCCACGTCGGTCAGGCCGGTATCCAGATCGGTAACGCCTGCTGGGAACTCTACTGTCTTGAGCACGGCATCGAGCCCGATGGCAACGTGTATGTGTCCTTTTTTAAGTTTTCTCGGTGCTCAAACTTCATAAATCCAAATAACAGATTTATTTCCATGAATCCTGTCACCCTGTTGTATGTGGAGAAGATGGAAAAAACTGCTGTTAACTCGGTATTTCTTTTATATGTAGCGCATCTGACAAGAAGGCTTCTCAGTTTGACGCGTCGTCCAGCACTTTTTTTTCAGAGACCGGTGCTGGCAAGCATGTCCCCCGAGCTAGTAAGTTTTTTTTTTTTTTTTTTTTTTTTCTGATAATGACGTGCGTGTCCCTGAACAACCGCTGGAGTGGATAAGAGGCAAATTAGATTAAAAAAATGGGACCCACTGTCTGTACTACGCAAATTGGTGCAGTTATTTCAAGACATTTCAACTCGCTTAATGTAGCTAATCAATCGTATCGATATTATGATGATGAAGGCAAAAGGATACAGAGCTGACCATAGTAATATCCTTCCTTTTTAGTCTTTGTTGATCTTGAAGAAACTGTCGTTGATGAGGTCCGCACTGGCACCTACCGCAAGTAAGTGGTTGCAAATAGGTTCTAGGACTTGTCAGTGAAGGCACCACCTTTTATGACCATTTACTTTTTCAACACGCTTACTCTTATCACTTATTTATTCTATTGTCAATTAACCAAAATAGGCTCTTCCACCCTGAGCAGATGATCAGTGGCAAGGAAGATGCTGCCAATAATTACGCTCGTGGTCACTACACCATCGGCAAGGAGCTTGTTGATTCTGTCCTTGACCGTGTCCGCAAACTTGCTGATGCCTGCACTGGTCTTCAGGGCTTTTTGGTCTTTCATTCATTTGGTGGTGGCACGGGGTCAGGCTTTGGCGCCTTATTGCTCGAGCGTCTATCCGTAGATTATGGTAAAAAGTCTAAGCTCGAGTTTGCAGTTTACCCTGCTCCTGAAATGGCCACTTCCGTGGTTGAACCTTACAATTCAATCTTAACTACCCACACCACGCTTGAACATACCGACTGTGCCTTCATGGTTGACAACGAGGCCATCTATGATATTTGCAAGCGCAACTTGGATGTCTCGCGTCCAACCTATACCCATTTGAACCGCATGATTGCACAGGTTGTCTCATCCATCACCGCTTCGTTGCGCTTTGTTGGCTCTCTTAACGTTGACTTGACCGAGTTCCAGACCAATTTGGTACCTTACCCTCGTATTCACTTCCCCTTGGTCACCTATGCTCCTATCCTCTCGGCGAAGAAGGCGTACCACGAGCAGCTCTCTGTCAATGAGATTACTACTGCTTGCTTTGACATCCAGAACCAGATGGTCAAGTGTGATCCACGCCAGGGCAAATACATGGCTTGCTGCCTTCTCTACCGTGGAGATGTTATCCCTAAGGATGTTAGCGCCGCTATTGCGATTGTCAAGACTAAGAAGACAATCCAATTTGTCGATTGGTGTCCTACTGGGTTCAAGGTAGGAATTAATGACCAACCTCCTACTGTTTTCCCCGGTGGAGAAGTCGCCAAGGTCCAGCGTGCTGTCTGCATGCTCTCTAATACTACTGCTATTGGCGAGGCATGGTCTCGCCTTGATCACAAGTTTGATTTGATGTATGCCAAGCGTGCTTTTGTGCATTGGTATGTCGGCGAAGGTATGGAGGAAGGAGAGTTCTCGGAAGCCCGTGAAGACCTTGCTGCTTTAGAGAAGGATTATGAAGAAGTTGCCTACGAGTCCGCTGATAATAACGTAGGCGAGGAGCTTAATGATGAGTATTAAGAGTCATTTCTCACCCAATTGCAGAGTCAAGCAAGTCTTTTTTTTACAGTCAACGATACTTAGGCAGCAAATCAAAACATATACAAATACATTGCAAATAGTTTACCTCATTTTATCGAAAAGCCTTTTTGTATTCTTATGATGTACAATACGTCTGTGAAGCGTTGTGATAGTATTTCATGTATTTTCCTAACCGAGTTACAAGCTGTTTGCAAGAAACTCTAGCGCTCAAGCTTAAGAGGCCCTTCAATTGTGATGTTCTATATATTTGCTGTTGAAATAGTCTATCAGATCAGCTTTGGAGCAATCATTCGTTAAATGTGGGTATTGTCCTAGATCCTTGATGTGTTCTTCAGTCCTTGAATCCTTCTCGTGGGCGGCGCTTCGGTATTGCCGCTATGGAAACTAAAGATTCAAAAATAACAATACACCATTTTATTGCCTCGCCTATACTCTCTGTGAGAAGTGAAAGCTTCTAGCGCAAGTCGTGTGGTGTTCGATTCAATGGGAAGTTTAGTAAAAGGAAGAGAGAAAGATAGAGAGCAAAAGCTCGTGTACTGAGGAACAAAGCCCGTAAAACCACCTAAATCAACCTCGATATAGAGGGACAAATGACCAGTCTGAAGTGAAGTCGGATAATGTAGAGCAGACGAGTTAAATAAGCAATCAGTCTATTTGGTATGTTTTTCTGCAAAGTCGACGCTGGAGTGCTTCTTGCTACTGATCTAGATGACCTTGGTGAATACTTCTAAACCACCGACTTTAAGTTGTTAGGCTAACTCTGTGTTATATCACGTGATAAGGAAGTGGCGTCACACCAACACGCATGTGTGTGTGCGTGTTCTCCCTGACGAGACGTAAAAAAATACGCGAAACAGCATTCGCGCTGTCTTCATTCTTTCATACTAATTCTTTTTTCTCATCACATCCTATTACTTCAACACTACTTCTACACCACCACTAACTACTCAGGATAAACAATGAGTCGAGGAGCAGGTTACGACCGCCACATCACCGTCTTCTCTCCTGAAGGGCGGCTTTACCAAGTTGGTATGTGCATGTCTCCCAAAATTGCTTAGGAGAGAAACAGGATTATTTCAAAGGTGCTAGATAGAAGTAGTATAACATACCATTCACCTTGCTAAGCCTAAATGTGTGCCGTGTATGCACGTGTTTTTCTATCTCCATTCCATAGAATACGCCTTCAAGGCTATCTCGAACTCAGGAATTACCTCTATCGGTGTTCGTGGCAAGGATTCCTGCGTTGTTGTCACTCAACATAAAGTTCCTGTAAGATAAGCTAAAGGAAGAAAAGTGTTTAAATTAAGAGAAGAACAAAAGAAAACTTTTGTATTGGTTCTTTTGCTTGTATTTTGCTTAATTGACCCTTTTATTATTTTTTGAATTTTCTGCGACTGCATTTGACCAGGATAAATTGCTTGATGCATCAACTATCAGACACATTTATCCATTGACATCCAAGATTGGGTGTGTGATGACAGGACTGGTACCTGATGCTAGATCGGCTGTTTCAAGGGCGCAGCGGGAGGCAGCAGAGTTCCGGTACAAGTTTGGATATGAAATTCCTCCAGATATGCTGGCCAAGCGTATGGCCAACGTCAATCAGGTCTATACTCAACATGCTGCTATGCGACCTCTGGGTGTATCCATGATTTTGATTGGGTTGGATGATGAGCGTGGTCCTCAGCTGTTCAAAATTGATCCTGCAGGATACTTTGTTGGATTCAAGGCAACGGCAGCTGGCGCTAAACAAACAGAGAGTTTGAACCATCTGGAGAAGAAATTGAAAAAGGAGAAGGAGCTAAATGAAGAAGAGGCCATTGAGGTATGCTAAAATATTTTTCTTTGGAATTATTTTTCTTTATGTTGGGATTAATGATATCCATTTTACTGACCTTTTGTTGTTTATGTATATAGCTTGCGATTACGACATTATCCACTGTGCTGTCGTCTGATTTCAAGGCAACTGAGATCGAGGTTGGTGTTGTCTCACTCAGGGAGCCCAAGTTCCGTACCTTGGAAGTTTCTGAAATTGAGGATCATTTGCAGAGAATCGTTGAGAAGGACTGAAGGATTAAATAAAACATGGAAAACCAAGGAAAATATATCGTTGTTCCTTTACAGCAAACTATAAAGTACTTTATTTTATGTCTGTGCTCAACTATGGGCTTATCTGAATTGACAGACATGACATGTATATGTGATACTTTTTTTTTTTTTTTTTTTTTTTTTTTTTTAATTGGATATACAGAATAAAATCATCGTCACTTCTCTTCCCAGAATGCTGCTAGTTCCTTGCCCATTCGGTCAGGCTCGTCTTCTTGTACTGCATGACCGGAATTCTCAAAGAAGGAGAGTTGGAAATTGCCCTGTTCATATGCGGCTTTCATTTCATCGTCCATGGCATTCCTGCCTTGTAGGATCAGAATCTTGGGTGGTTTGGCGCTCAGAAACTTTCTGTTCAAATTTTCAAACCATGTGTGCCAGTGGGCTTCTGAAAGCATAAGATCAGTATACCAGGTGTACTTTGGCGGCGATCCGGGTATACGGCCAACCATGCCTGTAAACGAAATCCTGGCGGAATCCACGTTGTGGACTGTTCCTGATTCCACTCTTTATTTTATTTATTAAGAATATTAGAAATCGGATAACAAAAAAATGCAAAACTAAATTAGGTATCATGCTTACCCCCATTGAATTGCTTGCTCTACAGAGTCGCAAGTAACTGGACGACTTTCGCACCATTTTCGGACATAGAGCAATGCTATTTCCTTGTTCGCTAACGAATCCATTTAGGAAATGAAGACGATGACTCAATATTTTCTCTTTTTTTTCTCTACAATTGTGAATGAAAGAACCTCTTCTTTTGTCTTACTTTCTTGGATATCTAAGACCGCAAACCGTGCAACATTAGGTAAAAGACCTCGTGTGGCAACCTCAGTTACAACCGCGCCGCCCATGCTGTGGCCAACCAAGAAAAACGTTGGAAGCGATGATTCCTTCTTGCCTTGTTGGCCATACAGGGTCAAGATGATATTATGGAGATCTCTAGCCAGACGATCGATATGCAGATTATTCTGGTCATCTGAAGTTGTCTCACCTGTTTCGTGTAAAGGCATGTTAGAAGTTAAAAAAAAAAAAAAAAAAAAAAAAGTTCCCACGACTATTTGATTTATTTAAGCTTACCATGTCCACGAGCATCATAACTCATGATCCTGACCTGATCACCCAGAATTCTGTGCAAAGCTCGAGCTGTCGCTGCAAACGATAAGGCGCAATGTCCCGCACCGTGATGCAAAACAATGACAGGGAGGTCTCCCTTTTTGTCAGAGTTGATTTCGTAGATATTGAATGAGATGTTAGATGAATCTAATTCACTAGGAATGGACACCTTGCGGTTGGTCTCAAAGAATTCTGACCAAGAAAGCGGAGAGAAAGGACCAGCCTTGCCGTCACTCCCTGTCGTTGTAGTGACAGGAACGGGGTCTGGAGTAGGGGCATTCAAGGAAGATTCGATGTGAGAAGACATTTTTTTCTTAGATTCTTGTGATAATCGAGTGGGAAAAAAAAGGTAAAAAAAATATAGGGATGACATAACCGCTTTTATACCTTTCTTACAAGGGCCGCAGGTAATGGCTTATCTCCTCATATCCATATGCGTACACTCTCTATCCACTATTTGTAGTGCCAATATCGATATTTTCAGAACAGAGCTCTTGAGGCGGCGGAGCACAAGATGTAGTTATTAATGCATAACGATGGCCATAACAAACCCACCCTTGCGCAGTTTGTCTGAAACAAATTCTTTATTGATTTCACTGCTTTCCTACAAAGGGAATCCGAGGCGTAGAATAGGGTGAATGAGTACTTTCTAATCCAACTCGAGCTGCGTAATTAACTTGGGAAGCCCCTCCAGTTCTTTAATTCCCTCACACTGCCCTATGAGGTCACGATTAGATAGCGCCAGGACTGTGGGTGTCGTAGTGATCTCATACCGCTTCTGGACTTCTTGTAGCTGGTTAACATTAATTTTGATAAACTTGATAGCCGAGCATCTGGGATTTTTGGAAAACTGATTGAATTGATGATCAATGGCTTTGGACTCCTCAGAGTCTTCTGAATAAAACCCTAGCAGAATCTTGGTATGAGCATCCAGTGCAGAGTTGAGGTCTTCCATGTTGTTGATCGTCATGATGTTTGACATTTTGTTTTCCTTCTTTTATTTTGCAGTGGTAGTAGTTGTGGTGGTTGTAGGAAAAGAATTCGTAATTACATTAAAAAAGAAAGAGGAAGAGAGGAAGAGGTAAATCATCAGGATGGCAATTATTGGTCAAAATTGCAATCATTCGAACGATCGGAACCTTCTGTTCTCTCGCATCGATTATCCCTGTCATCTGTCACCCCTGCTGCCTATTTAGGTTGCATTATAAAATAAAAAAAAATCGGTTCCTGGCCTAAGAACCATTAACGTTTTCAATAAATGCAAAGGCTTTTTTGGTTGAGAGTTATCTCGATATTGCATACAAGACATGTATTGAAACAAAGAAGTGGATGTACCATAAAATCATATGCGCATTTGGATTTTTTATTTTCTTATACTGGAAGTCGCGTTTCGCGAAATATATCAATGAGGTAACAAACAAAAATGAAGTGGAATTTACTACAGCTATTTGCATTGTCATTTTCCCTTCTTTCTATTCAAGCATAAACTCCAATGATGGCCATGGCTGCAACCCCGGTCCAGAGGGATATAAAGCACATGGATTTGACTTTGGTGCTTTCTTTTCGGATTTCACCATTCATATTGAACTCAACAGCCAACAAATTGACGTATCCCATATACAAAAGAATGCCAGTTGAGATAGCATCGAAAATGCCTTCAATCAAGATGGTAGATGCTGAGTATGGATTGTAGGAGCTAGAGATTCCGATCCCAATTGCTGCTCCGATAGGCATAGTCAAAGAGAAGACCAAAGCTAGCAAATAGTGAGTATAGGTCTTTTCGAACTCCAAATCTGCGATCCTTGCGCCTAACGCGAAACCTGGATGAATAAAAAAAGAGACCGTTAAAAAGTTGGTGGTCATTCCAATAACGCTTGATATGCTCAAAGTACTCCACCTCATTTTTTACCTTCAAAGAACTGATGAAAGGCAAGTGCAGCCAAAAGACCTAGAAACTCGGTGCCTGAAGATACCCCTAAAGAAATCCCGACTATGACTGAATGTGCTGCTATACCTGCTTCCAAGATATAAGTCGAAATTCTCCGTTGTGAGCCATCAAGCAATTCTAGGTCATGCACATGGGAATGCCCTGTTTCTTTCAAACAACGACGATGATGATGGGCCGTTAACTTGGTTATATCTTGCGCATCATGGTCATTTTTGACGATCGGAATGGTCCCATATGATGCAAACTGTATCTTGAGCTTTTTTTTACAGGAAGGCGGATTGGACAGTGCAGAGGCCTTTAATGGACTCCTGGATGGCGATAAAGAGTCCGCTCCATTCAATTCACCCACTATGATACTGTGATCGAGATCGCACGAAGACACCGATGTGCATGCTTGTTGCTTGCAAATGGTTTCATTGAGAATCGTGGCGATATGTCTGGAGCACGGTACCGTCGCAAGGCCTGTGGTCCCTAGATCGTCCAAATCTACGTCAATACGTCCGACATCCCGCTCTGCACAACTACAAATATCTTCTTGGTGAGTCTTATGATTTGGGACTGGCGAGATCAATAAGCCTTCGAGAACTGCAGCCTCCTGCAACCTCTTCTGAGTACGCTCCACCGCTACAAACTCCATCCAATGCATGAACAATGAAGACGACAATATGAACAGTCCTCCTAATGCAGTGTAGTTTTCAGAGAAGAATGAACTGAGACAAGGAGAGGAAAGGTTGGACATAGCAGTAGGCATCATATGAATGAACGCCGTGGCCAAGATGATACCCGTTCCAAAGTGCTTGCCGAGAATGAGTAGCTTTTCTGGAAATAGGTATCTAGTTGAGTGGGAAGGATAGAGATGGTGATAGGAGCGACAACGGTGGCGGATACAGGAGGCCATGACGGGCATGAAGACGCCTGTTGTGCTAGCAGCTAGGATGATAAAGACACCTATGATGTGGAGATCAAGGTTATAGGGTTGTAGGTTTTCGCCACTGGGGTAGCCCTCGAAACCTTGGGACTCGTTTGAACATTCGTTTTGAAACAGTGAGCCTGTGAGATGCGCAAGAAACGGTCAGATATACTATTTAAAGTCTGCTCTGTGAACAGCCTCAAAGGATTTATTTCATTACTTCTTACCATAGCCTCCTTTAAGATGAAACGAGCTGAAGGTTGATGAAGCCATGTCTATTATCGCAAACAAGGAAAATAAGAGAATGAATGCTTGAAACCAGGTTGTGGCCGGAGAAGGGAGGAGGCAAAGATTGTTGTGAAAAGCAAAAAAATAATTTGGACAATATATTTATGACCAGTAAGGTACTCGCTAACCAACCTGTCATTTTATTTATTTTTGGTGGCGATGGATTGTGCGTTCGAAAGTTTGAACTGAAGCTTCTAAAGTCCAACCTTGCTGGAACTTCGCATGTGGCCTTCAAATTGCTGCGCCGATATTTTTGTGCCTGCGTTGCTTATTGGCCTCACACATAAACATCGTTACAGGTACAGATTCAGATCAGAGACACTTAAGATACGTCATTGCCTTCCGCAATGGACTAACCTCAACGAATAAGATGGAAATACCATTCAAAGAAAATTTTTTTCCAAAAGAATGAAACGGCTGTGACTAGCAAATAAGCAAATAGGGCTTTAGGCTTTCACGTACATATACATGAGTTAGTGACTGTTTCTTTACATCGCTATCAGCCGCAGTTTTTTTTGTGATGTGGACAAAAAGAAATCAGATCGCTTATTTGAATCATCACCTCTTCTTTTCTCTTCATCCCTTTTCCTTCATCCCCTCCGCCATCTCGCCAGCATCTGACGTCGCACATCTCTCCACTCTTCCTTTCGTAGTTTTGATTTCCATCCTTTTTTGTGGTTGACGTCTTTTTTTTTTATCTTTTACCTTATTTCCGTTTTTAATCTCATAATGTCTGCTCTCTCAGCATCAAAGCAGAAACGTCTTGCAGCCAAGGCCGCAAAAGAGGCTGCCAAAAAGTCATCTGGTACTTCATCGCCTGCCACCACTAACGGTCGCAACACTCCCCTCCCAGGAGGCGATACTGTCGACGGGGATGATACTGTTGCCGATGCTATTATTCCTGGACTTAATGCTATGAACATCGCCAAGACGAAATCTAACGACCGCAACTCGACTGGTGTCTTGACTTCTCAACCTTTGTCCCGTGATATCAAGATTGAGTCTTTCTCGCTCTCCTTCCACGGGCGTGAGCTCATTTCCAACACAGACATTGATCTTAACTTCGGTCGTCGTTATGGTCTGATTGGTGCCAATGGATCTGGAAAGTCTACCTTTTTGGAGTGTCTTGCCGCTCGTGAGGTTCCCATTCCAGAACATATTGATGTAAGTTTCTTTGTTATTCTTCCCTATTTCTATAACCTTATTTCCTCAAAAGCACAATGGGTAGTTCTAGGATGGATATGGGGTTTACACAATGTAACAGAGGAGACTGAATGAGAGAGAAATCTTGAAACAAAAGTGCACGGGCGAGAATACACTTTTTTCTTCGGAAAGCTTTTTTTAAAGCTTGTTGACATCATCTACAACATTACACATCACAGATATTACGTTTTTAACCCCTGTGTTTTGTACATGAGTATAACACATACAAACATTGTCAATAGCACCTATATATAACTTATTGTGGCTATTTAAACTTCACCTAAGTGAATTTAGCCCTGCCATCTAGACCCATATGTCTAGTCTGACATTTCAGACGCTTTTTCTTGTTGGATCAGGCATATGGGATGTCTTTAATGTACCCCTTATGATGCACCCCTTATTTTTGTACTTGTCCATGGTTTTGTGGTCGCAAGTGGCTTTTTTTATATTTTATATTTATTTATTTATTTTTTTTTTCTTGGTTTGTTTTCATAGATTTATTTGCTGCAAGAAGAAGCAGCCCCTTCGGACCACAACGCTATCGAAGCTGTTGTGGTCGAAGCCAAGCAGGAAGTTGAGCGTTTAGAAAAACTAGTCGAGGATATGTTGGCTGAGGTGAACGGTGCTGAAAACCCACTTTTGGATGATGTCTATGAGCGTATTGAGCAACTGGATCCCGCTACCTTTGAGACCCGTGCTGGCACTCTTCTTCATGGTCTTGGTTTCTCCAAGAAGGATATGCTCAAACCCACCAAGGACATGTCCGGAGGATGGCGTATGCGTGTCGCTTTAGCCAAGGCTCTGTTCGTCAAGCCCACTCTCTTGCTTTTAGATGAGCCCACCAACCACTTGGATTTGGAGGCTTGTGTGTGGCTTGAGGACTATCTTTCCAAGTATGACCGTATTTTGATCTTGATTTCGCATTCTCAGGATTTCTTGAACGGAGTCTGCACCAACATCATGAACTTGAATCATAAGCGCAAGCTTGTGAACTATGGTGGTAATTACGATACCTATGTCAAGACCCGCGCTGAATTGGAGGTTAACCAGATGAAGGCTTATGTCAAGCAGCAGGACGAGATCGCACATATCAAGAAGTTCATTGCATCTGCTGGTACCTACTCAAACCTGGTCAGACAAGCCAAGTCCAAGCAAAAGATTATTGATAAGATGGAGGCTGCTGGATTAGTCGAGAAAGTCGATCCCCCTCACCTCTTCAAGTTCAAGTTCTCAGATGCTGACAAACTGCCTCCACCAGTCTTGGCCTTTGATGAGGTTGGATTTGCTTACTCTGGAGACATGAAAGATGCCCTTTATAGAGGTGTAAACCTTGGAATTGATATGGACTCACGTGTTGCTTTGGTCGGACCTAACGGAGCTGGAAAGTCAACTTTGCTCAAGTTAATGACTGGCGAGCTTACTGCTACGGAGGGACGCATTCAGCGCCACATGCAGCTCAAGCTCGGCAAATACAACCAGCACTCTGCTGATCAACTCGATATGGACCTTTCACCTATTGATTACTTGCGCAAGAAGTTCCCTGAGATGCCTCAGGATATCGATCACTGGCGTCAACAGATTGGTCGCTATGGTCTTACTGGTGCTCATCAGACCGCTCCTATCGGCACTCTATCCCATGGTCTTCAAACCCGTCTTGTCTTTGCAGAGTTGGCATTGTCTCGTCCACACATGCTTCTTTTGGATGAACCTACCAATCACTTGGATATGGAGTCTATTGACTCTTTAGCTGAGGCGATCAAGAGCTTCTCTGGAGGAGTCGTCTTGGTATCTCACGACTTCCGTCTCTTGAAGGAAGTTGCAGATCAAATTATTGTTGTTGATAAGGGTGTCTCAATCTTTGATGGCACGATCCTCGAGTATAAGAAGATTTTACAGAAAAAGTCGCGCGAGTCTACCCTTGCTTAAATTCTTTTCTTTTTTTTTATTCATTTCACCATCCCTTGCATTCGCTTTCGAAAGAGGTTTCCAGCATAACACATCAATCAATAAGAACATGAAAAAATAAATTAACAAAAAAATAAGCAAATTATATATATACTTTATTACTCTATACATTTCAAAAAGATCTTGCCAATCAGATGTTGTAAATGTTAATATTCATCCTGTCTATTTCTCACACATACCACTCTGCAAAGAAGTGGTCATCGAGATCTCGTGGAGGCTCATCGTCGCTTTGGCGATACCATCCCATCTCGATAGGATCTTCAACATCAGCATGAAAATCTAGGACGGAACTAAAGCGTGACATGGCTTGGTGATAATGACTTGGCCCTGATGTGAGATGTCGTGATGCTGTTGATGTCGAAGAGTAAGAGCGGGCAGTGGAAGATGAGAGTGATGAAGCGGAGGCATGTGAAGCTGCCCTCCAGGCTTGAAGGATAAGGTCCATGAATTCTTGAGATATTACGCCACAGCCAAACATTCGTACACGCTGAATTGACTGCCATCGTACCCCCTTGATCCCTCTTCCTGTCATAAGTGCGCAATCTCTGATATCCAATGTTTGTAGACTCCAGAGATCCGCGATCGCCTCCAGGACTGCATCTCCTAAGAGCCGTTGTCCTGAAATATTGATAGTTTGTAGTTCGTGACAGGCTTTAATAACTGGAATCAAATCATCATCCGTAAGGACAGGTTTAGGTCCAGAAAGGAGCTGAATGAACGGGATAGAAAGCGACGTCAAGTTTTTGCAATAGGGGGCAATCCCTTCACGAAGAACAGGACCTTGTATTGGTCGACGTCCCTGCAAAACCGTTAGACCACGGAGTCGAGAACCCAAAGAGCTCAATAAATAAATCCAAACCTGGTTACTCCAACAAGAGTCAAATACACAGAGGTTCTCCAATAAAGATAATGAGATAATGGCTCTGAGGAGAGGCCAATCGCGACTAGAGTAACCCAAGATCAGAACCCGAAGATCCTGTAATGCAGAAATCAAGTTGAGCATCCCGGGAAAAGTGGGGACAGTGCAATACATAGGCGAAGGCATATCTAGCTCCTGGATGCCAGCACCTTGAACCCCACGAACAATGGCGTCCAGGATGGGAAGAGAAGCAGATTCTGTCAGAATTTCTGCAGCACCATATTCAATCTCTTGGGGTAATTGAATCGAGAGTGTACGGAAGGGCGAGACGTATTCAAGGATCGTTGTAATGTTGTCAGTCATGGCTGCAATGTCGGTAGCAATGGTAACACCAGTTCCTGCAGCCGGTGCTGAGGGTGGTGACAATGACGGGGTGAATGGTTCTGAGGATGTTGATTCTTCTGCTGGTATGGCTGCTGTTGATGTCACTGTTGCTGCTGCTTCCGCCGCTATAGCTATATCATTTGTATCCTCATGTTCTTGTGCTCCTGCTAATAATCTGGCGACTTCAAATTCTTTTTCTCCCTCGGCTGCTTCATACTCCTTTTCTTCTGTCAATAGTTCCGCAGCCTCTAAAAGATCGACTTCCACGCGCTGAATAATTTCAGTAATGTCATAATTTTTGCTTGTGATCTGTGCAGAAGCATGTGAGGAAGCCACGAGGTGCAAAAGACGTCGACAAGATCGGTCAAATGGATCAGGGAGGACAATAGTCTGCCAAATTGTCGAGAGGGCGGCGATGCGCCAGGCCATATTGACTCTGGAGCAAGCGAGCAGATCAGAGGGTTGCATACGGTCATAATACTGCTGAGCATTGGCTCTGGAAGGCAGATGTGAAAAAATTGCAAGAAGGATGTCGTGAGGGACATAAAGACTTGGTCGCCCCTTATCAAGCTGTACTTTCCCTGCAATAGTGGCATTGACATCCAAAATCATCTCATTTCCTCCAGTAGTAGAAGACGCCGCTAACGAAGTCATAGAGATCGATGTCGACGGCAAATCCTGAGAAGCATTGTTGTTGCTACTGCTGGGTAGTCGTTTAGTAGCTGTTTTGCGCGACACAATCTCTGGACGGGTTCTCCTCCATGGCTGCTTGTGCTTGGCTTGCAGGCGCCTCGATGTGGCTGCTTGACTTACAAGATGGTTACGACGAGCTGGATGATGTCGTGGGGGAGGCTGTGTAGCATTGGGCAATGGTGATGCTAATGTTTGTTGATGAAGTGAAAGAGGAAGAGAATGAGATAGTAAGGGTGTGATCGTATCAGATGTGGTCATTCGTTCAAGTCGTGGCACGAGCACTGAAATGTCGCCTGAAATGTCGCCTGAAATAGAGACAGATGGGACAGTAATGATAGAGGAGGTTGGAATGGAAGTGGGCCAAGTAGAAGACGAATGAGGCGGACGGAAGAGAGTATCCAAGGCCCAATCTGGCAGCTCTTCGTCGTGCTGTGATGCACTGCCAGTAGTAAACTGCATCTGTTGTTCTGTCTGTGCTTGTGCTCGTCGTCTACGTGCTCGGTGTTCCTTGAGCCAGGCAGAGAGACGAAGTGCAAATTTTGAGGATGGTCTTGCTGTGTTGGTGCCGCCAGCAGTCCGTGCATGGTAAACCTGGCGATTATGCATCCTGATGAATCTTGTGTATGCAATTTACTTTAAATCTGTTAATAAGATGACGAGATATGTGTTTATGAGGTATCTGTCTTGTGTGTGTTTGTAAAAAGAGTGATGGCATGCCAAGAGGAGAGATGGGATGGGGAAAGTGAAGTGTGACCTGCGCAAAAAAAGAAAAATTGGTTGATCTTGTTTACATTGCTAAGGCCATCTTTAAATAATGAACAAGCAAAGACTCAATCTTAATTGGCTCTCTCTCTCTCTCTCTCTCTCTCTCTCTCTCTCTCTCTCTCTCTCTCTCTCTCTCTCTCTCTCTCTCTCTCTCTGCTGTATTCTGAATACAGTAACATATGACTTAGAGCCTTAAGGCAAGAATAATATTCATTCAATTCAACCTTTATACCCTATTACATTGTCATGACTCCATCTACAGCAGCAACAAAACCCCAAGGAGCAATTACAGGAGACATTCATAATAAAGATAATAACACCTTCAACACCCTTATAGCCTCCTCTATTGCAGCTTTTACCTCACGTCTTTGCACTCACCCTCTCGACACCCTCAAGACTCGTGTCCAGGCCTCAAACTCGCCACTTCCTCTATTGCCTACATTTGTTAACCTTGTCAAGAATAAAGAGCTTTATCGGGGTCTTCCGATTGCTTTGACACTTAGTGTCCCTGCTTTATCCGTTTATTTGACTGCATATGATCTTTCCAAGGACCGACTATCAAAACATTTCTCTTATTTTGGAAGCAACACAGTCATCAACCACATGGCCAGCGCAGTTGTGGCCGAGATCTCCTCTGGACTCTTTTGGACGCCTATGGAGGTGCTTAAATCAAAGCAACAAGTAGAGAATATGTCTTCCCATTCACTGTCGTCCCTTTCTTCAATCCCCTCAGCAGCAACCTCTGCTTCTTTACCAAAATCACCACAATCGCGTTCATCCACTGGAGCATTGCCAAGCTCCAAAACCAAAGCTTGTCACATACCAACCGCTTCGTTTTCAACGACCAGAACAACCGCAACGGGATTGCGAACAGCCGTCAGGACTTTCGATCTTGCAAAGATGATTTATCGCCAAGAAGGACTACGGGGATTCTATCGTGGGTATTTTATTACTTTGGGGGTTTTTGTGTAAGTACTGAGCTTTTTTTGTTGCTACTATTGTAGTTGTTTGTCGCATCATATTTATACTTGCTGAATCTCATTTTACATAATAACCTTTTTTTTTATCAGACCATATTCGATAATATACTTTACAACATATGAGCACCTCAAGAAGATGGCATGGCGTGAGCAGCAGCGATCTGCAACTATCATAGCTGAGGGACATGAAAAAGATACACTACCATTCATGACAATTGTCACATGTGCTGCTGTCGCTGCAGGGATCGCTGGAGCTATCTCCAACATCGTTGACATCGTCAAAACGCGTTGGCAGATCTCTGTACTCGCCACAGCTGAGGATAACTCATCAACAAAGAACATCATCCGTCAAATGTTTCGTCAGGGAGGACTGGCAAGCTTCACACGAGGCATGGGAGCACGCGTCCTATGGATGGTTCCAAGTGTTACTATCTCTATGTCTACATTTGAATGGTTAAAGGCACAAGGATTTGCAGCATGATAATGTATGAACTATAGAAAACTATTGCATTTATAAAAAAATTACGACCCATGGGTTTTATTTCCTGGTTTTTTTGCTACTAGAATTCTCAAAATCTTCTGCCTTGCGCTTTTTACCCTTTTTGCTTGATGAATTTTCATCTATTGACTTTTTTTCCTTTTTGTCTTTTTTACTATCCTTCTTCTCCTTCTTCTCTTTTTTGGCCTTCTTGTCTTCCTTGCTTGTTTCTGAAGTAGATGCCGGTGTTGCAACAATTATCTGTTCTTCTATATTGGTTTCCACTGTGGCAGGCGTCACAGAGACAGTAGCCTTGACAAATCCGAGGCCACGTAGCCCTCTATTATTAAATCCTGAAGCCCCTATACCCTGAGAAGTGGAGAACCCAAGACCGCCAAAAGCAGGTCTGACTGGTTCGTCATTGTTATCATCGCTAGTGGAGGCATTGCTTTGCTGCAATTGTGCGGCAAAAATGTCAGAAGAAGTCATAGCCGTTTCAACAATAGGAGTCGATGTCCCTGAAGTTGCAGGCGAGACAGTTTCGGATTTGATGCCCAAGATTTCGTTAAGACGTTCATTATTCTGCATAGCAGCAAGCTTGTTCTTGAGATATTTGTGCCTTGACCTGGAAAATAATTAAAGAAATGTAACAACGCTATCAGAAATCATTTGAATTGGTGGTCCTTAATTGAATCACCACATGTATTTTGAAAAATTTAAACTTACGCCTTGCGACCAGTGATCGCTGCCATAGCACTATTCTTATCGACACTCTCCTCCTGGCTCGACTTCCTTTCTTTCTTGTCTTTTTTTTCCTTCTTGTTTTTCTTCTTCTCCTTGCTCTCTTTTCTAGATTTCTTTTTTGACTTCTTTTCTTTCTCACTGTCCGATTTTTCAGATTCTGTCTCGCTATCACTGCTATTATAACTATTGTTTTTGCTTTCATTTTCCTGCGTCTCTTTCTCGACTCGCTCGTTTAAATCGGCGAGCAACCTGCTGAAAGCATCTGTGTTACCTAGCCAGTTGTCGCTCGTCTTCTTTGTTGCGCCTACTCCAAGATTATTTTCCTTCAGGCGAACCTTCACATGTTCCTGAACACCATCCTCCTTGGCTCCAAGTCCCTTTCCTTGTGACCAGCCCATCTTCTCCATCATCTTATATCCAAACTTATTGGTATCTATACAGTTTAAACACAGGAAGAATAAGTGATTGATACCTTAAAGATAATACAAAATCGCCCCAAATCCCTAAAAAATACATACCGTTTGCCCAATGCAAATTACGAGGGTCAGGCGCTAGCCTCTGCTTCGCATGACGAACGGCTTTCAAAGACATTGTATGAATGGACGGAAAGGTGAAGGTTGAAGTTTGTTTGTTTATTTTATTTTATGTTTTTTAAACAATAACAAAGAAAGTCGTCCTTCCATGTGACTATATCACATGACCTGAACTTATTTCCGGCACGACACAACCTGTCATCTTTACCATCTCTGCTTGTACATCTGTGTTCTTAGCAACTCTTTACTTTACCTACCAGTCTTTGGACCTCTGCTCGAATCGACTCGGCCCGAATCCAATCTGGACTCGACTATTAGTCTGGTTGGGCATTGTAATGTGCTTCATGCACAAATCACTTATTCAACTATAGATCAAAGTACACATCACAAATAAAGACAAACACATACGCCATGTATCATCCACACTCCAGTAGTACACTTGAGATCCCTTTAAAGGGGTCCGATAATGTACTAGAGATCTCGCGTTCGAGCCTCCCCACGCCTGCAGAGCTTTTTGACATCCTGAAGGCTGAAGAAGCACCATTAAGGAACTATGTTTTATTTGCAGTAAGAACGACATCTGCATTGCAAGAGACTAATTTTGTCAACTTTATGAGACGTTCTAATCTCTATCAATTTCTCATGCTATTAGCTTGAATATGCTCGACAGAACAATGTGGACTCGGCTATTAAAGTCTTAATCGACGGTCTTAATGGTAATATGACTCCATTCTTCCTTCTTTCTCTTAGTCAACTATCTTCATTACTAAGCGATTCCATTTATTTCATCTCCAACAGTCGAATATGAGCCAAATCCAAGGCCGCGTCTCCCCCTCCACAACCTCCTTGCATCCCTTTACATACGAAAGGCATATCAACCAGGGATTAACCCTCACGACCGCAACACACTATGGTCGGAGGCGACGAAACATCTTGGCGCTGCTGAGAAGATTAATCCCAAGGATGACACGACATGGATCAGCAAAGGTACAAGACAGCTACAACACTTTTTTATTGTATGAAGCCCTCAAGGAAAGGACTGCAAGCTTGACTCAAAGAACATGTACTAATCAAATGGTCCAAAATTAAAAACTAGGTCTTCTTTTGCTCTCACGTAATTCTTTGGATGAAGCATATCGCCACTTTAAACAAGTCTTGGGAGAGAATAGCAGAAGCATTCCGGCCTTACTTGGCACCGCACGTATCCACTTCATCCGCGAGAACTACGTGCAAGCGTTGAACTGCTATCGCAATGTGCTAAAACTTCAACCAGACTGTATACCTAATCCACGCATCGGTATGGGCTTATGCTTCTATAAGCTTGGAATGGTTGAACATGCACAAAAGGCATTCACACGTTGTATTGAAATGGATGGACATGATGCCACAGCGCATGTTTTATTGGGGATCATTGAATTCAACAAATGCAAACACCCTGACCTCTCAGAAGATGATATGAAACAACATTACAAAGCCGGATTTCTGCATCTGAAAGACGCCTATGCTGCAGACAAGAATCATCCAGTTGTCGGGCTGTATATGAGTAGACATTTTGCAGTCATAAAGAATGTAGATAAGGCAATGGCCTTTGCAACTAAAGCTTCAAACGCGAATGGTTTGAAAAATGTTCAGTCAGAAGGTTTTTACATTTTAGGCAGGATTCATCATCAGAACGAGCGATATCTCGACGCTGTAGCCTGTTATCAGAAGGCTGTTACATACAATCCAGACAACCTCTTGGCTCAGTTCGGATTTGGTCAGACGCTTCTGTTCAAGCAGGATATTGCTGCTGCCATTTCTGCATTTGAGCGGATTCTCAGCAAAGAACCAAAATGTGTTGAGGCTATTGCTGTAAGTTCCCCCAAAGGTGTTATGTTGCGGACGACTCTATTGCTGTTCATTACGGATAATAATACTGCTATAATCCGAAATAGATTCTAGGATCAATTTATTCTCGCTCCTCAGCATCCAAAGGCAAAGCTTTGGAATTTTTTGACAGAGCTACTAATATCATACATGAGCGTAACACACTCTCAATTCAGGACCCACTCATGTTTACAGAGATGGCACAGCTGCTGGAACAGACAGATATCCCTAAAACACTCAAAGCATACATGTTTGCGCTCGGAATCTGTGGACAGAAAATTGATAGAGGTGAATTTGTAGAATACATGCCAGAGCTTTTAAATAACGTTGCTGCGATCAATCACATGGATGGACGCCTGGACGCTGCTGAAGGAAGTTATAACAAAGCGTTAGATCTCTGTGCTGCTAAAGGAGATGATGTTGATATGGCAACGGAGGCAACCATCACTACCATCCGATATAACCTGGCCCGTTTATATGAAGAGCGAAACGAAATCCAACGTGCGGAAGAAATCTACAAGGACATTGCGGCTAGGTACCACGGTTATGCTGATGCGCATTTACGACTTGGAGTTATTGAGCAGTCGCGTGGTAACTTTGAGCAGGCGGCTGAACTGTATAAGGACGTGTTTGGTATGATTGACAACAAGAATGTGGATGCCTGGACATTGATGGGCATGTTGCAACAGAAGCAAAACCAAATCAGGAATTCACGTAAGACACTAGAAAGGATTGTCAAGGAGATCAATCGCCACGATGTATACGCTCTGTTGGCACTTGGAAATAATCATCTTGGTATTGCTCGTGAAGAAAAAGATAATATGGCAATGGTGAGTGTCATCTTAAATCAACATCAGTTTCAGCCATTACTGTGGTGAGGTATCAAGGCTTTTGTTTATGTTGAGCCGCAAGCGCTTATCTATTTTTTTTTTTTAAAAAAAAAAAAAAAAAAAAAAAAAAAAACGGATTGTAGAAACAAGAGTTGTACAAGAAGGCGTTCGAATTTTTTGATAAGGTCCTCAAAATAGATGCATATAATGCATACGCAGCAAATGGAATAGCTATCTCTTTGGCAGTTCACGGCCATCATACGGAAGCAAGAGAAATGTTTCTTCAGCTCCGCGAAGCTGCTTCAGCGATTCCAACGATTTGGCTCAATTTGGCCTTAGTGTCTGCTGATATGGGACAGTATCGGAATGCTGTCTTGTTGGTAAGTGCTCTCGTCTTTACTAAAGTTATGTCAGGGTCACATGTACTGAGCCTATGGTAGTGTTCAATAATCCTCGCTCAATTCACTCACTCTTTCTTTTTCATTTTCTCTAGTATCAAAGCGTCTCGAAAAAGTTTTTTAATAATGAAGATGAGAATGTCATTTTGTCGATGGCTAAAGCACAGTACTGCTTAGCCAAGCAAGAAAAGAGTCCAGAGAAGATGCAGCAGGCTTTAGCAATGGCACAAAGAGCTTTTCGTCTGAATCCAAGCGATAAAACTGCACTGTATGATATTGCATTGATTCAACAATCCTATGCTCAGCTTGTATCTGATCGTGCCTCCAGCGAACGTACTGTTGAGGATATCAATAACGCCATGGCCGGCTTGAATGTAGCCAAGAGGTAAGTGCAAAATATCAAACATGTCCACTTGGCAAATATGACTGATTTAAAAAAATAAAAAAAAAAAAAACATGGTGAGGTATTAAAGCTTTCTGATATATCATTCAAATGGCTCTATAGTATCCTCAAATCATTAATCGCTGTCCCCGCAAAGGAACATGTCTATTATGAACGTGATATTGCTGCACAACGCGAGAAGCATGGAGATTCATTACTGAACATGCTCCAGCGAAAACTTAAAGACCAGGAAGAATTTGAGGCAGGGAAGAAGAAAGCTATGGATGAAACACGTAGGAAACGTGAAGAGGAAAAAGCAAAGAAGGACGAAGAGGAGCGTAATGAACGTGAAAGACGAGAAGCAGAAGAGCGTGCGATCTTGGAAAGGCGTCGTGCTTTGGATGAGGGAGCCAAGGAAACACAGAGAGAGCTGGATGAGATGAACCGAGAGCGTGCGGAGCGCAAGCGAATGGTAGTGAGTGAAGATGATTTGAGTGATGATGGTCTGGACGCCAATGGTGAGCGCGAATCCAAGAAACAGAAGAAGGATCGAAAGCCAAGAGAGCCGAAGGAACCAAAGGAGCCTAAAGAACCCAAGGAGGCACGGAAAGGCAAACTCCGCAAGAAATCAGAGCTTGAAGGACGAGCACGGAGTAAGAGCATGGATCGGGATGACGATGGTATACATGATGATCCTACATCACAGAAATCATCGTCAAAGAAATAGTAAGTGTGGATTGTTCTCTCAGCTGTTAGGACCCTTATTCTCAGAAAAAAATGTGAGACAAGATGAATTAACCAATTTGTTCCTGCATACATTTTATTTTATTTTATTTTATTTTCTTTATGCATATGTTCACAGCAAATCCAAGGAGACCATTGAATCTGATGAGGATGAAATGTCTGATTGAAGAACTTGCGCAGGACGGAATAGACGATAATTGCAATTTTCAATGTAAACCTGCATATATATATATATATATATATATTTTTTTTTTTTTTTTTTTTTTTTTTTTTGCAGCATCTAATCTACACAGCCCCTTGATGCAAGGACCATCAAAACAATTTGAATCTGGATAGTTGTAATATTATGATTTTATGAATTTTATGATATCCCTTTGTCTTCTGTGTTCAGTAATCATTATCATTCTGATCGTCAGGGACATGCGACCAACTTCAACATGGCTTGAATTTGCATTGTTACTTTTGGGGTCAAACAGTCACTGGAATATTTTTTCCTGGTTCTGGATGGTGCTGCAGGAAGCAAATGTGCCTTTCTTTTCTCTCTTTTTTCTCCATTGACTCCCATCAACATAATCTCACGCCCTTTTCAACATTTGACACCACAAACCGTTGGGAACAAAAGGCAAAATAAAAAAGGATAAACTTGCCCCGCTCGATTTCACTTACCGAATTATAATAAAAAAAGTCTTACCTCTACGCATTCACCACTAACAATGACTTCGACCAAGAAGAGCAAAACTCGTGCCATGCCTATGCTTCCAACGTCGTCAACAGCTCCCTGTCTAGCACATTCATTGCAGAACGAGGACTGGCCAGCAGAAGCACAAAAGGTCAAGGACGAGCAGATGCAAGCCTTCTACCAAGAGTATATTAAGGTAAAAGAGAAGGACTCTGCAACAATCTCTTAGTGTTTTTTTTCTGTTGTTATGAATCGATTTGGCTATCTGTCTGTTCAAGAGATAGGAGAGTAGCTCGAATCCAATGCTCATGTCTTACAACAACGATCCATCATATGCTCCTCCGCTTACAATTCGATATTACCTCTATTCACTTTGGCATCTTAGACTGTACCCGAGAAAGGAACAGTCGTGGATCCAGACGATCATATTCGGGTAATTCAATAAAAAAGAAAGAAGTGGTGATTCTTTACAAATATATATTGGCGTGCCTTCTCATCGATTCCTTTGCTATCTCTTAGAGACTTACAACTGCCCTTACTCAGTATACGAGCAGAGGAATGCCAGAGGATAAAGCTGTATCAGAAGAGTTTTTACGCCAAGGTTCTGAACATATCTTGACTCCTTCTCCAGAGGAACTCATGGAGCTGTATGCGACAGTCCTTCGTGAGAATTTAGGTAATACGATGGGTCCCTCAATTGCACAAAATGCTCTACCACATGAATCCTAAACAATCTTGTGTATCCCACATGTTACCTTATTATGATGGTGGTAAACACTATAGACTTGAATCCTAAAATGAAGGAAATACTTACGGATCAAAACTTTGCGGCATCTACATTACTACATGGAGAAGAGCTCATCCAGCATTTTCGTCATCATCAGCAACGTCAACATGCAGCAGCGTCTCAACAACACGCTCCTTGCGGATGTGGTGTAGACCATGGAGATGAGGCCCTTGGCTTTCCGGAAGACAGCTATGAGGACGAGCCGGATGAGGAAGAGGAAGAAGAAGACGACGAAGGAGGCGAAGGAGATGAGGGAGAAGAGGATGATGGTGAAGAGGAGGAGGAAGAGGAGGAGAGCATGGATGATGAAGAGTATGATGATGACGATGGACAGGATGTTGTAGATGGGTATGCACATCACTATGAAGAGAACAGCATCAAAATGATGGCCTATGAAGAAGAGAAACTTAAGCTAGAGACAGTCCGCAGAGTCCGTGAGGAAGAACGACGTCTCAAGGAGGAGTTTCGCAAGAAAAGGCTATCCGAGAGGATAAAGCAGAAGCAAGAAAAGGGTAGGCATTTTCTTGATTCTTGGCATTGATATCATGGTTTAAGTACCGCCACGCCATCGCTTAGATCAGCCATTGGACTATGAAACTAATATCCTTTTTGGTGTGTACTTTTACTCTTTTATAACCATCATCGCTATTGCTTTTAGAGAGAATTCAACTACTGCAACGATTACGTCTAGAAGATGAAGAGCGCCGCAGGCGCGAAGTACTGGAAAAGCAGCGTCGGGAAAAACTTGAAGAAGAGATGCGGAAGAAGCGAGAGGCGGGTATGTCTTGGCTACATTAAGGTCTCTGGATCATCTTGACATAGGCATGTAGATGCTTGGTCCTCTCCTAACGGCACTATATCATCATTATTATGGATCGTAATAGCTGAAGCCGACCAAAAGGCCCGTTCATTCTTATTTCAATGCACGATGCGGTCACAGGTTGAGACTGTAAAACAAATCATTAGCGCTACTCCGGATGAATCTTGTTCCTTGACAGGCGTACCACGCTTCGTCACAACTGCCGCGACGCGCCTATTTGGATGGGAGTTCATGACCATGGTAGAAGGCGTTGGTGAAGTTAGTGAGGAAAAGGGCGTCCAGGAGACACTGCTTCACGTCGCTGTACGAGTAGGATGTGTTGACTTGGCGATATTCTTTATTAGCAAAGGTATTATATATTGTTCTCGCTATCAAAGCCCATTTTCAGTATTTGATGACCAGCTATAGCTCTTTTATTTTTATTTTTATCCTTATTTTTTTCTTGTCTAATGGATGCTCCTTTATTGGTTACCTATAGGTGCGCCGTTAGATGCTCTTGATAAGGATGGGCTAACGCCACTCCATACTGCAGCAAAACATTCTTCGCCTTTTGAGATATGCAAAGTGCTTGTAGAGAAGACTGCGCATCATATTGATCAGACATGCATTCTCGACGGCAAGACAGCACTTCACTATGCAGCCCAGACTGGATATGCCGATCTCGTATTGTTGTTGTTACAATACCATGCTCGGATTAATCCACAAGACCTTAAGGGCAACACACCAGAATTCCTTGCAAAAGTGGGGTTGGAGAGTGTATTATCAGAAAAGTCAACAAAGGCCAATACGAAGCAGGCCAACGCAACCAAAGCACAGAAATTTCGAAATGTAATACAGCACCTCCAAAAAGCGATAATTGCAGCTAAGGAGGCTCAAAGTCGGAAGGATGCACAGCTTGAGGAACAAAGGCGAAGAGACGAAGCTCTTGCGCGCGAAGAAGCAGAGAAGGATAATGCTGCTCGAAGAAAACAGGAGGAGAAGCTCGAAGCGGATTTGAGGAGACGCTTGGAGGAAGAGAAGGAGTTAGAACGTTTGAAGGCGATAGCGTCGGACCCAAGCGGAAATAACAACACTAGCAACAAGAAAAAGAAGAAGAAAAAAGGCGGCAACAAAAATGAAGCAGCATCCACTGCAAAAGAGACACCACCAATAACATCTTCCCCGTCTAAAAAAGGAAAGGAATCTTTCTCCGAACTATCCAACGTTGATACTAAAATGGTTCAAAGTTCAGCAGAATCGACGTCAATCTCAAATCAACCTATAAAAATCATTGACCCTCCATTACCGACTGCAAAGCCTTCCGGGGCCAATACAAAACCGTCGACATCAGCTAAAATAGTATCAGCTGTTAGCTCACAGCCCACCATAATAAGAATTCCAAAACCCAAAACAACATATCGTCCTTCACAACTGGTCGTCACTCGCATGACAGATATGGGATTTCCATTGCGTGAATCTCGGAAAGCGCTAATTCAGACTGAAGGACGTGTGGAGGATGCAATCGACCTCTTAACCAGTGGAGCACAACTCGCAGATGATTCTGAGGATGAAGCAGAGCAGGCAGCAGAGAGAGCTAAAGCCAAGGCAGCCAAACTTAGCGCTATGAATGCAAAGGCGCAGCCAGCAAAGTCGTCGGAAGGTCATGTGAATGGTCATGCCAATATTGTACGGTCACCGCAGCAGCCCAACTCCGATCCTGCACAGAACCACCATGCTCAGTCTACATCTCAACAGCAACAGCAGTCGCAGGCACATCAGCGCACATTTTCTCAGTCCCATGCTCCTCTGGGGATGCAACAAATATCTCCACGGCCTGCTAACCATCCCGTACAGATCTTGCAACGGACTCAGGCGGTGGCTCCCCATGTCCAATCCCGATCAGTACCTACGCAAGTGCTTCAGCGACCCTCAGCTCATGTTCAACAGCTGCAGCATCCACAGTCCCATATCAACGCACAAATTGCAAAAGCAGGGAAGTCACTATCCAGCCAAGGAGCGGTACTAGCAACCTTGAACCCAGTGCTGCATCAAACTCCGGCGATTACAGGCTTCATCGCCCCTAGGGCAGCTCAGCCGATATCTTCTACACGTACTCCCTATTCTTATGGGCCAGCGACACCATACTCTCATAATAGTAAGCCTTTGACACCTTCAGTTAGCACGAGCCATGTCAACAATCCCAACCTAACTTCTAACAGAATACCAGTGTCTCCATCCGCTTCTGGCATGGATCGAAGTGTCCCTGGACATGGGCCTGTAAATGACGCTGGAGCGATTGGGGTGGTGCATAAGTTGGGAGACATGAACCTCTCAGATCATCAAGGCTTTGGTACTGGCTCGGATTTTTCTGGATTTGCGGCAGTGGCATCTACGTGGGATGTCAGTATTGGTAGCAAGGGACCGGTGACCTCAGCTTCACAGGAGCTTCCAATGCCTATGAGTGCAGGATATCAGTCTTCGCCTATGACTGGGCATAATCTATGGTCAACCTCTGGCTTACCCCTATCTACAACATCTTTGCTTTCTAACGTTGCCGATAACAATATTGGATCTGCGTTCGGATCCCCATTCTTGACCAGTTTACCGACAGCCCACCACCAGCAACAGCAAACACAGTGCCAACCGGTACATCAACCAACATTACGCCAACAACAGCATCCAGGCTCGTCAGTCATGGGTTCTCCTTTGGATGGGCTGCAGGCTTTTGGTGATAATGATCTAGATCTTGGGAATGCGGGCGATGAAATGATCAAGGACGTACTTGCCATGACAGGCGCTATCGACTCTGAAGAGTTTGCGGAACTTCAGGCAGAGTACTCACTCTTGGGCTCTGGGCCCTCAAACAACAGTAATAGCAATGGTACTTCCAGCAACGTCAGCAATGGGCCTTCGAGAACTGTTGGAGATGGACGAAACAGCAATCAGAATAGTAATAGTGGGCAGCCCATGGCAAGTTTGTGGGACATGTCTACAACTGGCTCCTTTAATGGTGAAGGTAATCATGGACTGCCATCGCCTATTGGCCCTCTAGGTGGGCATGCACGACGTGGTATGGATTCAGGTTTTAATGGCAATGACCCCTATGGTATTTTTTTTTTCAAAGAGGGAAAGAGGAAGGTTTTGGCTTTCGAACTTATTGATAAAGTCTTTTTTTCGTGTAACAGCTTTCTTACCGGACACCAGAAGAGATATACCCGAATACAGCCAATGGAACTCGGGATTCATATTGGATCAAAGCATGTATCCATCCTCACAGCACAACATTGGCTCATCTACATTCCTTGATAGCTTCTTTGGATCGAGTGTTGGTGTCTCCACGTCACTCTATAGCCAACAGCCTCAAGTACAGCCTCATCATTTTCCACACCAACCACAACCGCTATCGCCGTTTGACTATTCAAATTTCGGAGGATTAGGTAATTCAACAACCTCGAACACTCCATCATTGACATCGCCTACATCGTCTGGAGTTGTATCCATGTCTGCAATTGGGAGCAGCCGACAACATTTCTCATCGCAGCAGCCTATAGGCTCCATACCAACCAAGAGTAATAATGATAGTCAAAACCCCAAACACTATTAAAATTTTGCCCTTCAATGGGAAATGTTTCTCTTCAATTTGTTGATTGCCGTTTTTTATCTAAAAAAAAAAAAAAAAAAAAAAAAAAACCTCTAATATGAAACCTGATTAGAGTAAAGCTCTCTAGCCTGTGCCTGTTTGAGTTCCTTTCGAGAATTAAAGGATCTGCGATCGATCTTTGCTGTTGAATGTTTATAAGGCTCCATGATGTAAAATTTTGGAGGAAAGGGCTTTCTTATCGTTGTGTTAGATATGGGAGTCGATTGTACGGTAGTAGTTTTATGAATGGTTGAAGAAGGCAAAAATGGAAGTGAAGACGAGCAGGTTGAGGAGGATAAATAAGATGAAGGCGGACTTAAGATGGGTTGTGCTGATGAATATGAAATAGTGTTTGTGGGTAATGCCAGTAATGATGATGCTATATATGAAGGATGGGGTACCCAACTAGGCGTCGGAGAACTCGAACTCGTTATTGAAGAGGATGGTGAGGATGACTTTATGGAGCTTCCTTGGTTCAAAGATCTGCGCGTCCTGCGACGTTCGCTTTTACTGTGGGGGGACAAGTATCTATTTCTTTCTCCTACATCCTCTTTTGCTTCTCTTGTCCCTTCGTTGACTACAGTCCTTTGGGCTAGATTCATTGCTCCATCAGTGTTAAACATAGTATCAGTAGCACTTATACTATCAACGCAAGAATGCACCATGCATTGAAGGAACGGCATTGGCGATGTAGAACCATATACCTGACAGCATGGGATGAACGCATTGGTAGTTATTGAGGATGATGGAAGCTGTGATGACATCAAGGCTCCGTTAACGCCACCAGCAATAGGCATCATCCAAGGGGAAATTAACGACCGATACTGCTGCTGCTGTTGTTGTTGTTGGTGCTGGCCCCGTTGTTCTTGATGTATTGACTGATGAAAAAGAGGAAGCAAAGGTGAGTCCAAAATGACCATTGATGGTAATAGAGAATAAGGTAATGTTGTTGGTACCATAGTGGTTGTAGTAGTAGTCACAGTCGCAGTCGCAGTCGCAGTGGTAGTTGTAATCGCTGTTTGACTTTGATGTTGCATAGCTGTGGTTGTTGCTCCAGAGGATAGTTGCATGGGCACCTCGGGATCTAATCCTAAAGAAGTTTGCGATGTCAGTGTCTCTTCGATGGCTCCTGGGATCTGGATTTGACACAACAAAGGCTCAAGTTTAATTTTGCTGCTGTCTTGTACAGACAGATCGTCTCGCTCCACATAACCGAGATCGAAGGCTGAGGTTGAAACAAGTGACGCCTGGTTACCAAAAGTATCAATAGCTGTAGTAACAGTGCTAATAGAAGCGTCATCTGTGCTAAAGGAAGTGGTAATGGCATTAACGATATCTATGGCCAAAATCTCATCAACCCTTTTCTCTAAATCATGATCCTCTACGCCGATCAAGGATGGAGAGACATTCACAATATTCCGACTCGGCAGCACTGCAGCTTGGTTTGTACTCAGATAATCATTGTTGGTGTTGCTATCCTTGTTGCTGTCGCCATCATTATCATTGCAATTACCATCGTCATTGTCACTTTTATTGTCGTAGGCGTCAAAATGGGCAAGGCTGCTATGGAGATCTTGAAAAAAATCAAACTCGTGGAGAGAAATACTAGCAGTGCTGTTGTTTCTACGTTTGCCATCACGATGGTACATGTTTTTACTGTTCGTTTCCGTTGCCACCTCCATTTCCGATGTATATGAGCTTGACGTACCCAAAAATGATGGTTTGGAAAGATCATTCTCCCAACTGTTCATCTCTTTCAGAAACTCTGCTACCTCCATTTCTTTATCGTGCCCGTTGCTTTGTACTTGACAACCGATGTCTTCAAGGACTACCATCGTAATTAGCGTTGCTAGGACCTTTTTCAAGTTCTTTGTTGGTTCTTTTTTTTATGTAAAGTGATGCAAATCGTTACCACTCGTTCATCTTTTTATGGGTGTGCGAGGCTTAAAAAGCTCTCTTCTAACCTTCTTGCCCTCTTCTTTTAAGGGAGTTAGGCCAATGACATCCTTACTGCATTCATTTTATTAAATTTCCATGTCGGAATGTAAAGTAGACTAAAAAGACATCAGTACACCGCTCAAAATTAATCGTATCCACGGGAGGGGAAAAAACACATCCACCAATTATCAAAGATGGGAAGCGCATAATTTTATTCTCGGTTAAAGATTGCAAATAAGCCGCGCTACGCACTGCGGATCAAGGTATGCTTTGAAAATAAAAATAATAAAATAAAATAAACTTGGTATGGTGGTATATTTGTTCGTGGATTTTCATGCGTCCTATGCAAGTAAACGATTCTAGGTTTCTTTTTCTTGTACCGCAGTCCTGACAAGTCCACATCTGATCGTTTGCGCTACATGCACATAAATTGTGGTCATACGTAAAAAATTGAGAGCATACCATTTTATTTTCAACATACTACGCTTCCGATACAAGTTGTCAGTTTAAAGGTGTGGTTATGGCCTTATTAAATATTTTCTAGAAAAAAAAAAAAAAAAAAAAAAAAACCTGGGTCAATTCAGAAAAAAGTTGCTATCCTTTCATTACCACGGTCTAACTTACCAATACTTTCGAATCAATAAATTTCCCTACGGCCTTGACGCGTTCTTTATGTTCCATAGCTATAAATTCCTTTAGCGAACATAATGACAAGATCAGCTGAATCGAAAACGGATTGAACAATTGAAAGGAAGTCAGGAACCGCTCATGCTATATATGTGGCAATAAAGCCAGTGTGATTAGCTTTTTTTTTTTTTTTTTTTTTTTTTTTTTTGATACTTGGTTATATGAGAACGGCACTTACAGTACTATCTTGCTCATTTAACCAATCTCTCCAAACCCATTCTTCCCGGTCCTGCCAGCCATCCTGCTCTCGCCTTATCCCCATCCGCTTTTCGTTTTCAATTCTAGTCGTAATCTCCTCGCCAATTGCTCGTGCCATCCATGCAGCGCACTGCTCGTCAGAGGCAAAGAGTACCTTCACTTCAAACTCTAGTTCATTAACATCTGGGAGCTCATGCGGCAATGGAGGGGCTAGATAGTAGCCCTGGGGGCCTTGATGATCCCATCTCCTCTGATAACCACAGCTATCATCATTATTCATAGCATTACTCTGTCTCCTTTGCCATCCACACCGGTTGTATGTGAATGGGAGCCATGCCAACAACTTGTTCAATTGTACTGTAACTGGTCCTGGGTATGGGTCCACTCGGGTCATAATAGTTTCTTTCCCATTTAGTGCCGCTGCTGGGCTTGCCATCATAGTAAAAGCCGATGATCCACCTCTATCTATGTTTGTAATATAGGAGACTGGTAAACCATTACTTCTATCACAGGCTTTGATGCGATTGTTATTGTTTTCCTCTAGTATGAGCCACAATGCTTTGTATCTAGGTCCAATCCTGGCTATTGTTGCAACTAGCTCATTCAAGCCTGCATTAGGGTCTTGTGCAGTTGATTGACCAATCTCACGAAGTGGATACAGGATAATTGCTGTCTTTTCGTCCAGTATAATATCGGCCTCGATTCGGGTCGTGAGTCGGTTGGGTAACGTGTTTGGTAAAAAGGCCTATTCTTTCCAAACAACGAAGCGTATTTGTAAGGTTAATTTAGAGTAAACAGGGGACTTAGCATCTAGCCCGTCCACCTTTGCAAAAAGATATATATATCTAGGCGCAGTCAAGAGAAAAAGAAAATAATCGAGTAGTTTACTCTCAAGTATTCTACATCCCGCTCCACCAACTGAATATTCGCACATTGAGGATCAAACAGAGCACGAACAAGACGCGTGTTCTGTAGTAGACGGGTTGAACCAATGTATTTGTAGGTATCTGGCCTGGGAGGCAGCAAAGGGTCATATGAGCGGAAAGCATTGGCCTTGTTGTCTCTTGATGAAATAATATTCTCTTTTATATCCTCCTGGAGCAGGGCTCTTGATCCGATTTTAGACACAGAAGGACGTACGCCGTTGTATGGCAACGATGATGATGATTTGGATGTCGATGGTGATGTCTGAGATGAGGCTGCTGCCGTTGCTATTGATGGCAGTATCTTTTCTGATTTATTCAAAGGTCGGTACTGTTTTGAGCTTAGCATGCAGGGTGGTGGCGTCAATGACTGAGGATATTTTCCCAGCTTATGAAGAGCTCTAAACCTGTCTACTGCAGAAGAAGGTAGAAACTGTGGTTGAGTACTAGGGGACGACGCTAAGGGGTCGTAACGGTTTAAAGGCGATTGTCGCTTCTCTACTTTGCGTAACATTACAATATGATCAAAAGAAAGTAAACCAAAGGAAAGAAAAAGAAAAGGTAAGGAAGAATAGAACAGTAGAAAAAATTCTATTATCAAAATTTATTGAATTTAGTGGTATCAGTATAATATCTGTCTTTGGTATTATAGGATCTGTACCATTAAGCCAATGCCTAAGGGCTTAATTATGAGACAGCAACAGGAACTCGAGCGCTTGGAGGGTTGTTGCCGGACCCATTGTAGCCCTGCACTCTAGCTACGACATTGTTGTCCAACAAAGGCTCCCTTTCTGAGCTCTCAAAGTCACTATAGCCGTGGCTCTTAGCCTGGTAATGATAATAGATACACATCACCAGCAATATTCCCTGCAAGCAGCCCGTTACAGCATAAACAATCCACGTTGTCCAATTGGTACCTGGCCTGAGCGCCAGCGACAATGTCAAAAGAGCTGCTCCTGGTGTCTGCATCATCATCATAGGAATACTCAGTGCTCCAACTGACTTGCGCTTATATGTTCTGTGGATCTGAGGCATATATTGAATCACAGCCAAAACAACACTCGTAATACCCAAGAAACCAGCCCAGCCTGAAGTCCAATGATTTTCAGGGCCTCCAATAAAGACTAATAGGCCTATCGTGACAAATGTGCAAACAACCAAGTGAATTGTTACCACATGAGCAATGAGAAGCGACAGTTTCCACTCTTCACTCCGTGCAGGTAAAAACGAGTAGTGACGAATATGCTGCTGGTCTCTCTCGGCCTCGATCTTATAACTGGGGTAATAAATGAGATACAAGACAAAACTATAGGTGGAAAAAGATTTAACACAAGTTAATATGTCGAGATCTTTGCTTATTATTTCTCATCTCCTATTTTACATCTCCTGATCTTCTCATCTCTCTGACTTCTTGATCTCTTTTTCTCTACTTTCTCTCCGAATCTTCAGCTATATAATACATCACGTTTATGCGCCTCCTTACACTAATCCGAACATCACGAACTGGATTCCGAGTTGGGCAATGCCAAGAGTACTTTCTAGACACGGTCCCAGATCCTGTCAAAGGACAATATACAGAAATTAATACTTATTCTTGTGCCAAATAGTTTGCAATAACCTGCTTTTAATAATTAAGGATAGATGGCTTACAAGGATTTTGCAGCATAAAATAACCTTCCACTGCAGAATAACGATGTTCAGGAAGGTAGAACTAGCAGAAACAGTGCCAAGAAGCAAGAACCATGGACTAATTCCTTCACTGGTGCCCTTGTGAATGATACGAATGTGCTATTGAGATGAAAACGTTAGAAAACAATATAAGTTAATGGACTGGTTTTATAGAACCATATGGTAACTAAATGAAAGAAGGCTTACACCTTGACATTATAAAATTTATAATATATATGAGTAAACACCTGGGGTAGGTAAGATACGACCATGCCAACAAGGATAAACAAGGATAAGGCCAGCTTAAAACTGTCGTGGTCATGGATGCACTGAGGGCCTTCTGGCTCTGAAGAGTCTGGGCTCGCTAAGTACGAAGTAAGCCTCATGGTAAATGCCGGTAGAAAAGAAAGTCTAAATGAAGCGAATTGATGTGGGAAGAATAAATGGCAAAAAAGAAAAAGTGGAAAGCTCGCGTATGTCTATCAATATTTTAGGCTCTCTGACCACCCATGTGTGCAGTGTTGCACTACACTATGTGTGAGCCTAAATCACGTGCATTACAGTGTGATAGACACCAGTCACGTTTTTCCTTGATGGAGGAATAAGTCTGCGGGTTGCGCTTACTTTTATTATACCTCTTGATAACACTATCAATGTCTCATCCTTGAGACCTTTGCTTTTAGCACTTTCCTTCGTAACGACTAATCCCATCATTTATAATAAGCTAATAAGCCGTCTACATGTATTTTGACGCGCTAAAGTTCGTTCACGTTTGAAAAATTCAATTCATCTCAGCCATCTTTACATCCTCCCTCTACCAGTCACATCAGTTCATTCCTTTTCAAACCATGCCACCAAGAAATAATGCCTCTAATGTGGCCAGCTACGCCGATAATGATCAATATGATAGCCTGACTAATCCTAAGACCACCATCACTCTCAGAGCTAAGAAAAGAAAGAATTTAGAGAAAAACGACAGTGATGACGATTCAGATTTCGACCATACCCATCGACAGCACAGATTACCTCAATATTCTCGTCCATCGAAATTGAAAAACGAACAGTCTCAGCAAAAACAGCGTACCTCACCGCCGCTCGCGTTAAATAAGAACAATGAGTCTGCTAAAGGCCAAGAAACATGGAGGGCAGAATCATCAAAATCGGTGTGTTGTGAGAGAACTTTGAAGTTGCTTTTAATCACTCATTCATTCAAGATTAGTTGACAATTCCTTTACTAACAATTTAATCTTCACAAACCGACCATCACCAATAGAAGCGGACGAAACGATGTAGGGACTTTTTTTTTTGGTACTTATTTTCAATCAAGAATATCAACTGCTTTTCATGAATAGATGAATCTAATATTTCTTATACATGATATAATATTCAACAGTTACAGAGGAGGATCGAGGATTCGTGTTTACTAGGAAGAAGCCAATCACAACAACTACGGTTGAGAGTACACCCTTAACAGCAACTCTACGGCCACCATTATCATCAAGAAACAAACAGGATGTAGATAATTCCCACGACGTTGATAATCCGCTTTTAGCAACGCCAAACCCACCAATGACGCCAGAAGGGACACCTTCGCGGGACAGAATATATGATGTTCAAGCAGTACGAGTCAAAAAGACGTCAAAACCCACAACAACGAGGCAATACCAGCACCAGTCGCGGCGGCAGCAGCAAGGCTACCAACAAAATCCACAAACTCCACAGAGGAATCACGAATCGATTGTGGCCATCCCAATGCGAGAAACCCCCATGATTAAGCGGAATAAAGACATGAGGAATGATGCAAGTCGGCGATCGAGCTTTACTTTAAGAGGAAAGAGGGCTTCATCAATTGGAAATGGTTTTAGTGGTATGAAAAAGTTTTTTTTAAGGAAAAAAAAAAAAAAAAAAAAAAAAATTAAAGACGACTGATCAATTGCTCTTTTTTTATGTTCTTAATCCTCAACTTTCGTTTTTAACCCATATCAATAGCGTTGCCCCATCCATCTATTGATCCAAAAAATTTCTTCCGTCATATTGCACCGGACGATCCACAGCCAATACGGATGAAGCAACTTATGACATGGTGCGCACGCAAAACTATTGATTTACAAAAGACCCATCATCAATCCGCACTCAAGGTCGCGAAAGGAGTTGAAGAAGATGTATTGGAGATGTTGATTGCGGGACAAATCAGTGTATCATGGTATAATCGACCTGCGGATGCAGCACCGATTCAAACGGTACCTAAAAAGCCCCACCAACAAAACGTTGATAATCTCCGGAAACTGCAGGAATGTGAGGCACAAATTGCAAAACTTCAGCAAGAGGACGAGGAGTGGACACAACTCATTAGCTCCTTCAACACATTTCATGCATCGTTGCTGGATAATGGTCCCACATTACCACCAGATAATCAGCCTATTGTTGCTGGTGATAGATTCGCGAATGAGATTGACATAGGGATGTTAACCGCAGACGAGCGGAGCTTGTGGGAGAAGTATTGCAAGGATAAGGACTCAATGTCAATGCCAGAATCAGCATCTGGGGGAGTACAAGACACTGCAGTAGAAAATATTCAAAAATCTACCAACGAGAATAACAAATGGATGATAGAGATAATGGGCTCAGTTGAAAAAGAGGTAAATCATTTTGCGACACTGTTTTTGCTGAGTAATTACCTTACATTCATCAAGAAGTCCTTCTTGTGGAATAAAGACTTTTTTTTTTTTTTTTTTTTTTTTTCCTTACATGTCTAACATTCCTAGGTGGATACCCTTCAGGATACCTTATATACAGCCTCACAATTCGATAAGGTTGCAAAAAAATACGCCGATCAGGTTTTAGAACAGATCGCAATGGCTTTGGATGAGCGGCAACGGCCGACGGAAACTTTAGCATTGTTGCCAGCATTAACGTCGAGGCCACTAATGTTGGATCTTTTTTCTGGAAAAAAAGCGGCATCAACATTGTCAGAAGCACTAGGCGCTAACTCTTCCTCTGTGACGACCTCATTACTGAAGACGCAGAGTATAGGTGGTGATAGTCCAGACGATCCCCGGCAAATTTTGCGTGCACTTTCACGGCTTAGTCTATGAAGCAGTGGCAGAATTTTTTTTAAAAAAAAAAAAAAAAAAAAAAAAAAAAAAGACAACCGTGCACAAAATTGATGTGAGGAATGTCTATTGTTACACAAGTTTTTTAAACATTGGCTTTGTCAGTCAAACTGTTCGCTGTTCCATGAATGTATGCTTTCTATACACGAACCATGACTGAGTAATGTCTATCAAATAATTATAAAAAAAAAATAAAAAAAAAAAAGCGGAACATTCATGTTTTCAAGATCCTCAACAACGGTTCTAGTTAACATGGTGTTTATGAAGATGGAAACACATCTGTGCCTTTTTTTCTTTTTGCTATTGTTGTAAATCCAATTTTACTGATAGTTTAATTTACCTCTGTCCAGCGATCACTCGAGACGAGTTATGGATATCCTTTCTCTTACTTTCGCCTACCCAGTCTTTCTACGTTTTTTTTTTTTTTTTTGTCATGTTAACGGAGTAAAAATTTTGCTTTATATTTTATTTCCCGCCTTTTTCATGATATCTATACATTATATTGCTGTTATTAAAAGTGATTTCTCAGGACGCTACGCACGCACGTAAAAAAAAAAAAAAAATCACCTCTACTGCGGTACTCAGATGTTGCTTACATGATCTTTACAGCCCATCTATTAAACTAAAGAGACACATCTTTCAGATCTGCATCTAAAAAAAAATAAAACCCTTTCAACCTCCACACAAAGATCCTTTGTGGAAGAATTAACCGTCAATCAAGCTTAATAATGAGAACCAGCACTGATTACTAAGGATAAAACACTTGGCAGGAAGCCAACATACATGCACTTTATGCTAATAACATTATACTCCATGCTGATGAATGTTTTTATTATTGTTGCGTTTGTTGGCGAGAAATAAATAGAGTGAATCGATGAGTAAACAAAACAAAGGAAAAAAAAAAAAAAAAAAAAAAAAACTAGCCTCTCTTTATCCAGTGTCGAATGCTTCGAATAATGGATGACGGATGCTGAGGAACCTATCTACTGCTCCTATGCTTAAGTAGTAAAGGAAATATATGTATATATATAAAAGAAAAGAAGGAAAGACAAGCTGGTGTTTTCAGAATGAAATGGATACATGCTGGGGAGGTTTTTTTTTTTTTTCCGAGTCGATCCCTTCGTACGTGTCTAGTTATGGTGGTCATCAGCAAACCGAAGACCAAAGTTGATTACAATAGCAGCCAAGATGAAGACACAGAGAACTGTAGGTCCGAAACGGTCATCATAAGGACCAGGTAGTCTTTTACGGATCCTGTCTGCTCTCCAGTGGAAGGTTGCCAGTGCATAAACCATGACAAGTAGAGCTACCAATGTAAAGATGCCTGCTGCGATGCGACCGATCCTGTCACCAAAATTCAATAGGCCAATAGCGAGAGATCCGAGCAAGACTGTGAAGTTGAGCCACGACAAGAAGGTGCGCTCGTTAGCAAAAAAGACCTTTGGTTCCACACGGACAGGAAGAGCAATACGTTTGCCGGGAGTGGCCTGCAGCAATGGCTGCGAGGAGGAGGTGGGCATGGTCGTTGAGTGAATGTGTCCTGACATAGCTGGCTATGTGTTATTATTTAGAGGTTGAGAGAAGAGTGGAGTGGGGGTATCGATTGCGTTTCGTTGTTCGTAAAATATTCTTTATCCCCAAGTCAAGGCTATTTTCTCATGAGAAAAAAAAAAAAAAAAAAAAAAAAAAAAAAAGTGTTAATGCTGAAATTTTTTTCCTGCGCTTTCTCTCCATCACATCCTCAGAATTGATCATGGAATATAAAAAAAAAAAAAAAAGCAGATCACCTTACAGAATGAGTAAGCAAGGAGAATAAAATGTGTGAGAAAGAGGGAAAGAGGGTAAGACAAAGAATGAGAAGAATGAGAAATGAATAAGTGTGTAATGAGAGTAAGAGGGTAAGAGGAAAAGAGAAGAGAAAAAAAGATTTTTTTTTTACACACAAATATCCATCTGCATCTTAACCATTACAGACAAGCAAAGTGATCCTTTAGCAAACGTGATAAACTATCAAGTAATAGAGAATCCCAATTGATTTTCATTCATCCATAAACATAAAGCTTATATATAACATGTACATGCTTGGATATGTAGACATTGTATGTCTCAAACGAATGTGTTCATAATTGCTGATCATTTTTGTTTGCTTGTCATCTGACTGACATTCAAAAAACGCTCTTGTCAACAAATTTCTGCCCTCATTCATTTGACTGGCTGGATCTGAACAAAAAGTCAAGTCCTCTAATCGCCCTCATCCGAGATCACGTTCTGAGAGAATGCTCTTTCATAGGCTAACTGCAGTCTAAGCAAATTCATTTATCAGCAATTGAAAAACACAAAAATCCATCTCTCATCAACGTTTCTTTAAAAGACTGCGAAAAGTTTAAACCAACGCCCACATCTCCAACTTCAGTTTGTTTTGAGCAAGTGTCTGATAAGCATGGCTCTATTGGCTAGGACATTGGGACATCTTCAACCTTATTCCCCTATGCTATTGCTTGCTCAGTTCAAACTGCTCCAGCTTCAACTCAGCCTTTTAGGGCCTTGGCCGGTGCATTTTTGTTTATTCATCTCCACTACCTCCTTTTAATCTCAAGATCTTTAGTATCACAAATATCACGCATCTATTCATTCCTCTTTTAACACTCTACTGTATGTGTACATTACACATACCAACTTCGCTCCATCCTAAATAACGCACCTTCTCAACATCGTCTTCCATTTCGGATCTGATTTATGCTTAGGATAAATTCAACAGGCAACGAGGAAAAAAAAAAAAAAAAGAATAAACAAGATGGAAAAAATCTCGTACTCAATATACTTGACCTTATTATACAGGATGAAGAGCATTGGGCCAGCTCTCATTAATAGTTGTCACATCCCCTCTTTCCCTAAATCAGATGCTTCCGTGCTGGTGCCAAAAAAAGGAAGCACATAACAACTCATAGGACCTTAATTCAGACATGAACCCATAACACAATTTGACTATCAAATATGGATTTTGTTCGTATAGTTACAGATAGATAGAAATAGTTTAATTATACTGTACAAATTATAGCTAGTAAAAAAAAAAAAAAAAAAAAAAACTAGATAGTGTGAAAGGTGTCTTAATAAATTATAAAAAATTATATATATGAATGAAGATCGGCTGAAGAAAGTACATGGGATACTATATCTGTCCATATTAGTTTTCAGTTTTTAAGAATATTAAATTAGAGAGAATGTACATCGGGCAGACCATTCTGTTTGGTAATAAGATAAAGAAAAGAAAAATATCTGTCAGCCTTTGTCATCAAAGTATGTTTAGATAGTCGTGCATGGCACAAAAAAAAAACTTACAAAGGGCTGTCTCCATCCACACTGGAATTCATCCTCGTCATAGCCATCCCTGCTGGATGAAGAGTTATAGCCAAGATGTCTTTGAAGTAGCGTCTTGCTTGTCACAATGGTTCCAGCACAGCTCGAGCAAAAGTCATGTTCACCCAGCATACAGTTCTGAAGCGTGATATCTGGTGGAGGAGGTAACATTCCATTGGCAAAGACCTGCATATCATTCTCGAGGATGAACGATGCTGTCAAGGCCACTGATCGTTTAAAGATTAACCCACTACCTCCAGTGCCAACAAACACGCCACAGTGGTCCTGGACTTGTCGATTAGCAGCATAAATCGTATTTAGCATCTCTTGCCATCCACCCTCACAAAAAGGGAAATCGTCCTCCATAATACCTAAATAGACAGATTCCTCCATAGTTCCGATCTTGCGAATTGCACTCAAGAGATGCAATCGATGATTCTTTTCGAAACCCGCCTCCCGCATCCACTTGACATGCTTACGCGCCTTGGGGATTTTATCAAAGTATGCGTTGGCCTCATCATAGGCTGGGAAGTCTGAGAAATGAGTATAAACCACAATCTGAATTCTAGAATACAAAGGATCTACTTCCTCATCTGGGAAATTGTTGAGGTAAGAGGTGAGAGTTTCTTTGATATATGCAGCTCCCTGTTTCCTGGGCGCAGTCATCAGAATGAGTGTCAAAAGATAAGGCGTCTGTGGCTCGATGCTGCTGTTGAGGATAGCATTGGGTACATCAGGCTGGAAGGTGTGAATCTGATTGCTGCTGATAAGGATTAAGAGTCCAATGAGAAAAGTTGGAATCACATGTGCCAGAGCGATCCAGCAAGAGACCCCAGCCTTCTTCTCTCTGAATGGGGCGGCACTCTCTCCTGCCAAAGTAGAATCTGAAAATGCTTCGTCATCTTCTAAAATGTTCTCAAAAACTTCTGCCTCCCAAAATTGCTTTTCCGCTGCTGAAGCTTTCACTTTGCCTCCCCATCGACCTCTCTGGCGCTGAAACCAAATGATCATGGCACTGAAAAATCCAACAACCATGCCTGTTCCAGCCCACCATACAATAGTCTTGGGCACAACATTGATCAAGCATAAAAATAATTGAATGTGCGAGCGACGCAAGTTCCAAAGCGACGTTGGCTTTTCATTTGAGATGGGAAACAACGCCTGAATAATAAGCAGAGCAAAGAGATATGGTGCGAGTCCTAGATATAAATTAAGTACAAACGGACAAGGATTAGTGTGGAGCAAGCTAATGACATTCTGTAATGTGAAGTCCCTTCATTATTGCCCAGATTGATGATAAAACTAAATATATGCTAAAGTTGTGGCGTGTTGTCGATAGTTTTGATATAAGCCCCATCACTTGGATGTTTTGCCCTAGACATAATGATGCACTCAGATCCTTAGCGTTTTCCAGGAAACTATGTCAAATGTTGTCCTCTTCACTTCGAGTAAGGAAGAACAAAGTCTCTCTCTTTTTACGTTTTGAGGATCCGTCCGTAATCAACATTTTTTTTTTTTTTTACTTACCAAGATTGCATTCATACATGCTGTCACTGAAAAACAATACTGGAATAGCCCATCCTGTCGACCGTGAAAAGATGAAGCCTGAGAGCTGTCGAAAGGCCATAGTCAAAACCATAATGATCACAAAGAGATTACGAAAAATTCTCGAGCCATCTCCGTTGAAAATCGATGTCAGATGGTCCTCAAAGATCGCCAGCGAAAGGATATTGGATACCGCAAGGACAAGTGACGATACTAGATTAAGTTGAGCCCCAATCAGAATAGAAGGGGCCAATGGCACCACAAACGGAGAGGCTAGGAGTGAGAGATACTCGCGAGAGTGAATTACATGTGTAGGTGCAGTGCAATGCTCTGGGAATTTCCCTCCGAGTGCCACCGCTGATATGATGAAGGTTAGAACCAAAACCATTCTGGTCACAGGCTGTGTAAGGAGTGAGAGTAATGATACGCTCGTGCTTTGGGGTGGAGCAGTATTAACATTGGGAAAGTAAGATGAAGATGAAGATGATGGCGTAAGGTTGTTTGGTGTACCAACGTTGATCACAGTACTAACGGGTGGTGTTGAAGGTGCAGAGGAAACGAACGTCTTCAACTGGTATGCTGTAGGAGATGGGGGAGGCGATGGCACATTAATTGTGATTCCTGCATTCATGGATGCTGGAGAGGCTGGACGAGACCCAGGCACAGAGGATATTGAGGAGGCATAGGAAGAGTAGGCAGAATTGGATGAGTGAGGGTTAAGGTGATTTGGGGACAAGGCGGAATGGAGCTGCTGGCTGAAATTGCGCTGCTGCGACAATGAAGATGACGAGGAAGGAACAACCATTGAATAGGTTGTATAATCCGGATCGACGGACTAGGCAAAATCAGGAGATTCTATTGGGAGGCAATAAGAAAGAACGTTGTGTTAGCGGTGCTGGTTATTGTTTAGTAAGTAATGAACGATGGAGAAAGTGCTGATGAGATAGCATGCTGCCAAATGCCGACCTGGATCGTGCACACGCGCTAGTCCCTTCTGTTGCTTTTTTTTTTTTTTTTCTTAATCCACAGGCTACAACATGAGCAAACAAACTCGCTGCATGTAAACCTCGTTTTATTTTTATTTTTTTACGCTGTATTCTCCTTTGCTGCTGATGGCGTCAAGATCAACAAGTCGACCACACTTGGATAGGGCACTCTTAATTGTAAGGCCAAGGAGAAGATTAAAAAAAGAGGGGGGAAGGAGGAGACGGGCAGAAGAAAGAGTGATTGAGAAAATGAGCGGACCAGGAGGACTTTTTTCTGCAAGTGTCACTGGTGTCTGCAAGGAGACATTTTTCCCACTTCTGACCCCTGGCAGTTTTTTTTGTAATGTTGGTCCCAATTGATGCTACTATTCCTATTATTGTTATTATTGCTGTTGTTGCTGTTGTTGCTGTTGTTATTGGTTACTATTGTTGGACTGTACCTCTGTTCAAAAAAAGGATGCCAGAACAAAAAAAAAAAAAAAGCGGAATGAGATGCAGATGCTATAGTAGTGAGATGACAATGAGAGCAGAAAATATGAAACAAAAAAAAAGGTCGTAACAAAGGAAAATGACACTTAAGAACAAGAAAATAAAGTAAAATAGAAACACATCGGTAAGGAGGATGAGTAAAGAAAAAAAAAAAGAAAGAGTGTAAAGAACAAGAAAAAAAGAGAGAAAGAAAAAGAAAAAGAGTCAGTCTTCTAATCCGCACCTGCTTGGCTATGTCTACAACAGTCTAAAAAGTATATGTGAATAGGGGGGATCCGCAGAAAAAAAGACAAAAAAAAAATTGGAGTTCTATTCTTACAGAACCATAACTGTCTTTTACTTTTTTACAGCAATAAACAAAACAAAACAAACAAACAAACAAACACAACGGTTCTCTCTCTCTCTATAGTCGACAGCTACACTCTTTGTACGCTCTACTTTCGGTCGTGTCAAGGAAATTCAGTACACTTTTTGCATGTGGTTAGAAGTGCTCTCTTTTTTCTTTTACAATCTGTATGCCGTGCGACATTGACTGACATTTACACACCATCCACTCTCCCCTTCCTGGCGATTGCAAGGTTGCAAGCGCCAACTATAACCTTCTTCCAATCATATTAAACCTTCTAGCTCCCAGGCGCCAGCGATATACATGTACCTCTGACTGCAGTCTACATGGCATCATTGTTATAAAGAAGTGAGCACATTTGGTGATCCAAAACGTGGCCAATGTCGTGCAAGAATATCCAGCTTTCTCTTGCGTTATGAATCTTTAATCCTCCTAGAGCAACCTAGACATATCTTAGACACAAAGAGTGTAGCACAGTTTGACAAAGAAAGGGAACCATCCCCCAACACTCGTATACGCTCGATCATCAGCATTTATTCTTGAAAATCTGAGATGGAGGAAACAACGTTTGAGACGGTTACCTTTTCTCCTTTCTTCTTTTCTTGTTTCTTCTAACAAGCAAGTGTTCTAAATTCACTTTCAACGTGGCCCGTATCTACACCACGTTTAGCTTACTGTCCTTTGAAGGCTCGTCCCTTGGACGAAAACAACTTTTCTACTTGTGCAGTACAGCAGCAAGGAACATGTTTGGATTAAAAGATCGGTTGGAACTTGGAAGTGGTTCCTACCTAGAACAGTCAGCCAGTGAATATTCATTTTACGAAATGGTTGGTTAGACTTCATCGCCTTGGAAGTAATCAACATGAGAGCCCTAATCTGGGATAAAAACTGAAAAAAATAAGGCTTAAATGTGGATAAGATAAACTTGCGCCGCTTCATACACGATGCACCTTCATTAAATTAAAGCATACTCTACCCAACCAGCAGGCGCCCCATTAAACACTTTGACGGCCCTCCTCTTTTATGACTTGCTTCATTTTGTTGCATTGATTCCTTTACAACGCTGCATGTATGATTTACAGAGCGTAAATGGACTGCTGCAGAATCTGTTAAAGGTGTTAGAACTCTCTACGCGTCCAAGTTTCTCTAAAGTTTATGGTCATGACGCCTACTGAATTGGTTTAGTGATATGTACACTTCAAGAGTCGGGAAGACCCTGCTGGGATAATGACTCCTATTTCCCCCTCCTCTATTGCCGATGTTATTCTTAACACGATCTAACATTAAGGGTGTGACATGCTGGCTTGTTTTTTTTTTTTAGGGCCTGGCATCTTTAGTTTATTCTGAATAGTCTAGTGTTACTTCCAATCACTTGATCTATTTTCGTTCTTCAAAAACCGAGTAAAGCCTCGAAGCGTAACGAACAATCCCTTGACCAACGGATTCTGACTTTTCAGGGCATTAGCGCAGATATATCAATATGATATTAAACCAAGTAGTTATCAAAGCATTAAATAAATGATAATTACAATAGTCCCCAGCCACCAATCTCCCCATCCGCTTGATTCCTTTGTTGGATTATGATGTGGACATTGTGTAGTCCAGGCCAAAGTGGGGGGTAAGCGGAGGAATTCTATTTTTACAAGCTTCTTTCTCTAGTATGCATGTATAAACACTTTGCCATTTATTTCACATAGTAATTTGTTTATTCTATGGATGATTTGTGAAAGAGACACCCATCGGTTGAACTATGGATAAACATGCCAATATCGTGCAATTGAAAGATTGAAAGCGATACAATGTTTGTGTTAATATATTGGCATGTCAGCCATGTTAAAGCATGGACAATTTCGTATACATAAGGAAACACTGCCACTGAACCACTTTGATATCTGTCTGGTTTTTTTGGCTGTGGCTCCACAGAGTCTTCAGGGCAAAAAACAAATTACATTAATCTATGTCACAATCTGGATGGCAGACAGGGCACTGCCCCGGCGCAGGAAATGGGCTTATTGATTAGTGTTATTTTAGTATCCTCAGTCCTCACATTCATTTATTCATTCTTTCTCCATTTCCTCCATTCACTTCATATTCATTTCACTTTTTGACTTCTCGTCTTGCATCATATTTATTCACTCTTCAAATATATCATTATGCGCTCCTCTTTGGTCCTCTCAGTCGCCACTACCCTGCTATCTGCTTCTCTGGTTCAACAAACTCATGCCCAACAACTGTGCAATGGATATGCAGGTCTTTGTGCAAAGACTTATGACCAGGTTGCGTACCCCACAACCCATAACGCATATGCCTACCAACCAGCAGATGCACTTGCTCTGAACCAACATAATGATATTCCCACTCAGCTGGGTGATGGCATCCGCGCATTCATGCTGGATGCTTATAAATCCACTAACCCTAATGATATTCAACTTTGTCACACTTCCTGTAAGCACAAGATTCAGAAAGATTTAATGGAGAAAATGGACGTATCATGTCAATCTCTTACACCGTTTTGTTGTGATATTCTTTTACTATGTTGATTGATAGGCAATTTGTTGGATGCTGGCCCACTATCGAAGGTTTTGAGCCAGATCAAGTCTTTCTTGGATGACAACAAAAACGAAGTATGTGTGCTTTTTTTTTTTTTTTTTTTTTTTCAATGATAAAACTGGTATTAATTGATACTCTTTGTTTATTGACAGGTTATCACCATCTTCTGGGAGAATTCTGCAGATTTGGCAGCTTCTCAGTTCCAGGTAAGACATCAACTCTTCTTTCACAACTAGTTTGTTGGAGGTTTTTGCTTTTGAATCCTTCCCATTTGCTGAGTTTTTATATTTTTTTATCAGACCGTATATGCAGCCGCAGGATTAAGCGATTATCTGTATACACAATCTGCCGGGACCACAAAATGGCCTACATTAGCAGAGATGATCTCGTCTGGCAAGCGTCTTGTGAACTTCATTGCTTCGGGCGCAGATGCCTCTGTCCCATGGTATGTTATGTGTCTTAATATAAGCCCAGATTCAATGTTTTTCCTTGTTGCCCCCTCATTTTCTATAACTCGGGAATAAATTTGTAAAACATCATGCTAAATGACATAATACCTTTGTTTAGGCTTATGAACGAATATGATTACGTGTTCGAGACCCCATACCAGATCACAAAAGGTGCAGAGTTCCCATGTACAATTGATCGCCCAAGTGGCGAACGCAAGCAGGTAACATTACTATACTCTTGATGCACATTGACGTTGCTTTTAGAGGAGCAAAAAAAAAAAAAAAAAAAAAAAAAATCATGCGCTAATGAATTTTTTGATCTCTTCATTTAGATGTATGTCCTTAATCACTTCATTTCGCAAACCCTTGCAACTGGCGGACAAAATATCGATGTGCCTCAACCAGACGCAGCAGCTCAGACAAATGGCGAAGATTTGGTCACACATATCAACAGCTGTCAGTCAACCTTTAGTCAGGTTCCCAATTTTGTGGCTGTGGACTTTTATGAAAAAGGAACACTCTTGCAAACAGTTGCTCAGATCAATGATGTCCCTTTCAACAACAAGACGCCTACACAACCCAAGAACTCTGGGTCATCTGGAAACAATGGAAAGGGCAAGGGAAATGGAGGTGAGGTTTTGATGTCGAAGGGAGCTGATCTCAAGGCTATCGGTGTAGCTGCGATGGCTGTTGTATGTGGTTATATGGCTTTTTAAATAGACAAAAAAATTTAGAACTTTATAAACTATTTAACTGAATAAACGAGTATCATGTCACTCGAGAAAGGTGCGCAATGTGCACCATTTATGATTAATGCTTTAGTATATATATAAATATATGCATACTTCTGGAGAAAAATATCTGATATTTTACTTCTCTGACCAAACTGACGATACAAGTTATAGTAATATCAAATTACAAAAAAAAAAAAAAAAAGCAGAGCCTGAGCGCCAGATACTCTTGTCGTTCAAAACCATGAAGCATTCTCTTGTTAACTTGTATCTGTAACGAGCCTCAAGGGCTCCTGAGTCCTAAACACGTTTCTTTTTAATGGAAGCCTTCTATGTATCCTATATGTACCCATCCACCATGCTGCCTTCTTACTGTCTAAGAAGCCAAGAATAGTAGGATGGAGGATAGAGTATAAAAAATCCTCTGGTTGGTAGGTTGGTAATGTCTTCGTTGCCTCCGCGCTCCCTTTTTTGCTTACGTTCCCTATACAAATCCTCGACATACCCGACTTCCCTTCCTGTTTTTTTTACGAGTATCCATAGTGAAAATCAGTAATTCGTCATTGAGCACTTCATATTCTCCATATCTCGGCTGCTACCGCCATTTTGTTTCAACAATGATGTTGCTCCCTATCGTTAAGGACTTGGTTCGACGATCAGAAGTTTATTTTTGGATTGACGGTATCGGTTAGAGGCCAAAAACCTTGAGAATGCCCGGATGGAGTGGCAATGGTGGTCACTATGAATGTTACTATCGAGGTTACTGTCGTCGATCCCTCTCGGTCATGTACTTGGAGCCCTCTGTTTAAGTTGATCTACCATACCACTACCGGTAAGACAATGAAAGCATAGACTCTACGTCGCCTTGTAGCCTTGTGTCAATTGATATTGACTGACTCTGGTTGATGCCCCAAGAAAACGTATATAAAGAGATCCACAGCAAGATGACATTCTGTATACGTCGGCCAGAGAGAGAAGAGCGAGGACACACCAAAGTCTGGACCAATTTATCTAAGAGTGTCGATGACAAGGTTTCAGTATAACAAGGATACGGTCAAGATACTTCTATATAAGAACTGTGGGTGAGCCTCTACAACAGATAGAGGAAATCTTTGGGTGGGTGCTATCAGAGGTTTGTTCATGCCTCGAGAAGATACTCGATGTAGTAGCATTGAATACTGAACTCCAAGCGAGTGGTATACAAGCAATGTTGAAAGACGAAAAGCTTATTTTCGTAGACAACGCGTCATATACCAATACAAACGCTTCTTTGTTCCTATCCAAGACATTGAGATTGGTCCAGGGGCTGGAAGCAATAGTATATGTACAAATGAAGTTCGAGTCGGGTCACAGGTCATAGGAACAAGATCGGAGTCTACGAAAGGAGAAAGAGGAGAAGGGGGATAGAAAGACAACTGGAGAAATCCAAGAAAGCATGTGGCATGGATCGATAAAATGTCCCGTGCGCATAAATTGCGCACTGTGATCCCTGATGTAACATTTGCTTTCGCCTCTTTTGTAATTTGGAAATACCAGACCCTGGTTATGCATAGATGTATACATGTATACTGTACGAGGGAACGAGGGGTTCGAGTTTGTCAGATCTTAACGTCTCTTGCATCTGTTTGCAATAGTTTAAATGTCAATACTCCCTGGACACAATAGCCTCGTGTCCAAAACAATATGTATAAAAAATATATAGTACTTTTTTATGCCATTACTTTATGATGATCTCCCAGTCCCTCCCGTGCATGCCCCATGTGTTTGATTGTGTACTTTATAAAGGGGTAATTTTGTAACTACTGAACATTCAAAACTTGAAACACCCAAATGCCCCCTTTGTCCATCCAAATTAGTTTCATAAAGTTCAAGTTACAAAAGTATTAATAATAAATGTGTCTTTTCCCTGTGTTCAAAACATTAGATGACAATGATCAACGCAATTTTTTTCGCCTCCATCTTTGTGTAAGTATCCCTGTAAAAAGCTGTTGCACATACCGCGTGGTGATCTGGTTTATTGGAATGTTGAATGTATCACTCCAATATTTTTATTCATCATCCATCAATCGATCTTTATTACGCCCAATCGGTTTTTTTTTTTTTTTTTTTTTTTTTTTAATGAATAAATCCATCACCGTGCGCCATTGATTCCAACTGGCGCCCAGATGTTTAAAAACCATTATGAGCACTACAGTTTCAGTCGCAACTAAATAAAGCCATTTTACTCAGCGACACCATATTTCAATCCATTTGCTGTGCTCCATGAATAATAATAATATATATATAATAATAAAGATGTGAAATAAATTTCTAGATTTTTTTTCCTTTCCTTTCAAATTGTCGCACGTTTGGATTTCGAGGAATGAAAAGGAAATGAATGGCCTGAGGATCCGAGAAGGTTTATGCTAGACTAGATGCACTAGAATGACAATTAATCAGTCGTAAATATATCTCTCTCCTTCCCGTCAACCATCTTTTGTTTTCACTTTATGCCAAGTTTTTCTGTCATTAATTATCAGGCCTTTTTGACGTGAACCGGAGAAATCAAATAAACCAATGAGACAGAGTTCGGCAATGGCATGTAAATCATCCAGCATTCATTTATTACAGTTTAAAATAATTTCTAAAAATGATCATGGCACACTGTGGCTTTGATGAAAGCCAAATGAATACCGCCAAATTAAAAATACAAAAACCATTAGAAATCGTTTACCGCAACCTGTTATGCATTTTGCTTTGGACTGAACATTTTTCTCCTAAACGCTTGTTGAAGTATATACATCTAACCTATTTTTTTTTTTTGAGGTTAAGAACTCTATCCCGATGAGATACATGTACATGTACAAATATACTCACAATTCTTTGTACGACATTTTTGGTAAGGATGATTTTTATAATACTCAGGATACAATAAATCTTTCTCATTTTTCCATCCTTTCTTTTAAACAAATTGAGCAAAAAAACAATAACGCTGCACAGTTAGAATGGTTAGTTGAACAGGGGACAGAATGGAGAAAATATTTTATGGGATAAGGAAAAAGGGGGAACAACACCCCCACGTCTGTTCATGCATAGTTGCCGTACTGACTGCACTGTAATATCACCAATACAAAGGTATATATATATATATATATATATATATATATACATTCATTTGTTTTTCCACTAGTGTACTTAGACTTTTATTGTCATCATCGTCCGCCTCTCCTTCTCTTGTCACCAGAAACAACCCGGAACTTATCTTTTGATCATTTGGTCCTCGATTGACGAAGGGAAAGGCGCATCGGCATAGATTCAATACAGTGATCGAAGCCCATATCTTTTTATTTGCTTACATAGTTGAGAAAAAAGAGCTGCTGGAATGCCAGTTGAAAAAACAAGATTAAATTAAATATTACATTTTGGAACGAGATGTTTATCTCATTCTTGTCCTAAGCCTCGCCACCCATCTCTCCTCCTTCTTTCATGCCGCTGTGTAGAATAAATGCGTTGATTAAGGGGGGAAGAGCTTGTGCAGAAACCACTGTCTTTCGGAGAGAAACTAAAAGGCCATATCTCACTCTCAGACAACAGTTGCTCCGTGTAGATATGCTGTAGCTGCCCTACGGAAGAAAAGAAAAAAGATAGTGGAGAGACAGAATGCTCATGCATGCTCTCTTTGTTCGCTCTCTGGCTCAACATAGGCTTAGCTACCGTAAGCCATAAATCAAAATCCTAAAAAAAACTCGTTGATATGCCCGCTATAGATGCCTAGAACTAGAATTTTTTTTTTTTTTTTTTTTTTTTTTTTTTTAGTGAGCAATGAACACTGCTTTGGTGGAGAACATGGAGAAATTAAACATGAACGTCCTCAAAGCTCACATTTATGACTCGTCTCGTTATTCCACCATTCTGCCTTCACCTTGTATTCACTTGATTTTTTTTCTTTTGAGCGTACAAAAAAAAAAAAAAAAAAAAAGAACAAATAACCGAGAAGGAATGAATTGTAGTTGTGTGAGTTGTTCGCTCAGAAATTAGAATGCTCAATCAGATTTTTTTTTAAAACATTCCCATAGGCCCATAGGGTTGAAGATTGTAAAATGATGAGGAAATCATATAGGGGATAGAGAGAGAAGGATATACAAAAAAAACTAGCTAGAGAGAGTTTAAAGTGGCTAGAAGACCTAGACCTTGAGTAATAACACTACTATACTGCTAATAAATGAATAAAAAAGTTTCATCAAGGAGGGGGATGTTTGTTGATCAAGCACAGGGGCCCTTCTGAAAACTGAGTTGATTGTTGAGTTGTTTCGACAACCAGGGGATCTAGAAATTTGTATTGAATAGGACACATGAATCCACGAATGTAACAAATAAGGGAGCTTAATAACCTCTTAGTGTCAAGAGCCAAGACAATGATTACAAGAAAACCATTTTGCAAGACAAAATTAAAGTAGAAAGCATTTGCACACCTTATGAATGTCAACAAGTGGATTCATTAAAATAAAGCGACGAAAAATAAAAAACCAGTCGATGAACTCCTCGTATTTTTTATCAATGGAGTACAAAACCAAATTTCCTCAGAGAAATGAATATGTCTGTTTTACATAAAAGCTGGTTTGAGAGATGTTGCTGTATAGACATGTGCAACGGACTAAGCCGAGTCGATAGGTTTGCGCCACGCTCAGAAAAGACCTTGTGGTACCTTCCTCTTTGACAAATGGATTGGAGCATGTCTGTAGAGCCAATATCAATTAATGTCCTATATTCAATACTTGAAACAATTGAGTACACAAGCCATTTGGTTTGAAAATTAAGTTTAATTGCGCCGGCCTTGTTGTGTGCCTGAGAGGGAGTGTGTGGAAATTTATCCCTCTGCTAATAACACTAAGACCAAACAAAAAAGTAAATAAACAATTGATATATCTGTATTCAGTTGCCAATTAAAATAACAAAGTTTGTGCAATCTTAATGTCTCCAGACCAACCAAAGGAAAAAAAAAAAAAAAAAAAAAAAAAAAAAAAAAAAAAAACTAGAAAGACAAGCGGTATGTGAATGGAAAGAGCAACTGCCCCTATGCCTTCCTACTCCTCCCCTGGAGTATAAATACCTCCTCTCTTGCCCTCTTCTCTATTTTTTTATTCCTCATCACTCTCACCTTCTTACAAATTCTCCCCTTACACGCTATTGTCATAGCTACACCCACCACAAGCTAAGCACAGCAACCCCACACAGTTCTTTACGAACAAACCTTTTTGCAGAAAGAAAAAAAAAAAACCTAGGAACCTTCCCATCTCCGTCTCTCATCCAAAACCTATAACCAACCATGGTCCTCAAACTCTCCTTCACCATCGTCTTGATCGCCACTTTGGCTCTTTTCACCTCCTACACTCCCCAAGCTGAGGCTCACTCCTGGGCTGATTGCATTGACTGGAAGGGTGCAAACGGAAGAAATGACTTTAAGAACGGAAAATGCAATGGCTACGCCCGTCGCTTCCCCACTAGCAAGAAGTACTCATTCGGCTCGCTCGACAGCGCCTCCCCTAACCGCCACTACGAACAGGACCATGATAACCCCAACAGCGCCTTGCCTTGCTCCGATGGCAAGCATGGTGAGGAAACCGGTGCTAACGAGACCCGTGCAAAGAACATTAAGGATGCCTATGACCCCAAGAAGGGTTACGGTAAGATGACGGTTGCCCGTGCTGGTCAGACTCTCTGTGTCCGCTGGCCCGCTAAGAATCACTCCAAAGAGTACAAGGTCCCCAACGTTCAGATCCACATGGCTCGTGTCCCCAACCGCTCTGATATCTCTCAACGTGAGTTGATCCGCAACACCATCGCTAACTTGCCTTACGGAAACTGCAACTCTGGCTCCTCTGACCGTCGCCCCTGCGGTGGATGCTTCAAGGTCCCCACCAACCGTAAGCCCGGTGTCTACCTCCTCCAGTGGCGCTGGATGTTGAACAAGAACGAGTGGTACACCTCTTGCGCCGATGTCCAGATCCGTTAAATCATTTCTCATCGCTCTTTTTTTACAGTCATTCATAAAACAGCAAAAATAGTCTAAAAAAAAATATAGATCAGCTTTTACCTCAACATAGAGTTTAGTGATGTATTAGTTGTCTCTTGTCTTTTTTTATCTTGTCATTATTGAATGTTGAAAATACCTGTATCTTTGCATCTTTGCTGGTCAAGACGCGCTGATCAGCTTTCATTATTTTTAAAAAAAGAAATAAAAAGAATATTCTCCACTCAGATTCTGCTCTTTCTGTTCATTAACAAGATCCTCAAGTGGTCGTAGAACATTCGCTCTTGCTTTGTGAAATTCACCGCTTAAATAACACTGCCCAAAGATTACATGGTATGCGACTTGAAAATAGTTATTTCTGAAAACTACTTGTGATACCACATTAATAACGATATTAATTTAAAAACACTAACCACATATATATTAAAAGATAAAGCAGAAGAAAAAACAGAAAAGTTTGTGTGTCTTTTAAACATTACCACTTTAATAATAATAAAGCATATTCGGTTTGAATGAGCAAGGCATTATAAATGGCGTATAAAACTGGATACTTTTTTTTTAGCATGATAGTAAACACCCAATATGAATGGTCAAGAAAGGTATATACCCATTTGTACACTCAGATTTATCTTCCCACCTTTTTTTTTTTTTTTTAGAAAACAAGAATAGTTTCAGCACTCTATGGACAAAGTGCCTCAGACATAATATGTAGCTTTTTTTTATAACAAGGACCTACGAGGTCATGTGGGAACTAGCAGTAAACAGTCATTGCTGCATAAACGGCTAGAGCCGTAATATTCATGATCTCATAAACTCTGAACGTCTTTTCTTTTACAACATCCTGTTCATAAATCACGTCAGCATTGGGTAGACTTCCTTGGATCCCTGGGGACCTATGGCACGGCTCTACCCCCTACTTGGCCTGTTCTGCGCGAAGGTCATCCTTTAACCGCAGTCCTCAATCATCAAAAATTTGCAACTTCCCAGGCGCTCCATAACCTGTCTGTTCCAGATTTCAGTCATGCTGAGCTCCTCAATTGACTTGACAAAGCGGCAAACAATGTACCTTGAGATCGATGCTGTGGTCCTGAAGATCGCCTTCCATTTCTGTATCCCATATCTCATCCTCATCATCGCCGTTCCTATCATCATGGCGTCGTACTTCCCGCACACCATCGATATGCATCTCTATAGTTCCTCAGATGTAATCCTCCTCTGCCGCAGTAAAAGTTGGCTCTTTTGTCCTTAGCGGGTCTACCTCTCTGTCTGTCTGTTTTTTTTTTTTTTTTTTTTTTTTTTTTTTTGATAACAAGGACCCTCAGGGTCATGGGATTTATTTTCTACATTCTATGAACAAAATGCTCCAGAAACTATAGTCAATAAATAGCTATTACTGCACAAACGACAAGAGCCGCTGTATCCATGATTTCATAAACCCTGACCGCCGTGGTTGGTACTCAAAGTCCACCTTTCCGACGTGGCCTGTTGCGCAACGCGACAAATTATCCGCTATCCATAGTCATCAAAAACTTCATTCCACCTAGCCGCTCCATCACGTCCAGTTTGGCTTTCCCAAGGTAAATGTCCCGGACTCGGTCATCCGCGATCTTGTAGATCTCTTTTACATTCAGCTTCTGTCTTTGTCTGAGGGAAGGGACAAGGAAATCATTGCTACTACGTCTGTGCTCCCCAACACAGTTGCGTCCTCTGGCGCGTTTGCTCAAAGCAGTGATTCCACGAGCCTTTTCCCATTCAACGGTGACTTTACACCGTTTGTTCCAGATTTCTGTACGACCGAATTCCTCTATGGCCTTGACGAAGCGCCCTGCCATATATGTAGCTATCCTTGTTGTTGTCTTGAAGCCAACTTTCCAACTCTGAGCAATGGACTTGGGCGTAAGTCCATGGTAAATGTCCTGCACAGACCAATCTGGTGTGTGCTCTCTCTCTTCCTCATCATCGCCGTTCCTATCACCACGGCGTCGTACTTCTCGCACACCATCGATATGCATCTCCAGAGTTCCCCAAATGTAGTCCTCCTCTGCCGCAGTAAAAGTTGGCTCTTTTGTCCTTGGTGGGTCTACACCTCTCTCTCTGGCCCTTTGTGCTTGCTCCTGCACTGCTTTCAACTCTTTCCTCCATGTCCTCTCCCCTATCACATTCACATTTTGGATTATCTCCTTCCACTTCTCGGCCTGAGTCTCCATCGTCCTTGGACATCTCCAGATGTGCGATGTATCTTCATCCTCTGTCCCACACACTCTGCAGTTGCCGTCTTCATAAAGGTCCGGCCTCCAGTGTCTCATATATAACTGTGTAGGCAACATTCCATGGAGTTTCTTGATCCTGTGCGCTCGCTTTTGGCAGTCCGCTGGGCTGGTGAAGAGTCCTTTCGGTAGGTTGCTATCATGAACAATGTTCATAGTAGCTCGCCAATCAATTTTTGTCCAATCCTTAACATGCTCCTGCATCCTGTTCTGAGCGATCCACGTGTGATGTGTACGAGTTGTTGACTGTAACTTAAGGATCTGCCTTAAGTCATCTTCCGCTGGTACACCGTTGAACTTTGCATGGCAGTACATGTCATTATGCTCCGTTATGTTGATATCCCATAGCTCGCCATAATGTCCATGTTTTGCTGCTTCGTCCGCTTCTTCGTTCCCTCGGTTGCCGGCATGTCCTTTGACCCACTCGACCGTGACTTCCGATCCTTGTTGAATAAATGCGTTGTGTATAGCTGCCCACCATACTGCATACGGTGATCTAATACGTTGTCGCAACGTGCTATCCACTCTGCCTCGGACCAATGCTCGGAATTGAGTCATAACTGCGCTGTTATCAAGTCGGATTGTCATAGGTCTGTTTCGTAGGCTGATAAGTATTCCTGCCAATTTTTTTTTTTTTTTTTTTTTTTTTTTTTTGATAACAAGGACCCACGAGGTCATGTAGGATTTATTTAGATGTTAGCTCTATAAATGGGTTGCCCCATTACTGGGGTCGCAAATAAAGCGGTATCCAATAATCGACCGAAGCCGCATCGTCATACTGCCACAGTACTACATCCTGTTCATAAACCACGTCAGCATTGAATAGACTTCCTTGGTCCCAGAGGACCTGTGGCACGGCTCTACTCCCTACTTGGCCTGTTGTGCGCGAAGGTCATCCTTTAGCCGCTGTCCTCAATCATCAAAAATTTACAGCTTTCCAGGCGCTCCATAATCGCCAATTCCACCTGCTGCCGGTAGCTTTCCGCCACTCGCCGGTCTGCCTCAGTCCTGATCACCTTCACATCTGCTGTTCGTCGTTGTCCCTGGTGAGAGCCAAAGAATTCACCTCTGCTACGTCTGTGCCTCCCAACACAGTTGCGTCCCCTGGCGCGTTTGCTCACAGAGGTGATACCATTGTCTCTTTCCCAGTTGACGGTGACTTTGCAGCGTCTGTTCCAGATTTCAGTCCTGCCGAGTTCCTCGATTGACTTGACAAAGCGGCAAACAATGTACCTTGAGATCGATGCTGTGGTTCTGAAGATCGTCTTCCATTTTTGTATCAGTTCCTTCGGCACCAAACCGTGGTACAAGTCTTGGACAGTCCAGTGGGCATCCTCACCCTCGTTCCTCCGTCCCATATCCACATCTTCCTCACCAAACAGAGTGCTCGCATGTCGAATCTCTCTGACGCCCTTGAACATCGCTTCCAAAGAGCCCCAAATCACGTTGTCGGCTACAGGTGTAAACGAGGGGCCTCCTTTATTCAGGTTTGGCTCCTGTGTTTTCCCTTGTTTGTCTTCCCGGAGCTTCTTCTCCTTCACTAATGCTCTTTTGCCATCCTTCGTGATGAGTTCTATGGCCTGCTTCCAACCTTTCAATTGCTCGTCCAGTGTCATGGGACATCGCCAGAGGTGTTCTATGTCCTCCTGCTCCTGTTCACACATCCTGCAGATGTCAGTCTCATACAGGTCCGGTCGCCACTGCCTCATATAAGTGAGTGTAGGAAGCATGCCATGGACCTTTTTTATTCTGTGCGCTCTCTTGTGACAATCTGCTGGGCTGGTGAAGAGGCCTCTAGGCGTGTTGCCATCGTGAAGAATATGCAGGCTTGCTTTCCATTCTACTTCTCGCCAGTCTGCAATATAATTCCTGACTCTGTTCTGAGATGCCCACAAGTAATGTGTTCTCACTGCTGATTGGAGTTTTAGCAGGTGTCTAAGATCATCCTCCACCACCTCGTTCTCGAAAATAGCGTGACAGCGCAGATCGTTGTGTTCCAGTCCTTTGATTGTCCACATTTCGCTAAAATGAGCATCTTTGGCGGCTTGGTCTGCCCTTATACTGCCTCTATTCCCAGCATGGCCCTTGACCCATTTCAGATAAGTATTCCTGCCAACAAACCAGCTAGCTCTGCCTTTGTCGAGGATGCGTTGCCTGCTACTCTACCAGATAGCGCAGTGTAAAAATCACCCTCTTGTGTCTGGACTACTACACCAAATGCCATATTTACTCTTTCAGTGCCAATATCTTAGTATTATTTAGAATCATTTTTTTTCCTGTTAACAAGAACCCACAGAGGTGAGGAATTTTATTTCATAATCTCGCTCTAAAGTAATGATATCGCCCTCAACTATGAAACAAGCGAAACTCTCAAAGTTCGCACGGGATGGCTGTGAAGAGCCAATTCGTATCCATGTTTTTCTCTACCAATGTACACCGTGATCGGTACTCGAAGTCCATCCTTCCGATGTGGCCTGTTGCGCCCGTGAAAAGCCGCGGAGGCTGGCGTGCCGACTCTAGCTAAGGACGACTTTTAATTTTTTCTATTCGATCAAATCCACTGGCATGTGGACCCAAATCTTGCGGGATTGGTCTGAAATTTCTACTTTGGACTCCTTCAAACTTTGTGATCATCGCTGTCCTAGTCAAGTGGATAGATGGGGATGTGCTGCCAGATGTACCGCTGGTTCGGCCGGGGGGTGGAATATATAGCTAAGACGTGTGCCCAGCCAGGCGACTTAGGGTAGTGCACCCACGATCTTAGCCTTAGCGGAGAACACTAGGCTGTCTCGGAGAGAAAGTATAAAAACTCAAGCAAATCCCTGACCTGGCACATGTTTGCTTCACTTTATGTGCCTTAACCAGGACTCGAACCCGGCCCCTGGGTAGTATTATTTAGAATCATTATCGTAACCCAAAACTACGAGGCTCTTGCCCAATTCTTCATATTCATCATTTAC